TAGGAGCCCAGGCTCTGGTCGAAGGACATCTCTACTCAGCTCCCCGGCAAATGGAATGCAGCAGCACGCGCATAAATCTGCTCGGTTTTGGGTGGGGAGGGCGGCCTCTGTGGCGTATGAGTGATATTTTAGTTTCCTCGTTTTGCGGTTGCCATTTTGTGTGAGGCATTAAAAGATTTTGGACTTCCGTTGGTCTGCACTGGTTCTTCGTGCTGTGTTCTCTGCGTTTTCTCTCCCACCAAAGACGGAGCATATACAACAGGGATTTACCATTAAAGCAAATTAAATGTCTCGTCTCAGCTCTGTCAAGGAGCGGAAGGAGGAGGGAGCGACTCCTGTGGCGACTAGCCGGACAGCTGGCGATAAAAGTTTAATTAATTATATGGCCACTGAGTGATTTTGGTTTATTGTATCCGCATTTGATTAGCCCCCATTGGCGGCCTGCATATTTATCATTCGGCCATTGGCTAATTAATTTGGCCAGGTCTAAGCTGGCCCTAGAAGAACTGACGTCAGCGCCTGCCTGCAGTGGCCCAGGCTTGGCCGGGACCTGGACCTATTTGGTAGCTTGTTAACTTTCTTCTTCCAGCAGCAATTTGGTATAAATATTTGTAATGGTTTTTTCCTTCCGTCGCGACGTTGTCCCTCCGTCCCTCTCGAACGGGTCAATGAAAAGCAATCATTCGCACAATTAGAAATCGTACTTAATATCAAATTGCTTGCAATTACCAAGCATTTTAGTGCAACAACAGAGGACCCGGACAATATAATGGAACAACACATGAGACTCTCTCTCACACATGCAGGAACAGTGACACAGACACTGGTCTCCCAGCCTGGCCGGTTTAAGCCACAAGCCAAGGCACCAGCACCATCACCAGCCACAACAATAACAACGATAACAGAATGTGCCACAACAAGAGAGACAAGAGCCAGGCCAAGGGAGACAGTCCGGACGGACCTCAACTCGAGTCGAGTCGAGTCAAGGCATTTGCCATCGACTGAATTTGACTTAAAAATGGGCAAAAAATTGCGGCAATTAAAGTGGCAAATTGCCTCGAAGAGGCAGGCGTTCGATGTTCTCTGCCATTGTCATGCCACAGCCCTTATTCCCCTCTCCATTATCCTCCTCCTCCACCACATCTCCTGTTGCTGATATTTCGCATTGTGAAATGGAGCCTTAAATGAGTTTTCTGTTGACTTCGTATGGGGGTTTTCTGTGTCCGCTCTCCGCTCGCCGGCAGTCTCCTATCTCCATTTCAATTTTGATTGAAAACCCTTTTAAATGCCGGGCCTTGGGTCATTAATGGGGAAAACAGAGAAATAAAATTAAATGCTTCGCTTTTATGCTGGAGATTTATAAAAGCATTCGTCTCTCCGTCTGGCTGCCTGTCGCCCCATCTCCCGCATTCAAAGAATCTTTCTTCCGATGCGAAAATTTATGCTCTCAGTTCGGGCCAAGGCGAAGCACTCTCATAGATTTCGTTTCCCAGTTTGCATCTGTTATCTGGCTTGATTTTTATGTGCATCTTCCTGGCCAAGATTAGTCCCTGAAATATGGCCACGAGGCTCTTGGACCCAAAGTCAAAAGCAACCTTCAGCCAAGACGCAGCTGCATCTGCCGATTCTATCAGCACCCGAATCTCAATTAACATAATTCACCTAGTCCGAAAGGAAGCAGGGCCCCCCCGCCCCCACTCCCCCACTCATAAACTAACAGTTTCTGGAGGAATTGTCGCCCCCAGATAGCAGGGCAGCGCAGGGCTACTTCCCCCGAAAACAGGAGCCGAATCAAGACCCGGACATGAGCTCAGGTCGGGCGACAGACAGAGGGCCGTGGTACAGTGACAGGGGATAGGGATAAAGAGGGGGCGGCCCAGCTCATCTGCTTGGGGAGCTATCGGTGAATGGAGTGGATGGAGTGGATGGAGTTCGCTCATTGTCAAAGTGGAAATTGTGTTCATAAATCAGAAACTGTCGCACATGTGTGACACCCTAAAAGTCCCCATATTCGCCCTCTCTTACCGGTTGTTACACCCTCTCTCTCACCCACTCTCTCACCCACTCTCTCTCTCTGTTCTCTGTGGCCCACTGTTTATTGTGTTGTCAATTTGCTGCGCTCGTTGGCTTTCGGGCTGCGATGGCGTAATTAGATTTCGGCCTGGCCTGGCCTGGTCGGAATGGTGCGGGAGATGGTTTTGGAGATGGTTTCTGGTCCGGTCTGGTCTGGTCTGGGATGGGATGGGTTTGGGGAAACAAACCACGAAACGGGAAGTGTCAGACAATTAAGGCAACGTTCGACCAGGAGGGAGATCCTGCTCTGGCCTGGCCTGGCCTGCCCGATAAAGGAAGCAACGAATGAGTCTATTAAAATTTACTCGCATCGATCGCTATCGATGCGGCAGCCACCTCGGGTAATTTCCTCAAAACCAAATGACCAACTGTCCAAGTTTTAAAACCGACCACAGAGTAAAACCAATTCAAAGGCAATTAACTGGAAGGCCTCATCGTAGGCTGGCCATTGTCAAAACTGGAACATCGGATCCATCGGGCAACCAGTTGCCGGAGAGCGTCAACAGACACACATTTGGCCAAACAATTGTTGCCTCTGATTCAGGCCTAGACTGGAAGTTGAAGTCACTTAGTTTGTTGGTTAAACTTCCGCAAGAAATGCGACAACAACAACAGCGGGACTGCAGCCGGGGCTGGAGTTGCAGATGGAGATGGCGACTGCATCCGCAATGCAACTTTCGGTGTGAGATTTCCGCCTATTGCAACGGCAGTCCCCCCTCCCCCATACCCACAGGGGCAGAGTGCGGGTGCAAGGCAACTTCTGGCGCATCTTCCCTCTGTGTGTGGCTCAATTTATTACGAGATTGTGAATCTCCGCCACGATTACAGCAATTATGTGGCTTTTGAGAGGGGGCTCCGACTATGTCTCCGTCTCTTGGCACAGTGCCCGACGAGGGAGGGCCCCAGGGGCGGAGCTTTAGCCTCGCTTATACCATTTTCCCCCTCTAATAACTCAATTTCAACACCAACCCAAACAGCGGCAGCCTGCCTTCAGCCCCACAAGCAAATGTGAAAGTGCCAAAGTCAGTCGCCGCCACTCATCGCCAAAAATTTCCTTTAATCGTCGCTGCCACACCATCGAATCGAGACTTGGGTAAAGCCAGAGATGTGGCCGAAGATAAAAGACCACAGATTCCACCGCGGATACAGCCTCAGCAGCAGTTCCATGTCTGATGCGATGCACTCGAATAGATATGCCCCAGCCTCAGCCGAAAGCGCAGCTTCCAGCATCAACCTCAACCTCAGCCATGGAGCTAGAGCTGGAGCTGGAGCTGCCTGGGATTGGTGGCAATAAAAATAATTTGTCAGCTACTTCATCAGCCGCGGCGCGTGCGTGACAGTCGAGGAGCGCGTGCTGTGGATCCCGTGGTCTCTGTGGCTGCCGCTGCTGCTGCAGCCTGTTGCACAACGTCTCCAGTTGAACTTTCACATGGGGGCTCCCCGGATTGTCTAGCAGTTGGCCAAATTCTTCCTATAAATCACATAATCCCAGACCAGAGCCAGACCCAGGCTGTGCGCTCTCATAGGAAATGCGTGGAAATGCATTTCGCTAGTTTGGCATTAATAAATTAATTATACAACCATGACGGGCCAGCCGGGCTCAGCCTCAGCCGCACGCACAAGATAATCAACTTAAATTAACACAAAAAACCAAAAACAAAAAACCTAAAAGACATAAAACACTTGAGCATTTTTGTCATGAGCCACAATAACAAATATTGTGCAAAAGTTGATGGTCAAAAGTTGTCGTCTGGTGAAGTGGCCAAAGCCATGGCCAAAAAAGCTGCTCCAAGAGGCAGACACGTTCAAAGGCAAACAGCAAACGAGAAGGGGAAAACCAACAGCTCGAGATGGTCGAAGATGGGATGCCCTCTTCGAACAATCTCGAGAGCAGAGTCCATGTGGGTCTCGCCTTTGAACTTTCTCTGCGGGGAGTCTTTTCTATATTCGGTAATAGTATTTTCTATCTAACCTCGGGCCAGTCCCCGAATCGACTTCCTTCTGGGCGTTACAAACTGAATCGCCCGCTCACTATCCCCACCCTGCGCTCACACAACAGCAGTCTCCAGCGAAAAGAGAAATATGAGAAATGCAAGAGCCTCTGTCTGCCTGACTCTGGCGGGAAATGCATGGGGAAAATGCAGGGAAAAGCAAACTGGCTGGATGTCGCTGCGAAAAACGGCGAGGCAAGCCCCGAGCCCGGAGCCCCAAACACACACAAAACTCAAGTGGCGCGAAAATTCGAGGCACAGTTGCAACAGCAGCGCGCAAGCGTGCGGTTTTCCCTCCACAGTTTTCCGCAGCCGAAAATAAAAGCATTCAAAAGAAGCAGCAGCAGCAGGAAAAACCAACGAAAACTCAACTCAAATTAAAAGTCGCATTAAATAAATGAGAAACGGGCAAGGACGAGGACTACGGCGAGGACTACGACGGCAAGCAAGTTTAAACAAAACTCAAAGCAAAAGTTAAATTGAATAGACAAAAGTTTCTGTTTCCGTATTTTTTTGAATGCGTACTATGAAAATATATTTCACAAAGATCCTGGCAATCAATTATTTAAAAGTGCCTCCTAAATGGAATACTAAATGAATGTAAATTGATTCAAGGGTGTGAAACTACAGATACAAAACGCGGGACAAGGGAACATGGTAGTTTTATATATTGAATAAAACAATATACACACATGCAGCAATAATTGAAAGCCATTCCGCAAACGCCTCGGCTCCGAGAGATTTCACGAGATATTTTTGCATAAAGAAATATCAGCCAGAGAAAGAAATTGAACAACAATTGCAAATTAAGCTGCCACATTTCGTGCTGCCACAGCGTGCAACGTGCCGCCTGCCAAGGGGCAACGGGACGCCTCAATTGCCTGACTCGCCTCAGTTGAACTTCCGGCGACGCAACCGACCCGCAACCGAAGGAAAATGGCCATCTCTGATGCCGGCTCCACCTTAATGGTAAGTCCAAGAGTATGACCAGCTGGATGGGGGAGAGGGTCATCATTCAGATTCCGTAATTTTAATATAAATAACAGACAACTGCAAATTCAACCGAGGCGTGAAAACAACAAGCGCCAAAAGCCCCAGACGAGAGGAAAAGCGCGAAAAAGTGTCTGCCATTGAAGTGTGTTTCACGCCCTGGCCAGGAAATGGACCACTCCCAACCATACCATACCATACCCGTTCACTCGCACGCACATTTCGTGAATAATTCTCATTTATTTTCGGTTTCGTTGCACGTTTTTTACGAGCCTGCTCCCTGGCACTTGAACTTCAATTAGCAGCCGCCTTGCCGCCTTGCCGCCCCTCCGACAACATTTTAATTGCCGTTCATAAAAATCACCATTCGAATGCGAATACTTCAAATGTTTTCCACTGCATTTGATTGGATTTCATGCAGTTTTCGCTCGCTTGGAAAATATGTTACGCAATTCGGGGGCTTCGGCGTGCGGTTTGGGTGGTGCGGAAAGAAAGAGAAAACACACTACACTCGCCATTGAAGTGGATATTATGATTTTTTATGACCTCGACTGCATGGAGAGCCTTCCATTTAACGGTTATCTAACAGTTAGTCAAAAGCGAAGACGGGGAGTCGTGGAGTCGGGGAATCGAAATTGGAATCCGTATCCCACTGCCAAACGAAAGGAAAACACATTTGCCATCGAAACGGGAAATTTGCAATTTAAGTGGATGGAAAAAAGTTTGCGGCCATTTCTGGCATTTCTTTTGAGTGCGATGGTTTTCCTTGTGGCCAAGGAAGTTCCACTCTGCCACTGCCCCGCCCCCCACTCTTTCCACACTTTCACAGTCTTTTATTGCATGTGCATTGAACTTGACTCTTTCTGGGGGGGAGGGGGGTGGCTTGCCATATGCTGTAGTTGAAAAACCAAACTGGTTCTTACCGCCACTGCCACTGCTACTGCCATTGCCATTGCCGCTGCCACACCCCCGCCCAGTCACTGCCTTAGCATGCCAGCCAACAATTAGCTCAAGCTGTGCCTTTTTTGCCAGCTCCATTTTGCTGGCCTTGTGTCTTGACTTGCTCTCGGTCTTGGTCTTGGTCTTGGTCTCGGTCTCGGTCTGTCCGAGACTCCCCCATACCAAGAGTGTGCAACGTTTTTCCGCTTTGTTGCATGCAACAGCAGCAGAAGCAGAGGAAGCTGTAAGCGCATATTGAGGCCAACAATTATACAAACTTGTGGCCAAACAGCAATTACAGCCAGTTAATGAAGCCACCTGCTCGGATCGAAGGAAAAGCCGCAAGAAGAATCCTAGAGTAAGTCAAACCAGTGCGGGACGGCAGTTGTTTCTCCTAGAATTTATTTCATAATTATTGCAGCCCCAGAAAACAACAAATAAAATTCCATAGTAAATTTCAAAATAAATAGTCAAACTTTAATTGGGACAGCTGCTTCTGTTCGGCAAATAATGAATTTCAATTTTGAAACTGAAGGGGAAGCCGATGTGGAATAGATAGAGGGCTTCGTAGGGAGAACTTTCCTTGGCTTGTGCCATAAAAAAATTTTGTTAACTAGTTGGCAGAGCACTTTTAAAGCCATAAAATCCGCCAGAACAGCAGCACAGCACCAGGGAAAAACAGGGAAAATAGCAACAAAATTTTATTGTAGTTTTCTATTGAATTTTAAAACGATTCTTGCGCGTGTCCCGCTGCAAAATGAAAAGACATTTCCAAGCGGAATAAAACGAACACCTCGTCCCCCTCAAGTATCGCAGCACCCGCAGCCGCCACCCAAGTGTTAAATAGAAAACACATAAAATTTTATGCACCACATAGTGGCAGGAGCCCGAGGGGTGGCAGGGGAGTTACGTGGAGAATGAGGGCGTGCACGAGGAAACTGCAGTTCTCGCCTCATCCAACAAGTGGGGCAGCCACAGCAACGTGCCCCCCACATTTTTATCCCAGGCTCGTAGGCTCACAAGGAGCCCGGTGGGGGGTCGGGCGTGGAGTGGGCCTGGGCTCTGCCACCGGGTTAGGGGCACGATGGCCTGGTTGGCTGGCTGAGTACAGTTCATAAAAATTCACTCGGGCGCAGTTTTAACGGCCGTTAAATGTTTACGCGGTTGCATTTTTAACGACCGTTGACAGTTCATTTGGATTTAGCCGTAACTGGATGGCTGGCTGGCTGGCTGGCTCTTGGCTGCTAAATGGCTGCTTCTGGTGGTGCTGCGGGGCAGGAGATAAGCCAGCTCCCAACTGCTGGGAGCTGGCCCCCTGCCGGTATGGATCACAAATGAAGCCATTTTGCCAAAGGGAATTGAATTACTTTATCAACTGCCAGAGGAGAAGCGAAAACTCCAAGCCACATGGATATTAGTTTAAAATTTTATTTTTTTCTAAGAATTTAAGGACGCCCAGGAAGAAAATTTCTGAAGATCCGAGAACAGAAGTTCTAAAAAGAAAGTGTTTGCACTTTTCATTTTGACATTAAAATGAAAAATATTTTCCATATACAAAATAGACATAATTCCTATTTTAATTAATATTTCTATATTTATTTAAAATTTTTGATTATTTAGATTAAATGTGGGCCTTTAAATTTAATGTGAATTTAATTTAATTTCCTATTGTATTTAAAAAGGAGTATTTCATTTTAATACAGGTGTCTGAGGCTATTATTTGGAATGGGAATTGGTCAAATAATTATAGTTTTTAGGCTGGAAAAGTTTAAATAAGTTTTGGACTGCTACTGACTTGGCTATAAGAATAGCACCAAAGATAAACCCCCTTTGGTACTCTTCCATAATTCCACAAGTTATGTTATGATATACTTCATCTACGGACCAGTCCATCAGTACAGTAGTACATCGATATTTTAACGTACACCCGAAAAGTAGCTTCCAGCGAAACTGCATTCTGTCCCGCAGAAGGCCTTGTAGCCTGCTGCTCCTTGCTGTTTTTCATTAATCCCATACAACATCTCATTATCGCGGAATCCATCGCGAAATGTAAGCCAATGGATAATGGATAAGTTGCCGTTGCATCACCGTAGCCGAAGCCGAAGCCGAACCAATCCCAATACCCACTCCATAATTGGAGTTACGTAATTCGAGAGAAGTGCAAGAGAAATGCAATTGAATTCGAGCAGAGGAGACGCTTGGCAATAAGTTTAATGGCCATAACAGCCAAGCCACGGCACAAGTTCAACCTGTTGACGTGAAAGTGGTTGCATGAATGGCCAGAGAGACAGACAGAGAGGCACCCAGCTGAAGTGGCGACTCCGATGGGGCGTCCGACCAAGCGGACGGGCGCGTGCGCAACTCGTTTTACTATGTCCGAACTGAGAATCGACCAGAGTCCAGTTCCAGTTCCAGTTCCAGTCGCTGTGGCTCTGGCAAAAGAGACTCTTTTTTTGGTTAGATGGAAAGTGAAAGTGTTGGCCGCAGCAGTTGGGGACGGCTGGATTATTTATGGGTCTGGGGGCGGTTCCCCGAGATCCTGCAGAGATGTTTCTCATGTAATTGATGGATCTTTGTCTTTCCAGCTACTGCTTGTGGTGGCAGGCCTCGGCTTGGCTAAGGCCATGGACACCTATCACCGCCTGCCCTCACTGGAAACCTTCTCCAGCTATGAGGTAACATGCCCTCCCTTTCACCCCTCCAACGAATGCCCCATCTAATGGTCTTTCTTTTTGTGGTCTGTAGGACATGCAGCGCTACTTTGATCAGCGGAATCTGCGCAGCATGCGGCACATCGACAATCCCACAGACGACAGCTATCTGGCCGCCTTCAACCAGTACAACGATCAGTCGGAGGATCGGTCGCAGGTCCATCGCTCCCGCACCAAGCGGGAGGAGCGGAAGCTGCCCAGCGCCCCCCGAATGCTGCGATTCGAGCTCTCCGACGCCGTGGAACCCAGCGACGAGGTGAAGCAGCTCCTGCGGCAGCATCATTCGCGGGCTCTCAAGGAGAGCCCCACCACAGAGGGCGCACCGCCGGCCGTCACCAGCCAAGCCACAAAAAGCCAGCGCTCCAAGCGCAAGCCACGCCGCCAGAGACGATCCACCATTGGCCAGCAGCAGCCGCCAGCGGACTTCAAGGCTATGATGATTCCCTTCCAAGAGACCGATGCCCGAGAACCCGATCCCATTACAGCGAAGCTGATTCGAGAGGCCAGGATCCTGGATCTCCAGAGCCAGGCCACCAAGACAGAGCCTTCAAAGAAGTCCCAGAAGCATGGCTTCCAGGTGCGCATACGCAAGACAAAGCGCTCGAAGCGATCGGCTGCCGCCCCCCTGCAGATGTTCAAGTTCGAGATGTCGGACGCCAAGGCCATGCCACAGCCACAGCCACAGCGGTCCGGGAAACAGCTGCAGGCCACGCCCACACTCCTCACCATGGAGACCCGTCCAGAGAACAGAACCCAGAGCCAGAGCCAGAGCCAGAGCCAGAGCCAGACGCCTACCACTCCCACCCCCAGGCAGGAGGATAATGCGATCCTCAATGGCGAGTCCACAGCGGAGACCAAGCGAATGTACGTGTACAAGGAGGCGCCACCCAGTCCAGTCCACGGAAAGAGTAAAAAGTCCCTGAGTGGCCTGCCCCACGAAGTGCAGAAGGTGATCGGCCAGCTAATGAAGGAGGGGCACGGCGGCAAGGCGTACATCAAGTATCTACCGGCCCAGAAATCGGAGTACGAACACTACAAGATAAAGCCCCTCTCCCCGCTCTCGGGCTACGGCCTCAAGCCCAGCTCCTACATGAAGTACATGCCCAGCACAGTGCAGACCAAGCTGGTGGAATCATCGCCAGCCCCAGCCCCAGTCCATGTCCCGGCCCCCGTCCAGGTGCACATCCAGCCCGTGCCGGTGGTCGAGCAGCTGCGGTACTTCCACTACAAGCCGAGCTACGCGAATGTTTACCCTGCCCCACAGACCATCGCCCAGCATCCGATTGTGGTGCAAGAGGCCGTGCCCCAGGTTGAGGAAGTGCACCACCACACGTACACGGCGGAGCTGGCTGCCCCCGCCCCTGCCCCTGCGCCCGCTCCGACCCAGTCGATTGATGTAATTGTGCCCCAGTTCCGGCCCTCGAAGCCGGACCCGCTGCAGGAGGAGTACCATGCGGAGCCCCTCTACGGCAAGGCCCTGGAACCGTACCAATACGAGATCCAGCACGAGCCAGGTCCCTCGGCCGCGCCGCTGATCAAGATCGAGTACCATGCCCAGGCGGACAGCATCAAGGAGCACTACAAGCAGCTGCCCGAGTTCCAGCAGCTGTCGACGCTCGTTGGCAAGTCGCCGGACGACCAGATCCACGGCCTCACCTACCTCCTGGCCAAGGAGATGCAGGCCAAGCTGCAGCGCCAGGGCAAGCAGCTGATGATGGATCGTCCCCAGGACAGCACGGCCCCCATACTCTTCCATCCCGGCCAGGTGCAGGCTCCGGCTGCAGTTCCCACCCTGAAGACGCTGGCGGACCTGGGCGGCGGCTCCCTTGGAGTGCACCAGGGCCGACTGATTGGCATGGCCAAGACGAAGCAGTACGTGCCGATCATTGAGTCGGGCAACAACGATGTCAAGGAGCTGCCCGCCGTACCCAGCAGCGTGGCCCCAAAGCTACCGACTCCCAGCTCCTTCATCGACTACACCCCCGGCCATGGCTTGTCGCACGGGTACGAGGGGGTGAGGGATGATGAGCGGCCCGTGACCACAGTGGAGCATGTGGTGCATCATCCCACGGTCACGAACTATCATCATCATCATCATCATCAGCAGCAGCAGCAGCAGCATCCGGAGCAGCAGCAGCAACACCATCATTACCAGGCCACCTCTCTTCCGGCGGAGCTGGATGCGGAAAAGGGTGTGAATGGCCTGCACTTGGTGAACAGTCAGGAGGACAAGTCGGTGAGTCCCGCTTTGGATCTGTTCCGACATCCACTTCCGTTTTAGTTTAGGCTTGCAGATGGATCCGATGCACCGGATAGAATGAATATTTAATATTGGAAAGTGGAAAGTGGCTACCCAACCCACATTGTCCGGGGGACTCAGTTCTCCCACCTTCCGTTGCATTAAATTAAAGCACACCTTGGGGCGTGCCACAAAAGGATTGTCGCTTTGGATAGCTCCATTGATTGGCATAGGCAAAAACACAATCAACATAAATAAGAGGAGCTGCCCCAGACATACACTTGCCCCTCCACCCCCCACACACACACACACACACAGAGACGACAATACGGCGGCAGTCACAACAATGGAATCCCCTGCAGGGGCATTTCTCTCTCTCTCTCTCTCTCTCTCTCTTTGTGTGTGTGCAACTTCGTTCGATCCATGTCTCGCCGGTAATGCACTTAATCGAATAATTTTCAAGTTCGACAAGCATTTTCAATGTCGTTAGCCAGGCACGAGAGCCAGCCACCCCATCCAACCGCCCAACACTCCCATCTCCTGGCCAATCCTGCCACAGATTGGCATCCGTCTGGCCCCCAGGTAGCCACCACAGGAGCACTTCGTCCTTCATTACTATGCGCCCGACTACTGCAGACAGCAGTCGGCGGAGCGGCAGTGCGGCAGAGCGGCAGAGTCCCTTCCCCTTGGACTGGTTTTGGGCGCTGTCTGGAGCAATTGATATAGATATATAGCATCCCAGATACGCTGTAGATATAGATACGTATACGCTATTCATGGGTCCAACCTCAAGCACTTGAAGAGTTTCCTTACCCCAAAAAGGAAATGCACTTCTCTCTGAGGCGGCAGATACATGCGTCCGTCGGAATTAACATTTTTCTTTCACTGGAGAATAGAAGTTTTTCCTCGTCTGGGCTTCTGGGATTCTGTGGAACGGGTGGATTGGGTGGACTGGGTGGGGGAGTGGCGAAAGGGTGTGCTTGCATTTAATTTATCCGTATTTCTATGGCAAGCCCCCCACAAAGTGAAGTCGTGGGCAATGGAACGCGTCTTTGTGCTCAGCCAGCCAAAAGGGCATGGAAAAGTATCTTAAGGACAGACACAAACCATACAAACCTGAACGGTTGGTCGAGGCATGAAGCATTTCAGCCCGGAAAATTATCTTAAAGCAGTCAAAAAAATGTAATTTACTTCGAAAACTTTCAACCATAGAACATTCGCATCAGAATAGTCAGGATCGGAGGCCTCACTTCATATCGGGGCACGCCATTTGGTACAAAAACTGTATCAGGGTTCGGGTGGGACGTCCGGTCATGCGCTTGGCCGTCAGATACGCAATAAGACCGTATTTGGTTAGCAGTCCCGTGCCCCGCGTGTCCAGGTGCACCCAGTCGGCGCACGGCACGAGCTCGTGGAGAATGGCCGCTGACAGGCAGGAGCTGGCAATCCCACGGCCATCGTTGCTCAGATCGTAGCCCAGCTCGTCGGTGACCTGCCTCCGGTAGTACTGCCAGAGCGGCAGGCGCCACACACGGTCGCCAGTGAGGGATCCAGCGCGCTGGAACTGCTTCCAGATGTAGTGGGAGTTGGAGAAGACACCGGTGGCCCCGCCGCCGAAGGCCTTCTTCACGCCCGTCTCGAGGGTGGCCACGTCCACGACGAGGCGCGGATTGTAGGTGGTCTGTCCGTAGAGCAGGGCGTCGGACAACACCACCACGCCCGCCCTGTCCAAGTCACGGATGGCCATCGTCTTGCCATTGAGCAGGCGGACAACGTCGCCCGGCTTGCAGGACATGCCCGAGGGCATGTTCTCGCACAGGGGTATCACGCAGGTCACGTTTATGGGCAGCGAGAGGGCGGCGCAGGCGCGCATCATGCCAACGCAGGCGGCCGCCGCCGACATGCTCCCGCGGTACTCGTCCATGCCCTTGCACGGACGCAGGTTGATGGCCCCCGAGTTGAAGGTGATGCCCTTGCCCACGAAAAGGATGGGCTTTTCCTCGGGCGCGGCGCCGCAGTAGCTTAGCTCCAGCATCACCGGTGGCTCGCAGCTGCCTTTGGCGATCATCAGGAAGGCTGTCAGCCGCTGCTGCTCGATCCAGTCCATGGTCCGCACCTCGACGTTGATTCCGCACGGGCACAGGGCATCCACAGTGGCCTGTGCGAACGTGGTTGGGGTCATGCAGTTGGCAGGGGCGTCGCTGAGGCGGCGGGCGAGGTTTTGGGCATCGGCCTTGAAGATGCCACGAGTCCAGCCGTCGACGTCGGGCGAGTCAAACAGATTGACCTTCGCTAGATTCGGTGCATTCTTGACGGCCAGGTTGTCCGGGAAGCGCCACACGGCCAGGGACGAACCCTCCGCCGCCTGCTCCGCATAGTCCATGCCGTCCAAAAAGATGGAGCCCACGCCCTCGTTCTGAAGGGAACGCGCACCGATTCCGGCCGCAATGCGCACGTTCTCCATGCCCTCGTCCAGCATCTCCAGCTCGTTGAAGGCAATGCCCTCTATGCCCAGGCCCACGACAGCCACCGAGTTGAACTCCGGATCGACGCCGTTGAAGACCCTGCCCCTGCCGAGGCGTCCGTCCAGCTTCGTCTCGCAGATCAGCTGCGCTAGTTTGCCGCTCGTGCGCCCGTCAATCTTCTGGGCCGTGGGCGTCAGCTTGGGGTCCGATTTCGCGTCCTCCTTCTGGTACAGCCCCACCACGAGTCCCTTCGTGTTGGTCTTGGAATCGCCGCAGCCAGACGACTGCTGGCGGACGACTGACCGCAGGACGTTTTGCGCGTAGAGGCCCATGCTCCGCAGATGCATCCTCTTCATTTTGGATTATCGATTATGGATGGTTCGAGATTTAAAATTTACAAAAACGCTTTTATAGAGAAAATGTCCGAAGGAATTTTACCAAAGAATTTTACGCAATGATGTTACGGGGGAGTTTTGCAGAAGAAATGCACGAAAGAATTTAAATAATTATAAAAGATTTTACCGGCTAAAAATATTTGAAAATTTGTGTTTTGTTTTTTAGAGAGAACTAAAATTTGTTCTGTTTCTTAGGAATGATCAAATACAACTGAAAGGAAATGAGAAAAAGGTCAGCTGGGAAACTGACGTGGGACATTTCAAGGCCATCGTGATTATCAGTTTATTTCTTTTCATTTCAAAAACACAAAAGAACTGACAGTTTTTTCGGAATAAATACCATTAGAACTGGGGAAACTGTGGGTCAATTCGGCCAGTTTTTGTAAACAAAAACAAGGCTATAAGGCGGATGCTTTTCGACGGAAACTTGCAGTTGGCTTTGCCTCTTCTACTGAATTTAGAAGAGCTCAGCTTCAAGGCCTGACACCATCAATTGCTCTTGGACATTTTAGCTGCAATATGCCATAAACAGGCCAAGAAGGAGTGCCACTGAAGGACTACAAAATAATATTCCCTCTCCTAGGAGAGGGTCCCGTTCTACTGTCGCAAATAGACTTAAAATTGTTTTCGAGCTTAGTTTGCTGTGAGGTTCTCTTCCTCTATTTTGTAGCTGTTTTTCAGTGCACTTTTATTCGATTTCGAGGAAAAGCTTATTACATTTTATTTATTGGCAATTTGTCGTCTGAAAAAATGTGCTTTGGGGGGAGTCCGCTGCATCTACGGCCATCTGACATCCACAGTCCACCGTCCACCGACCACTCTTCTCCTTTCTGCGTTAATGCGCATTAAGCAGGGAACGCAGTAAACAAGGACTCTTCCAACAACAGTCCTAACAGCAATCCCTGCAACTGGTCGTGCTCCTCCTCCGGCTTCTGTTCCTGCTACTGATCCGGCTGGTGCTGGTGCTGGTGCTTGATGCTGATGGAGCCGTAGGGTGGGGGCTGCCACACACACACAAACACACACACACACACACACACATTGTTTTACTGCCGTTTAGCATGATTTTTAATAGGCTTTTGCCTTGTCCCTGTCGGACTTGTCGTCATCCCGCACTGAGCCTCGTTGCTCGGTCTTGTTGTAAAACCCCAGAAACGACGCCTGATGACCATGATGGGAGATGAGAGCGTGGCAGGGCATGGCACTGCAGGGGAGGACATGGCTGGGAAAGGCACCCGCCTGGACATTGTCCTGCTCCTGTCTGACCGTCCGTCCGTCTGCCTGTCCATCTCTGACAGGCAAACGACACTTGTTAGGCTCAAGTTTAGGTGGAGTTTAGGCTGGGGTCCAGCAGCGGAAGTGGGTGTCAGAGCCGGAGAGGCTGTGGCACGACATGCCGTTGCAATGCTCGTCATGGGACTTGTTTGACAGCAGCTGCTGCTCTTGCTCTCCCTGCCACTGCCACTGCCACAGCCACTGCCACTGCCACTGGTAACGTGTGCGAACATGGTCGGATTTTTGGGGAATTTGTCATTTTATTGTGGCCGAAATGGTCGGTAATGGTCGTCACTCACTCACTCTCCAAACCGGAGCTGCCTATGTATAAGGACGCTAGATGCTAGACGCTTGTGTCCTGTGTGCTGTGGGCTGGTCGGGGGCTCAACATCTGCAGGTGCAATATTTTCCGGCTCCCTCTCACATATTTTAATTTCATTTTTATTTCAACCCTTTTGCTGTTTGTGTTTGCCTATCCCTTCCTCTTTTTTATAATGTGGGAGCAAAGCATATTTTGGCAAGTGTTGAAAAGAGATTGTGTCGGGGAAGGGTCTCTGCCTAAGCAGAGATTTAAGTTTTATTTAATGGAGCCTCCACCTCCACCTCCTCCGGCAGTGCCTCTCGGCAGCATATGGGTCTTGATTATTAGTTCGGTTCTGGCATTGAAAATAACTCGACAAAAGGGTTTCCCCAAACGAAATTTTCAACTACTTTACGAGCTGTCGAAAGGGGGGATGGGGACAGCTTAATGCTGGGCATCCTTGATCCCTCCTGGGCCCAAACATGTGTGGCTAATGTCATCGAGTTCTTAAGGCCTATGTTCTGTACGGCAAAGGAGTCGTGCAATTGATGGGGTCCTTCCCGGTCCCCAGTTTGAAAGTACGAATAGGTTAAGGCCCAGGAAGGGTGTCTGGAATCTCAGGCATACACTCGAAAAAACTTGGCAGACTATCTATGATTTTCCTTGATTTTTTATCGATCAGTTTTGTGAGAAAAGAAGGCTGTGAGGGAAGTTCCAGACAGGTTCGTTGGCTGACTGCTGATTGATGAATCCGTACATATTTATGGGATGGCTGCAGCTCGTTCTCTGCATTTCAAGCGTATTCTTTCGAGTGTATTTATTCAAATACTCAGAACTACCAGTGGCCATGGCTGACTCTGCTCGGACTCTGCCTCAGCACATATCTGACCCGGGGTTGACTTTAAATTAGCTCCATTTCATCCGTTGGACGTAATAAACCGCAGCCAGTCCGGCATCCTGCCCAGTCCCGCCCAACCTGCCGGCTAATACGGCTCTCGGGGCGTGGCAATCCGTGGCAATCCGTGGCAGAATAGATGAAAACTAAAAACTGTATGGTGGGGCATGGCATACGCCAGTCTCCCCCAGTCTCAGTCCCAATCCCAGTCCCAGTCCCAGTCCTATTCCCATTCACATTCCGAATCCTATTGCCATTTCCAATGCTGTTGGCAACGTGCTATTGACAGCCACATTCGCATAAAAATCACGTAGTTTGACATTTTTCCTGCTGCTCTTCCATTTCGTTAGATGGATTTTTTCCTGCTGCTCCTGGTGCTGGTCCTGGTCGTGGTTCTGGCTCTTCTCGAGACGGATGCGGATGGGTTTTGGGCAGCAGGAGCAGCAGCAGCTGTCACGCAATCAGCCCGAGCGCATTGCCAGGGCAAAGCCAACAAACTGATAACTCAATTTTGGTTAGAGATGCCCCTGCCCCTGCCTCTGACGCTGCCACTGCCCCCACCCCTACCCCCTTGTTAGCCATAACTTGGATACGAAAATTGCTAACAAGCGAGCCATAAAAACTGTGGGTGGATTGCATTTAAAATTTTCCCCGCCCTTTGCCTGCCTTTCCTACAACTTTGCTGTCGCTGCTGGGCGGATCCCAGTCTGTAAATTATACAACAATTTCGTAGTCTAATCATCAGCGTTGGGGCACTGCCCCACCCACCTCCGTTCGCCCCTCTCATAATTGTGTGGCCAAAAGTTTCACAGCGACAATTGTGTCAATGGCTGCTGCCGTGTGGCATAAACGAGCCCAGGACATTCATTTGCCTGACGAACGCTGTTGAACACGTTCGCTCCACTCTTGGCCAGAACATGGTCAGCTGTGGCGGCAGGCGGGGCAGGACACTGCGATTGCTGAGCCCCACTGTGCCCCACACACACACATCCAAGCGGAGCGCTCTGGACGCATTACATTGTAAAATTGGTTTTTGTAAATTGTTTGGACACAACATTTATTTCCATTTAAATGCGATTTGCCTCGTCTCGGTTGCTGTTGCTTTTATTGTTCCTGCCCCCCACCCCCAGCCACACCCCCACAGCCTCAAATCCAACCTCGTTGCAAGCCCAACTCCTGTGCGGCCCGAAACTCAGTGCCACACTTGTTCAATTTTAAATGAGCATGCAGCACTGGGGCACTGCTGCACTTGCCACACTGAAGCCACTGAAGCCTGGATGTGCCTGCCCCCTCTGCCCAATCTCCCAATCTCTCTGCCTGTCTGTGTCCCTTGAGGTTTTGGGGTGTGGCACGAGGTGTTTGCAGCTCTTAAACGAATTGTGTGAATAATAAACGCACCACACTTTCAATGGAGAGTGGTGGCACGGGCAGCAGGAACAGCAGGACCACGCTTCCTTAGTTACCCAACAAGGATTAGTGTTATGGAATCGCATGGGGGAGCAGAATCTCTTCCGGCTGAGTGCAAATCATGAGCTATTCGAAGAGGCTACAAAGTGCATGCCATGTCTTTGATTTAAGACTGTGGCAATGCCACATGCGTGCCCGCAGATCCTCCATTAACAGCTGTCTCCAAAGGCTTTTTTATCTCTATCCAGTTCAGAAAATTGATCAAAATAAATCAAAGACCAAATGCTGATTATGATTACGACCCTCCAGGGCGGAAGGGGGTTCGGTCAACCCCTGGATAGGCCCCAAGCGGGGCTCGAGAGTCAGGAAACATTTGAATGACTAAAAGACGGCACAACGCTGAGAGGCCGTTAACAATGCTGATTATATGCAAATTAAGGGCACTTCCAAAGGCATTTCCCTCGCAGCTCCTGGCCTGTTGTTGTTTGGCTCCTCAATTGACCGAAACAAGGGCAAGATGGGGTGGCCCAGGGAGCCTTCGGACTGAATTACCAAAAAAGTTGTTCCGCCCAATGGCTTTTCGCCATGAAAGAAAGTTCCGAGCGGGTCGGACCATTCCCATCCCCTGCCAGACGGCCAGCCAATCGCTCACACCGAACCAAACTAAACGAACTCACGTAGTTTTGGCTCAAATTGCATTTTGCACTCGACTCCTCGTCGCACAATTCGCTAAAAGCCAACGACAGGAAACGTGTTAAATGCAAAAATTCTCGCCCCGGCAAGGCCTTGTCTTCCCTAAACTTTTACCCCACCCCAAAGAAGGAGCTCCTTTGTCATATTTTGCACAAAACTATTCCCTCGCTGTTGACATTGACAACCAACTATATCCCTATATGAAAGATCCACGGCACTTCTTCTAAGAAAAGAAGACGCTCTAGACAGACAACAGACCAAATCTCTCAGCATAGCTTGGAGACCTAGGAGACTATAGCGACTGGCCTTGGCTTGGCCTTGGATTCGGGCTGCTGCGGAGGTTCGGGATCTTTGATGAATATGGTGATGGAATCGCAAAACGCAGGAGGAAGTTTGTCTACAGCATCCCGTAGAAGCTGGACTGTGGGCCCCGAGAACATGACATGGCTACGTTGGCCAAAAAGTACACTTATAAATCGTGCAGGAATTTTGGTTACGTTCCGATGAAACTTTGACCACCGCCCTAGTCAATATGAGGCATGACAACCCAATCCTTGCCTGAGTTGATGTCCCCCGCCGAATGTCCCTTCGAACTCCCCAACTAATGGACACTCGTGGACAAAGCACGAAAATTGGGCAACGTCATTGGATTTACGGCAGATGCATTTTCTATTCAGGGAATGGCACGTGATCTGATTTTGGCTCTGATTTTGATGCTGATACCGTTTCCACTTCGATGGGTTTAATATTTTTGTTTTTTTAAAAGCAAACATTGACCCATCAGTGGATGAGTATGAGTCCAGCTGTCCTCCTGACCACCTGAACATCCCTTGGACATGTTCCATCTGCATTGTAATTATGTTCACTTTAATCAAATCAATTTGTAATGAAAATTCCCCGCTGCAGAGCCAAGGGTCCCCGTATCCCCTGGATTTGCATATTCCGCAGATATTCCCGTCTTTTTTTTATGCAGCGGAAGAAGAATGGAAGCGGATCTGGGGCTGCTTTGCACGTTAAAATCTATTAACATTTTTGCATTCCCCTAATGAAGCTGCCGCTGCCGCTGCCGCTGCCCCTTGCACCATCGCTAGACTGCGGAAAAATGCATATTTTCCTTTTGGATTCCATTAGGAGAATGGTGGGAAGGCATGAAAAAAATACTGGCGCAAATGTTGGCAAATCGCTAGAGCAGAGAATTTATTAATTATGATTAAGAGAAAGGGAAAATGTTGGCGAGAAATTCTGCTGAGATTTATTTTAATTTAAAGGAAGAAATAATCTGCGGAAGGGCGAATGCCAATCAAACGAGCTCCGAGTGCTATGCAATCAGGTCTATAAATCTTCGAAAGCCCCAGAAACTTTTGTTCTCTCCGGCGGAATTACATTTCCCCCACCGCACACCACCCATCAGGAAAAGAGAAGCAAAGTAAAAATCTAGTCAACAATGTAACTTAATTAAACTTAATTTACAACTCATTAACATATCAGAAAGTTTGCCACGCCCCCCATATATACAGAGAGGCACACACACGCACACTGGTAGCATATCTTGGGTAGGCCATAAAAGCCGCAGAGAAACAGCCCGAAACATGTAGCAAAAGTTACCAACAGTTGTCGCCAACACAAAACAACAGAGAGGCAGTGAAACAGAGAGAGAGAGAGTTCTGTTCTGGAATTTGAATGAGCGGAAACGGAAGCGCACACCAACCCACACACGCACACGCACACACACAAGCTACTGCCACTCTCCCCGTCTCCCTGTCACATTTTGTTTCCATCTTTGCAGCGGGAATACTTACAATAAAAAGGCAAGCCCCAAATTGTAGACGACAGAACAATGAGGCGGTTGGGGCGAGGGGGTAAATCAACGCTGCATAGCAGAGTGTGTCAAAAGGGGGGTCGGGGTGTAGAATTTGTAGAATATATTCTTGGAAATTTCATTACTCCCGCGCCTCCTGCCACGATAAACAATTTACAATCACATGCATAGCAAACACTGGCATACGAGTGTGAGTGACATTTTCCCCACGTCCCGCCCTTCCTTCCTTCAGGCCCCGCCGAATGCCACTGGGAATTCTGTGCTCCAATGCCCCTGGAGTTGTGCAAGGCAAATACTCTGGATGAAGGTGCAGAAGGACCGATCTATGGTAAAGCTATACTCATCCAAATCAGGCATTCAGGGACAATATTTACAAGCATCATGGGAAGATCCTTCGTTCCCGCTTGGCAGTCAGTCGCTCAGGGTGTTCACAGTTCCACCAGAGAACCATCCGACTAGAAATTATTGTTTGTTTGTTGTTGTCTCTGGAACTGTCGCCTCGCATGGCAATGCCTGGCATCTGCCAGTTGTTCGCCATTCCCCGTTCGCTGCTCGCTGTCTTCACTGTACATGACAGCGTGCTTAATACATTTTCCACTGCATATTTTTCAGCTTGCGCACGAATTGTGGCAGCCGAGGGGGTGGGCTGCTGCATGCAACTTATCGGTTTACTGAGCAATCCATACACACATGCCACGAGTATATACGATATATATGACTAACTTATTTCCCTCTCTGTTTCCCGCGCCTTCAGCTGCAGCAGTACGCCTCGAAGTATGCCTTCGGCTATCGCATACGTGACTTCCACACCGGCAACGATTTTGGCCACAACCAGAACCGGGACTTCCATGGCGTGACACGCGGTCAATACCATATTCTTCTGCCGGACGGACGCATCCAGAATGTGATTTACCACGCCGACGACACGGGCTTCCATGCGGACGTCAGCTTCGAGGGCGGGACCAAGCACTGAGTCAGGATCTGTGCGCAGGAGGGGCCTAATGTGCAATCTATGTTCTAAGCTAGTCCTAAGAACTTCCATTACAATCCAAGCTATAGAGAAACGCCAGTTAAGTGGAGGCTCTCCGACACGAGAATGAGCCTTTGACATTGACTCCCCCACGGTTAGTTTTCCCTCCCCTTTTGACTATTGATTTTCGCCAATAAGCGAAATGGTTGATTAGTCAGGAGTAAGACGAACAGACCATTCACCCAACCCATTGAATCCATTCATATTCTGAGTATCCATTGATGCGGAACTTCTCTTGATTGTTGCTAAAATGTGAAATTAAATGTGAATTAATTTACATCTCCGTTACTCGGAGATTCTCAAATAAGTTAAGGCCCATGAAAAATGTAATGTAGGTTAAGGAAACCAATTAAATACTGAATGCAAGCCAACCCGGGCAAACAAATGTGCTCAATCGATGTGCAATAAAATTAAATCAATAAATTAACTGAAAACTGTTGGCAATCACATTTCAGAATGCGTAAACGGATATGCAACGGTCGGTATCAGGTCTCAGGTCTCAGGTCTCAGGCCCCAGGTCCCAGGTCTCTGACAAATTGAACAACTTTTCCACAAGGCAATGCATGTCGGATGCGAATCGATGGGATGCGATGCAATGCGATGGGGCGGGATGGGTTGGGAGAAAAACCTTCGAATTGGCAGATGCGCTACACTCCGTTTCGCAGCAGTTAGCCGCCGGGCATCGCTTTCCATCCATAATTGAGTTTTAAGTGTTCGTTATTGTGCGTTTAACGCACACAGCCCCGTCGACAATTATTCAAGCCTTGCCAGTGACCTTTCGCTTCCGCTTGGCCTTTTTCGGTCATTGTTTCCGTCTCCAGCCGATGGGCGAGGGGCAAGTCTTTGAGCTGCTTGTGTTTCAACTTTAATTAAAATTGTAGCAAAAATTTCTCCTCTTGCGATCTTCGCCCCAAGCGTTCATTTATCTTCATCGCCGAAGGTCAAGGTGTTGTTCGCTGGCTCTCAACAACATTTTGTGTAGATTGTACTCCAAAAGCTTGTACTTTAATTAATTTGCCTGCTAGGAAAATCGATCGCAATGGTTCCTTTTTTTATGCGCCATCATCGTCATTATCATCAGGGGCAGAAGCAGTGGCAGTGCCAGTGGCAGTGGATGGGGCTTGGGCAACGTGACGTACTTGGCCCGAGACGAGTTCGATGTCATCGCAGATATGTATATGTTTGTACGCAAGAAATGCAATCGCACTCACATGTGGCTCTGGCTCTGACTCTGGCTCGGTCTCTGCTACCATTTAAAGTTCAATGTTGCCAGCAATTGTAGAAACAGCAAAGATACAAAGATACTTCCACGAGTAGCAGCAGCAGCAGCAGCAGCAGAAGCCAATTTGTTTGCCACTTTCCGACACCGACACCGACTCCGCACCTTAACTTTTGCTTTTGCCATTATTCTCTGTACAATTATTGCATTGTATTTGCTCTGCGCAGCCATTGTCTTTGCATTTTTGTGTTTGTCAGATACCAGGTCTTTCTGGTGCTTAAGGCTTTGTGGCTATTCCACGACGAGCCGAACTCATGCAGAGCTCATTAACTAATTTTTACTGCCAAACACAGTGAGCGGCGCAAGTCTACGGCCCGCTGTAAGAATTTTATAGGTCATAAAAGCAAAGGAGCTATTAATGGAAAATATGTTATTTATTTGCTGATCTTCGAGGCGTTTGGTGCTTCATTCCGCGGAACTATTGAATAATTTATGAATAGAAATCTTGCAGAATTTATGATAAAATATACCTTGAGGGAGTGCTAACACTTAGGCATGTATGCAGGTACTTCTGGTGCCCACTGTTCCCCCCGAAAATGGGCGAGCAATTAAGAACATGATCTTTTTAGTTTATAATTTTCGATGGTTTAATTGTTTTGACATTCAGAAGGCAGGAAAAAATGATTTGTAAGAGACTCCTTCTATAGGCTCTGGCACTGGCTTTGGCCTGGCTGTGGCACTGGATCTGGGACTGGCTCTGGCTCGGGCCTGTCTTGCCAATTTGGCGACTCTCTCAGCGTGATTGACATTAATTGCCAACGCGACCAGGCCAAGAGATGCACACGTCGCTCACGTCGCTCACATCGCCGCACTTCTGCAATTCTTGTGGCGTCGGTTTTTTCCCTCCGATAATTAAGCAATTCTTGAGTTAATTAAAAACAGAAGCCGGCGTAAAAGAATGCACTGTTTTGACAAGATTTATGATGGCCTGGCCCCAAAAACCCTATGAATTCTGTGAGCCAGGCCATGAGAACCAAGTGCATTATAATTATGGTATTATATATAAATCAGCGCATTAGTCGTGGCAAAAAAAAAAAGAAGAAAAAGAATAATCATAGGATGAAAATTATATTCCAAGCCACAAAACTCCCAGACCAAGCCCATTCTCGGGGCTGCATGTGAAGCCCCCGCAGAGATGGGGAGGGGAGGAGCATCGAATGCGCGTAAGTAGAAGTTTTTGGCGACGATAATAAAATCCCATTTAAGTTTGACGATAAGTTTTGACCATTAGTCGGCTGCCAGAGGGGCTCTGAGCGAGCGGGCCTGTCACTGGGAGTTAAATGCCTTGGATTTTCTTTTTACTTTTTGGAATAGATATATTTTTTTTTCGAATTTTCCTCCTATTTTTTTCGTTTTTTTTTTAAGGAGCAGCAAGTTATGAGCCAACTTTGGTGGGCCCACATTCCAATTGATAAGCAATGAGCGAGGCTTTGGTCGGGTCGGCTCGGGTCGGGTCGTGGGCGTTGGCGTGGGCGTGGCTAATGTCTTGCCAAAACTTGGCTAAAGGTTGTCGCCGACTGTTTTTGATAAATGTGCCAGGGAATGGCTCTCGAAGTCTCTCTGTCAGAGGCAATTATAGTGGATGATAATGGCGAATAAAACAGATGAAGGAAACTCTGCGTTGGATAGGAATTTCCGAAAGCATTTACTAAAAACTTTCATATTCGAAAGCAGAAAGCCTGCAGAGGAATGTGTTTGTTTTTAATGCATTGATTTTTCCAAAATTTGCATTTCTACACTCAGAGAAAAATGATGTCAAACGAAACACACCCGTATTTTAATTAATTATTCGGTTTTTAAGCCCACAAACATTGGGAAATACATGTATGTAAATATTAAAATATTAATATTTTCATATTCATTTCAAAACATAAATAAAAAACATTTTCTTCGTACAATTTTCATTCTCGGAGAAAATCATTGGTATAAATGTTGTAAAATGGAAATATATCAATTTCAATGCTTTTTCCCTGGGTGACTTTATAGTTTTAGGTTATCCTTCTCGTAATTGGGTCCTTGTTATTAGTTCCTGGACATGGGTGGATGGGTCCCTGCCACAGCAGTCGCCTCCGCAGTGTGTCGTGTCTCATTCGCTCGCTTAACTTGTTTGCCTGTCTGCTGCTGCAGTCTTCGAGCTGTCAGTTCCTGGGACAATGAGTCCGCACTCGCATCTGTTGCCCCCAGCGGGCACTGAGTGCACTGGTAAACACGTAAACAACGTCGGTGCCGGTTACGGCTCAATCGCTCAGGGTCCTGGCTGAGATTTCGCCGTGGACCGGCTAAATAAAACAAGGATAAATGATGTGCGGAGGCAGCCGATGGCAGACAATGGGAGATGCATACCTCCCAACCTCTCTCTCTCTCTCTCTCTGGCTAAATTGATTAAATGGGAAATTGGAATATGCAAATCCAGTGAATGCAGCCCTGGAACACACACACACACGCACACACGACACTCTGATGCGACTCGGCATTGGGCGTGGGCCTGGGCGTGGTCGAGGGTCGAGGGGCGTGCGCTGAAATGTGATTTATGTTGGGTGCAAAGTTTTTCCACAACTTTCCTCTGGCTGCTGTCCTTTTTTGTGCAATTTGGGTGCAACGAACGGAAGTGCAGCGACTCAAGACGGCAAGGATATCATCGCTCGCTCGCTCGCTCAGTCGCTCTGGCAATGGGTGGGAAGGAGCAAAGTTTTTGGAAAGGTGCGAAACGGAGAAAAAATTCGCTTAATTTGTCTAAAGAGAAGCCAAGCGCATGGAAATTTCCATTAAGAAAAATGGTGGCAAGTGTGGCAAGTGACAGGGAAAGCTCAAGTTTAGTTGCAGCAGTGCTGGAAACAAAAACTTATCAGTGCTCCGCCCGGCAAAAAAAATGGGAGCAATCAAAAGGAAACTAAAGAAGAAAAAACTAATAAAAGAAAGATAAAATCAAACCTGAAGTGAGATAATGAAAGCAATCAAACGGAGAGACAAATACTTTTCCACGGAGCCTCCATCCAGGGAGCCTGAACCCCCCGAAAGAAAGATATGATCTACGAGTATGCGAAATACCAAGCGAATCGAACGACATTTGATTCCCCTTCACCGGAGATCCCCAAGAAGAGAAGTCCGGTCTGAGACATTTGGTCTATAAATAGCAAATGCTAAGACTCCGCCAAGACTCCGCACCTCGCCGAAAAAATGCAAATCATTCGGCGCGTCTGGCGTCCAGACAACGCCAGCGCCACACTGCCGACCACTTCCCACCAGATTCAGAGGCAGCGGCAGACAGAGGGTGGCTGCAACACAGGCAACTGTTGCTGGTGGCAATAAAACGCGGCAATTACATTGTTGGCTATTCTAATTCACTCATTTTTAGCTCGGAAAGAGGTGCGGCAGCGCATCGCCGAGGAATGTTTGTTGGTTCTACAGCAGCAGCAGCAACAGCAGCAGCAACAGCAGCAACAGCAACAACGGCAACATTCAACAGGTGATTCGCCAGAAATGTTGCACGAAATGCGCTAAACAAATTCGAGGAAAATCGATGAAAAAAAATCATTTTAAATGCTTCTGAGTCTGTTCTTTTAAATGTTAATTTTTTTCCATCTTTGTTTCTTTGATTTTTGTGGCTGCAACAATTCAATAAGCACTGCGGCAGCGGCAGCAGCAGCGGCATTGGCGGCAGCAGAAACAGCTTTAAAATGTCAACAGCTAAGAAAAATGCTGCTGCCAAGAAAAATGGATTCTGAATAGGTTCTGCTTCCGTTTTGGCTAGAGGCTCTCTCGAGTGGCCAGGCCAGTTGATGAATTAAGCGGGAAATGTTGCCAAAGTTTATTGCTCAAGACTTTTTGACAAATGATTAAAAGTCTGAGAGAAACTGCAACAGCAGCAAGTGGCAACAGCAGCAGCGGCAATGACAAAAGTTTGGCCATCAAATGTTGACCAATTGATGTCAAGTTATTGTTGGAAGCGGATCAAAGGAAAATCTTCAAATAGCCATTACTTGCACTTGGTATTATATAAAAATTCGCCCCATCACATTGCTCTAATTATGAACATTTTAGGTTGAAATCTTTTCGTAATCGCAGCTACCACAAAATGCACTCGAAGCCCCGCCGAAATATTCAACTTACATTCGAGTGCGCTCAAAGAAATGATTACTTTTCAATGGAGTGTCGAGCGAGCGTACGAAATGCTGTTGGCCCCATTGTTAACGAGTATTATGTTGTTAAGACAGTTTCGGCCGGGTTAAGGTGGGTTCCCTCGGTGCCCTCCGTGCGGAGATGTTCGGTCGGTGGCCGGCTCAAGTGTCACGGAAATCAAAAGTTAAAAGTACCAAAAAGTTGTTCAATTACTTGGCTTACCCTGCCCCCCCGAAGGCGGTCCATTGGGGACTCGAGCTGGCTGGCTGATGGCTGTCCGACGAGGGTGTCCACGATCGCGCAGACACGGCAGCACATCACCTCACAAGTGGTCGATAAAAATGTGAGGAAACTCGCTGAAATCAGTCATCAAAAATAGATTGCTTTTAATTGTTATTTAATCATATTTTTCAAGGTTAATTGGTTGGGGGGGGCTCTGATGCCTGACGGAAGGAAGGAGCCCCCAGTGCCCACAGAGCCCTCGACACACGTCGTACACGTCTCCAGGCTTGTGCAACAACGGCACACAGAGGGGCAACATCAGCAGCCAATAGATAAGTTTATGTTTTTAGGTTTTTGGCATGAGCCTCACGTCATAGATTGCATTTTGGTTGGGGCATGGGAAACAGGGTAACAGGAGACGCCACATGAACACGTCTGCAGCTTGTGCAATTTTCACTGGCAGCCGCATCACGTTTTTCTCGCCCTCTCTCACAAAAGTTCTGCTTCAGCTACGTTCTGCTGAGTTTCTACAAAACAAACAACAAATACATATACAAACACATGTATCTATTAAAAATAAAATAAAATAGAAGGGCTCTCAGCCGAAAGTTTGGATCGACCGTATCTATAGGCATCGCATCGCCCTACGCTCATCTGACATTCCCAGTGACATTTTCGGCCGTCTCGATTCCAGCTGCAGAGCCCGAGGGGACAGGCGAGGGCATCTCATAAAAACTTAAATATCAAATTTTGGTTTCGTTCCTTTTTTCTGTGGCTAAAAGATTTAATGAAGTCATTTTGGGGCGTTGCAGGCTTTGGTCTCGTTATACATACATCCGCTTCTATTGAAATACACCAACATCATCATCATGATCATCGTTCGAATCATCTATTCACTTGTTCATCATAATGATCATGATCATGATCGTGTTCAATTGTTTGCTGTTGCACGAGTGGTTGTAGCTATTGATGATCTGCAACATTTTTCACTTTTTCAACACTCCGAGACGCCACAACTTGCTGCTGCTGTGAGACTCCCTCTCGTCGTCTGAGCGCTCAATTGTTGACTCATTCTGAGAGAGCTCTGTCTATCTCCATAGAGACAGCCAGAGAGGGAGAGACCTGCAGAGACAGAGAGAGAGAGACGGAGAGGAAGATGATCTAGAAGTTAGACGGCGAGACCTGCCTCAATTGTTCAAACCACTTTTTCGTTACTTTTTAGGTGCAGTTGGCAACGCGGCAAACGCTGCCACCATCTCCGCCAGCGCCTCTGCCACTGTCGGCGTCACTGCCAGCGTCTCAGCCGGCGTCTCGAGCGTTTATTATAAAAAGGCAGCGCATCTCCATCGTCTAACCTAATTCAAAACGTTCGTGTACTTTGTGCGGTTGTCTTGGATACAACATACAACATATAAAGAAAATAATAAACACTCAAATAATCCAACAAAATAATAGTTTAAAAGAGGAACAACTCCCCATCCGCCCACACGCACACACGCCTCCCTCCCAGTGGAAAGTGAGAGTCCCTAACTATAAGCCGTGAACAAAAGGACTTTCGATCAAATTAAATTTGTGTGCGAAAAAAAAGAGCTTAATTGAATAATTCAACTAAAATCGAATCATCAAAAACCCAACACATCTAATCTATACAATTCAATTATTTAGCACGCGGATTCGAGGATACAAAAACCATTCCAATCGAAGTTCAATCGAAGCTGAGAAACTCAACTAAAACTGCAGTCAATATGATGTCCTTCAAGTCGTTTATGCTGCTTGTAAGTACATAATAATATAATCAAATGTCCATACACTCGTAAGCCCACATAAATCAGTAAAACAAATCACATGAGACCTTCCTGGGATGTCCTTCAGCTTAAAACAAGAGCCACGAATGCGGAAAGGACAACAAGTTAAGCTTGTTATATGTCAAATTTGTATATGGCCGAGAGTCAGGCAAAGGACACATCATGGTCAAACGCTCTGCTCTCCTCCAATGTCATTTTTCTTATTTTTTGCGGATTTCGCAAAATGTTCGGTGAACTTTAAATGGGATTTGCTGGTGGTGGGGCAACCGTAGGAAGCTCTTCATCGAGTGGCGGGTTTCAAGTGGCACAGCAAACTGTTTCGTTTCGAGTTCGGGTTCGGGTTTTGGGTTTGGGGCAACACTTGCCGTCAATGGCAACGAAAACGATTACATAACTTGCCACACGTCTGCCAACGAGGCTCTCATCATCATCCGATCAGCCTCAGCCTCCCACAAAACCGAACTTATTGCAAATAATCAAAGACACTTAAGTGCCTCTTCTCCCCTCCGTTCAGCTGGCAATACAATATTTGGAGTGTGGAGTGCCAGCAAGCAGCATCTGTGCCTCGCCAGAGCCACGTAAAATATGCCCCCCAATCTGGGCAGAAGCAATATTATTTGATTGTGGCCCCGAACTAAACATTACTCTGGGAGGAGGGCAGGGGGAGTTAGGGTGACAGCAGCTCCAGGACACATGTTTGTAGTACATCGAAAGACATTTTTTCCTACAAGGGCATTTACAGGACTATAGAATAATATCCTACCGCTTTCCCAAAGCCATGCTACTGAACCGCCATTTTGTCAGTTGCCTTACAACTTTCACTTGTTTTCTTTTTGCCTGGAACGCCCCTTCAGGGAGGGGTGCCTTTCCACCTGGAACGCCCTAAAGCAGGCAACAAAATGAGATCCAGCAGAGATCCGATGTTGTTGTAGCCGCTGTTGAGGCAGCCTGTGGCGCGTTAAACTGTTGGTGCGACACTTGGACGCAGTGCAGACACACAGCTCCACTCTGGATGTCTGGAAAGGCTTCCACTTTCCCAGCCTTTGTGTGTCTGGTGTTGCCAAGCAGATAACTACAGACACAGACACAGACACAGAGGCAGAGGCAGTCCAAGGTGAAGATGGGGCAGGACTCCCAGCCAGACGCGTGTAATTTGCCGCTTGTAACTTTTTGACTTTTTCGCCAGCGATTCCCGTTTCTCTATGCCTGCTTTTTTGGTCCCGCTTTGGCCCGTTTTTCTGTTGGCTAGACACCGTCCAACGAGCAGGTTGCCCCTGGGACAATACCTATGCAAAAAGGAGAGGTGGAGAGTCAGAGCCGGACCCAGACACTCGGTAGACAAATGGCTGCTGGCCAGCAGAAGCGGAAGAACAGAACGAGCATGTTTTACATGTTAATTTTCGCCTTTTCCTCCGTCAAACCGACTCGTCCTCCTCACCCTCCGCCTGCATATTAATTCCCCTGCTCCACAGCTGCTCATTTTCGCACGCAAAAGAAAAAAGGAACCCAAAATGGAAAACGACTGAATGAGACGGCGATGAGGCCCGACGGATGACTGCAGTTCGGGCACGCTTTTGAATTTCAAATGACAAACATAAAATATTCACGGTTTGGTATTTGACTTTGATGAAGCCTGAAATGCAACCTAATGCCGAGCCAGTGGCAGAATCGAAGGCACAGACAGAGGTTTCGGGTTTAGGTTCGGTTTCCCATCTGCATTCCATCTGTCGATGCTGAATTGTGGTAATTTTTGGCAATTCGAATTGTGAATTTGTGGATGCAGCGAGGCGCAACTCTGCATTGTGCTGGCCTCTGATTAGAGACGCCTGATTATGGCCAATATATCGTAGGCCGGGCCGGGGCCAGAGCCCTATCCATCTGTTGACTGCTGACGATTCAAGTGTGAATGATTGCCCAATTGTGCGGCCAAAGCATGTTTGATATGGCTTTTCAAATTGAGAGATAGAGACGTATGTGGGGGTATACCCACTTCTATCCCATTTTCAGTGCTTCTTTAGGCCAAAGCTGATTCGCAATGGTTCCTCCACACGAAAGCGTATTTCGAGTTCGTTCATTTCCCTTTTGGTTTCCACTGCTGCATTACAAATGCAATTTTAATTGAAATAATTTGGCAGATTTGCCAGATTTCATACCGACGGATGCCTCTGTGAGCTGATCAAAGCCTTCGGCAATTGAGCCGTGGGTCGTCGGTTCAGAGCTATTCTGCTTATACGCTTGGATGTATGCAATTTTTGTGGTTTTACGATATTTGTGGTATCTTTGTGCGGTTTTTATTGTCTTTGGCAATGGCTTGCGAGGCCCAACAAGCAAAAAAAAAAAAAGCAAAAAAGAAAAAAAAAATAGCAAAAAATTAATGACGCTTGAGCAAGCGGCAAGTGCAGCGGCAGCATCGGGCGGAATGTGGAGGCTGTGGCGGTGGTAACCAGCCAACCATCTGGGTCTGAGTGTATAGTGTGTGTGTGTGTATGTGTGTGGTAATCTAATTAAATCGAAATTTCCACCGATTACAAAAGCAGAGCCACCGCCCGCCGGGCCCGCGCCTTTCCTCTCCCCACAGCCACCACTAATTGCCCAACCAGCGTCCAATGCGGCGTATGCGCAATGTCTGCCTCTCTTTCACACGTATCGTTCCCCCTCGTTCTATGCTTTCAGGCCAGGCCTTTTTAATTGCATAGTTCTGGCTGCAAGTACAATTTGGCCAATGTCTTTTGGGAGCCGGATCCCCACCGCAGCTGGGAATTTGCAAAATTAGTTCATTGGGATTTTTTGCCTCATTTTACCCTTAGTTTTTCAATTGAAAAGGAAACAATATCCCCACTTAAATGCGGCTTAAAATGTATATTTTAGTAATTCGAAAACAAAAACCACACACTGTGCAGTTTTCCTTTAACATTTCCATTTTCTGGCAATTTTCGTGGAACAATTTGCAACTACTTGAGATATTCGCAGCGCCAACACAACAGATTGCAACGTAACATATAATTTGGTAGTTATTTAAAAGGTTAATATCTTCATGCGGTCGCCGGCGGCGGTTATGGGCCAATAAATTCGGGTTAAGTAGGGTTAATGTGGTGCACGAGAGGCAGGAGGCGTGTGATTTATGGGCTTCGAGTGGGTCCACTCATTTGCAGCCAAGTGAGGGAAATTAGGGGGAACTACAATTAAATCGTCAAGGAGATCCCCCAAGGAGAGCCCACGACCCCTCGTGCTGCCCAAGCTTTGATCTTTGGCATTGTCCTTGGCTGTCGGAGGACTCCCTCCCGGCCATGTCTGGGGCACGTGACTGTTTGGGAATATTTGTGTTGCAGCAAGAGATATACATGCTTCTCGGCTGATTGAAATCGGGCGGGTTGCAACAAAAGATTCGAACAACGAACTGCAACGATCGGGGGCAATAAAAGTCAGTCCCCATTGCGGCGGCCTCCAGTACCCCGCTGGGGTCTCTTCTACTCCTCCTCCACCTCCGAGCCCGCGCTTTTGCCATTCACATGGCCCATTAACTTTTATTTTGCCAAATTTGCATTTCAATGCCCCAAAGTGGGGGAGAGCAACTACAAAAAAACAGCACAGCGCTGCATACTGCATGCAGCATGCAACAGAGCAGAGCAGGGCAGCGCTGGAGATGGCGTTGGCGATGAAAAGGTCAACCAAATGTTTGTTGTTCTACCGAACGAGTCGCAGAGTCGGCAGAGTCGTGTCGTGTGTTGCAAGTGCATGTTAATCTAACATCTATGTAGGGGACTTTTTTGTCAGATGATGCTGCTCTGGTAATTGCTGGGAACAGCTGCAGAAAAGCAGATAATAAAATAAGTACGATAAAAAAACCACAAAAAATAGGTACATATACAAATTCCATAAATTAAGACGCTGCAGCACGTTGCAGCCACAAGTAGGAAGCCCGGGCCGAACCTCGTTAGGCATCATCGTCAGCTGCCTCATCGGTGGCAGTGGCAGCAACAGCCACAGCAACTTTTTTGTGGGCGTTGCAGAATGTGTGGCGGTTGCTTGTGTAAGGTGCCGCCGCTCCAAAATGATGCAACAGAACAAAAATTCATATACATCCAGGTCTCTGCCTCTCCTTCTCTGCTGATGGCTTAATAACGGGGCCCAAACGGTCCGAAGATGTAGCAAAATAACATCGAATGCCAGAATTCCTTGCCGAGCTTAGATGTCAGTTTCTTTTTGCCAAATGCACAACCAATTAAATTAATTAAAATAAATGCAACACGCTAGACAGAAACGACAGAAGCAACGGCCGGCCACCTTCCCGTCCACAACTTTATAAAGACATTTTAGCGTAAACATTTTTATTGGCTCCATAAAGTGCTTGGAAGTGCTCTGACTGCCCGATCCAATCCGATCCGATCCGCTTGAACATATTAAATGCTAAGCGTTAATAAATCAACTCCCAGGCGGCAGATCGAGACACTCGGATTTGCCATTTAGACTGCATTCAAAATGCAATTGTCATAAATTCTGCTCGCCCCAAGCCGCTTTTATAATTTGGCATCAGACGCTTTGTAAACTGGGTCGTGCTCTAATGCGAGAGGGGGACCGGGCACAGTGGACTGGGCTCTCCACCAGACAAATGTGAGCGTTTTTACAACCTATTTTTATATTCATTTTTTACGATTGTACCAAATGTTTGGCTGAGATACAGCCAGATATGTGATTTACAGTGTGTTGAGGCGAGGCTGTGTGATCTTTGGGCATTGATTCAAAGAGATCTTTATGTGGGTACTCAGTATCGAATATCATGGTATACCCATATCATGGCAGTCTGATTTTAGACAGATTCTTTCCGACCAATTATCTTTACGGTCTTTATTTCCTGCTTTCCTCAAACATTACATTTTGAATAAGCTTTACAAAATATATCAAAAATGGTTACCACCTTGGGGCTACTCTGCAATTAAATTAAACCATTTTTGCGGTGTATTTTATGCTATATTTTGTGTAGCCTTCAACTTGAGTGGCATGTGGCATGTAGCAAGTGGGCGTATAGAGTCTTTTCTTAGTTGAAGCACACAAATACTTGAAACATTTTCATTTATGTAGCTTTTATGGGCTTCCGCTTTAGCTGCGATTCTTTGCTGATTAATTATGGTATCGAAATGCTTGAACAAAACTTGTTGATTGAATCGAACAAATCGAATTCAATTATTTGTATAATGCTCATTGATGTTCGGATAATTAACATCCCAGCAGACGGCCGGCCGGACGGACGGACAGCAGCATAACAGCAGTAGCTGACAATAATAAGCCAGACAAAGCAAACAATTGTTAATTTATTAGATTATGCGCGATTAATGATGCTTCAATGCAATGTCCCCCTGGTGGCAGCAGTATTCCAGAGGCCAGCCTGCGTGTCGGTGGAAACAATTACACATGTACACACATATTTGTAGCTTTATTTTGTATAGTTTAAAGTGTTGGCAAGATCAATGTCTGCCGAACTTCTGGCGAGCTGTGTGAAGCTGTTGAAGGTGACCACAGACCATGACAAAGGAGACCACACAGACCACAAAACCAAAGGAAAACCTTCAAACTAGAGAATAATTACAATGAGAACATAACCGAAACCACACACAACACTCGTATGTGATTTGCAGTTGACTGTGATATATAATTAATGGAAAAAGCTGAACTATAAATTAAGTTTATGTCCATTAATATGGACTGATTAAATTAATTTCAAGGAGTCGAGATTTGGCATTATATACGAAATATTTATATGAACACAGGTCACTCTTGTGGATTTCACCCACTGTGCCTGTCCTCAGCACCAATCTCCGTCTCCATCTTCCAACAGAGAGCTGCAGCTCCACCAACTCCATCTCTTATCTTTATCTGTGTTTGTATCTGTATCCCTCTGCTCCATTGTTGCATTGTGGCAGCTCTTCTTTTCGGCTGTCGGCAAGTTGCCGCAAATTATTTGTAATTTAATTTACACGCAAATCGTTGGCCGTTATTTTATTGGAGCTAATGCTGTTGCCAGGCCGCTGGCCTGCACGGCCAGCATTTGTTTAACACGGAAAATTACCGTTGACATGCTCATTGGTTCTCTCTTTTGCTCGTTATTTTCCATTGCAAGCTCTGTACTTGAAGATCTTGAAGGTTAGGACCCCCCTGCCAGAGTAATTGCGGAAATTTCGGTGAAGTTGATTAATTTCAATTTAACAGATAATTTACCAGATATACGAGTATATCAGATGTAGATGGATGGGAGTTTGACTGTGAAAACTGATCAAAAATCTATTCGATTTATGAACATTTTCATGAATACATTTTCCCTCAATATAAATAACAATTTCAAGTTAATTTCTATTCATAAAAAAAACAACTTTGAGAAAGCCTCGTATCATCTGCGGCAAAAATCCAGCTTTCCTTGACCCAATCGCATCCACGATCGGCCAACACGTCGTATGTGTAATTAAGCGATGCAACTTCCACTGCCACTGCCACAGCAACTAATCAGCAAACAATGTAAAGCAGTTCCCCACAATCAATGACCCCCCAACAAACATAAGTCATCATAGAATATAGAATATATTCAAGCCACGAGTGATTTAGTGCTCTCGAAGAGACTGCAAATATTTCCGCAATCCGCAACGAGGAGGCTACACAAAAAAAAATAATAATAAACAAATGGCCAACAACAGACACGAGATGACAGTCAACAGCCTACAGCCAAGTGGCTTTTGGTCAGTGGCTGTCCTACAGTTGATGGATGGATGGATGGATGGGTAGATGGATAGATGGCTGCAATGTGAACGCGTTGATGGGCTGCTGCCGTCATGTGCATGTGTCAATTAGCCGTGTCTAACGACGGGCCACTGCACTGCCGCCTGCCACTTGCGGCGTAACCTCCGCCATTTGCTGCCCTTTTGTGGGGGCATCGAGCAGAAGACGCCTCTGGTGCACGTTCTAAATAAATTGCAGCCCAGTCATTGAGCTGGCGGTGCACCTGCTCTGGCCCCGGTTGAATGTCAGCCGCGATCTTATCGTAGCTTCTATTTCCATTTGCCACCGCTCACTTTTTGTGGTTTACTCTTCATTTAACCTTTAAGTCGACGTCACCGCAAGAATGTTGCACTAAATGCACCCCGCCTCTTCTGCCTCTTCTTTGCCTTTCAGAGTTTATCCCTCGCTGCCATCAGTGCCTATGTCTACGCCCAGGTCGCCCCGGGCTCGAATGCGTACCTGCCGCCCACGAAGAATGGCTACGACTACTCCGAGCCGCAGACCCCATTTGTAAGTAAAACATTAAATATATGTACATACGTATGTCAAATGAAGACCTATTGTCTGGCAAACCACTTCAAATTGAATCCAAGTCAACAGGCTAATTGCAGCCATCATTCTGGGGGCCCTTTCACTCCCATCGGCCTCTCTGTTGGCTTGTCGCCACATTTATCACTCCAGCTGCGGTTGGCAATCTGCAAAAGGCACAGCAGAGACGGCATCAGGCCGCAATAAATGTTGCCACCTCATCCACCTTTTGATGGGCATCTTGAATGTCGACCCACAATGATGTTGCACTTGTCGGCTGTGCAACATTTTCAAATGGTGAAGGGCCTGCGATGAGTTGCAGTTAACCTTTATTGATCGTTGAACCAAATGCTGAAAGATCCATCACCAAAAGGGATTCAACAATCCTCAACTTTTGATCCTATACCGAAACGTATCCAGTACGATTTCAGTCGTTTTGAACAATTAAATTACCTTCAGCAATCCATAATTTTCCCAAAACTTCGCAGAAACCTGGTCCACCTGGCAGACCGGCGCCCGGACCTCGTCCACCAGCACCTCCCGGCCAACCACGCAACATTCCCGGCCAGCCAGGCGATGTGAGTAACTTTCCTCCGAATAACGAACACCAACATAATCCACTTCCGTGACGTATCATTCCATTCTTCTGCAGGATCACGTCCATATGCCAGGCATGCCCTACGAATTCGAGTACGCCGTTCAGGACCCGGAGACCGCCAATGACTACGCGCACAAAGCGTCCAGCGATGGGGATGTGGTGACAGGCGAATACCGCGTGCAGATGCCCGACGGACGCACCCAGGTGGTGCGCTACACGGCCGATTGGAAGACCGGCTACCATGCGGACGTCAGCTACGAGGGGGAGGCTACATTCCCCCAGGGACCGCAGCCGGGTGCGCGCGGGGGTGGTGGCGGTGGCGGCGGTGCCGGCGGTTACAAGTACTAGGAGTGGAGTGTGGATTTCTTGAGAAACGTGTAAACTTTACGATATACAAGAGTACCGTACCAATAAAAAGTATTGATAAACAAAAGCCGCCTCTAGCGTGTGTTTTTCCAAGCTTGTGAAAGCTTTTGCTTTACCCTCTAGCGTGTATTTTAAGCAAAGCTCTTTGGTTAATATAAGCATTTCTAATTCAAAGCTTTTGCAGCTTACGTAATTTCAGATCTTACGTTATTCGCGCCAGATGAAGGAATTCAATTTCGTATTTCTTTTGACAAAAAAGCTAACAGAATAGAATTACTTAATTTTGCATAAGGGCCACAACCGATCTCGTTAAAAGTATGTTAGCGACTCTAAAGGAATTCGATTGAATTCGATTTTGGGATATATTTACATTTATTAAAGCTAAAGATTTAATTTTATCTAGTGTTATCTACAATCAGTGAAGAGTATAATGGTAAGAGGATCAATTGTGTGAGTGTAAACCAAGTAGAGGATAACGTTAAAACACATATAATTGGTCAACATCTTAGGTTTATACGTTCCTCTTTGACAGCAGTCCCAGCTCCTTGCCAAATTGTCACTATATCTGTCAGCTGCAGCAACAGATGTTCGGCCAGCTGTCAATGCTCGCCTGTAAACAAAGCCACTGCGCAGTCGCTAACGAGCGTAAACAGACACCTGTAGGACTCCCGAGGAGGTAAACAAAGCTCGCGCGCAGAAGCGTCAACTGTCAGGGCAGGCGCAGTGGTAGCCCAGAGCAGTGCAGCTAGAGCTTAATGCTGGAACCCGGCTGTGGTCTCGCTCTGGCTAGTGGCAACTAGGCGATGAACTCATCGCTGACACAGAAACGCCACAGAAACGTCAGAACGGACATCGTCGACAGTGTAGAGAGAAAAGTTTTCGCTGCCAAACAACACGAAATTTTCACGCACACACACATCAGCAGCACAGTGCAGGCACGTTGAGAAAATTCGGGAAAAAAACGTCTGCAGATCGTTTGTCGGAAAATGTTTTGAGCTTGAGCTTGGGTTAGGGACTCCGATTTCAAGTGGTTGGACATACAGTGAGCTGGATATGTGTGTGGATGGCCAGGACAGGTGGCCTGAGCCGAGCTAACGGGCTAACGGGGAATGGTATGTGTGGTACATGTGCGGTGCCTGTGTGTGCGTGTGCGGTGCCCGTGTGTGAGTGCTGAAAAGTAGGCTACAAAATAAGTTCTGGCTCGTATTTATGTCGCGCTTCCGCCCGATCTTCAAGCACCACCGCCAGCAGGAGCAGGAGCAGCAGCAGCAGCAGCAGTCAGTACAAGTGGAGCAGCAGGAAGAAACATGACCTGGTCCTGGGCATGGCCCTGGTGGCGCCTCTGCCTGAGCCTCATTTCCATGCTCATCTGGCATGCCCCCAGCGCCCATCTGCAGCCTGCCGAGAACATCAACTACAATCTGTGAGTGGCATCCATCCTAGAAACCAGATATAGATAATCTGACCGCTATCCCCCATGCAGCGTTCACTCCTGGGCCGACAAACTGGGCATGGAACTGTTTCATCTGGGCGATTTTATCACCAGGCGCAAGGAGGTGCAGGAGGTGAGTGCCAGCGAGAATTTTATTGATTTTTCCCACTCGCCCGTCGTCTCTCGTTTTTTCCGCTCCGTTTGCCACATGCTCGGTTCTCCGCCCTCTGTTTTTGTGCTGCTCTTGTTTTTGTTGTTGTTGACGTCTCTCAGCCTCTGCCGAGACGGCGGCGCCAACTTCGGCTTCGTATTTGGGTTAAAGGCTGCCCGAACACAACAATTATAAAGTAATACAAAAAGAAGAACAACGTGGCGCGAGTGTGGATCAGTAGGACGCTACTTTATTACCCTTTCTAGAAGTTTTGAGTGGATTAAAATTTGAATTAGGGGTTTCCAGATAGAAGTACTCTTCCAAATTATTAGTTCTCTGTTCTCGGTAACATCATAACACCTTTCAAAAGGGGTAGGTACCATTTGAGAAAGTGAGTCGATGTTTCGATACCCTTTTCAAGAGTAGATATGTAGAAATACATCGTTGTATAGGGTTTCAAAGTCTCTCCAGACAATGTAAAAAGGAAACAAGCATAGATTGGTCTATAAAGACTGATTGCATTCACTAGAGTGAAATCAGAGTTCCATAGCCCTTTGACAGGGTATTCCATTCCGAAAGAATATTTGTCTGCCCCCCATATATGAGGTCAGATACTGGACGCTGGTCGGGACAGCTGGTAATTTATTTTTAGGCAAAAGCAATTGGATGTACAAATGAAATTGTGTTGCTCATGAGTTACAAGCTCATTTGAGCCGCCAACTGTTTATTTATGTGCATTGTTCATAGCCTATGTGTACGAGTATGTGTAAATAGACACTTATATTCGGACAGATGGCCCCCCCCCCCCCCCCCCCAGTGGGGCCTCGTAATGGGCTTAGGACAGAAATGGAATCTATTTGAGGGAAAGAACTAATGCTCGTGTTCCGGTAGGGATTTCAGAGACCGTTTGACACATTCTGGCCACATTTCTAAGCAGATTCATTCACATTCCCACAGAGTTTCAAGGATGCCAAAGTGGTTCAGCGCGTTGGAGCCTCCATAGTTGATTCGATGGCCAAGGAAATAGAAATGATGATGGACCTGAAGGTCAGCGCTGTGCGGGTAAGTGGTGTCCTGCTCCACAAAGAACAATTCTATAGATATTTTTGGAACTTTACTTTCAGCGCATTATGGACACAGCTGAGAACACGGCTCTGTCCCATCAGAACGATATGGCGGATAAGATGTTCTCCTACTACAATGCCAAGGAGATGTTAGAGCCGGGTGATCCCGTGCCCCCGATTCCAACACCAGCCCCTGATATGGACAAGGACATCGGGGAGCCGTTGATCTACGTGCAACCCAAGGTGGTGGTGCTGGAGCCACGGCCGGAGTTCCACAATACACCGGTCAACTTCAGTGTTAGCTCGGTGCATGTGCCCGTGAATGTGTTCGATCGAGGTTTGGAACTATGCTCGATATAACGATATAATCCGTGTATCTCTTCTCTTTCCATCTCTCTCTATCTCTATCCATATATGTATATCTCCCTTTCCTTCTATGAAACTGTTACTCTACTTTTTTGGGCACACAGTGTGCCCGTCTTCTGTAAAGCTTCAAACACACGCGCATGAAAGGCAAAGCTTATCGAACACTGTGCGCCTCTCGCTCTCTCTTCCTCGCTCTGTCGCTCTACACTTGCTTGCTTAACCGTATAACCGTTACCCGCTGTGCAATTACCCGCTCGTGCGCCTACTTTTTCCTTTTCAATATACAAATCGCTTAAGTCAATGCGCGCCCGAACGCGTGCGCGCAGCAAGCACCGCATTGCGCCGCCCGGCAAACACAACTGTACCTAATGCAACCAACCAACAGACAGTCGGCACAACAGTAACTGTACTCAATCGCCGTTGGTGGCGCATTGCGTACGTTGCCGACTCGCACGCGTGGGACGCAGAGAATGCTCGACAGCTGATACGCCGATACGTGTAATACTAGTAATAATCAATCATAATGCCAGAAACCGTATAACACCCAACCCAAAGCCACATAACACGGAGAGTCCAAGCACACCAAAAACACACTCCTACCTGTCTGTGCCTGCGCTTTCCTGTGCTATGTCCTGCCCGAAGAGACAACACCACGAACTTCACTAGGATAAAGGATTGCCTACTAATCTGTGTTTCTGTACAAATTCTTCCCGTTTCTCTTGCCAAAAAAAACCCCACCGAAACCCACTCAACCATACATACACACATATCCACGGATACACAGCACCGGATGTGATAAAGGCGATACAATGGTCGGAGAATTTGGATCAGATATTCCGCGATAATTACAAGAATGATCCGACATTGTCGTGGCAATTTTTTGGCAGTTCGACCGGCTTTATGCGTCAATTCCCTGCATCCAAATGGAAGAAGGACGTACCGGTCGATCTATACGATTGCCGGCTACGCTCCTGGTATATGGAGGCGGCGACGAGTCCAAAGGATATTGTCATCCTAATGGATGGATCCGGTTCAATGTTGGGACAGAGGCTAGATATCGCAAAGCATGTTGTCAATACGATACTCGATACATTAGGTACAAATGACTTTGTGAACATCTTCACCTTTGATAAGGAAGTGAGCCCAGTTGTCGGATGTTTCGAGGATACACTGATTCAAGTATATATCAATACAATCAATCATACTCTTTCTATATTCATTTCTGTCTGATTTCGATTTCAATTGGTTTCACATTAATTTCAATTTCAAATTCCATTTCAATTCCCCAACCCACCCACAAAAATCAAAACCACAAAACACGCCCCCCAATCGATACCATCGATTCGATACACTACTATTTCGAAATCCATCCAGGCAACTTTGGGCAACATTCGTGAACTGAAAGAAGGGATCGAAAACTTTGGACCCAAATCGATCGCCAATTATACCGCTGCATTGACAAGAGCATTCGAGATATTGGAAGAGGCGAAGTCGACGTCGCGCGGTGCGCAATGCAATCAGGCGATCATGATCATTGGGGATGGGGCGCCGGAGAACAATCGCGAGGTCTTCGAGTTGCACAATTGGCGGGATCCGCCCTATAAGCCGGTGCGGGTCTTTACCTATCTGATTGGCAAAGAGGTGGCTAATTGGGATGATATACGGTGGATGGCATGCGAGAATCAGGGCTATTATGTGCATCTCAGCGACACCGCTGAGGTCCGCGAGATGGTCCTAAACTATATACCGGTTATGGCCCGGCCCCTTGTTTTGGGTAGGCACGATCATCCGGTCATTTGGACGCAGGTCTATGCGGACATTGAGGTGCGTAAATGCAACATTTTCTATGTGTTTGTGTGTGTGTGTGTGTGTGTAGAGGGACCGAGAACGAAAAAAAAACAAAAAACACTCCTTTGGTCTATGCATCCAGGATACAAAGCTGTCCGACCATCTGTGGGAGATCAAGCAGTGCGAGGAGCAGAAGGCGGACGTCCTCGAGTACTGGCAGGTGCACGACCGGATGCTGGAGCCCAGCGAGATGCACAGACGCGAGTATCGGCGTATAAAGGAAGTGAGTTATCGTTTCACGAATACTCCATAGAGAACTCCCTTTTAAAGCATTTTCCTCAACTCTCTTTGCATGCAGACCTGGAACCAGCCCGTCGACTCGAATGTCTATCAATTCATGACCACCGTTTCGATGCCCATTTACGATCGACGCGAGAATGCGGTAAGTGAATCCCAGACAATAAAGAGACCACAGACTCTATCAGCGACAAATCAGCACTGCAAAATTCTTAGCAAGAAACAACAAAATAAATCAAAATCGACTCCGTGGCAGTCCCCCACTCAGCAGCCGCTCAGATCCAGGGCCGCCATTCATTTTGCCCTCGACTCATTTACAATTTACAATCGAAGCAAGATATACAGAAATACCCAAAACAAAAGAGAAAAAAAAACCAAAAACCCCCGTCAAAAGCCATGAAATCGAAATCTATCTATGTAACAAGTCACCTATACTACTACTACTACTACTACAACTATATTAATATTTTATGCGTTATATATATAACACACAACTACTACTACTACTACTACTACTACTACTACTACCAAACTATACACAACTATACCACAGAATATCACCGAAGAAGTTTTAATAAATGAAGCACTCTGGGAATTGCAAACACGTGAGGTACAAACTATAATGCCAAATTCTAACAACAACCAAAAAAAAAAACAAAATCAAATTTCTAAATGAAATTATTGCGTAAATCGTATCCTACTGCTCTTGAGAAAAGTTTTATATACGCCAATTAATTGCATATCGTATTGAGCTCCTCCTACCTACTATATATATATATATATATATATAATTCTATATATATTATACCAATAAAGTAAACGATTTGTTATACTTTGCGCTACATACATGCATACCTAATCCATATTTAACCAAAATATATCCAATAACTAACTATTATAGTACTATAACTAGTATATAAAACTCTAGCTAAACATGGTCTAGGACCATGGGCATTCTTTAGCAACATTTTGACATTATAGTTGACCACGTTAAACCTTTTGGGTACCAATCAAATCAAATCAAATCAAATCGAATCCCCAAAAACCCAAACAAAACCAAAAACGAAACCCAATTCGATAAAAGTTCGAGTATAATACGTTTTACTATTCATTCGTATGTATACAGATACTGTACTGTAAATGTAACAACAAATTCAACTCGAATTGGTCCAAGTATTTAAAGATACGTACATACATATCTGTATAACTAGATATTGATTTTCTTAATATATAACCGTACTCGTACCATTATAACAATTATCTAATTATCAAATTATCAAACTATCAAATAGCTATGCCTAGTTAATTACTCAACGTATAAATAGTACTCTTTTATCTAGCATTTTGAGTAGTAGAATTTAACATTTGTTGTTTTAACTAAGAAAGATTATGCCTACGGGTAGCGTAACGATCGCGATCGACTAGATACATATGTATATCCGACTCGTACATAGTGCCCATTGGTAACCCACAAACCGACAACCAACCCTCTTCCCCCCCAATTAATAAATGTTAGCGTACAACGTACACTCTTGATTGATGTTTAGTAAGTACAATCATTGACAAGAAGAACAACCAAAGTGAAATCCGAACTACTGCTAGGCTACTGCTGAGGACCTATATAGAGCACACCAGAACAACCCCACCCACCACAACAATATCTCCTCCAAAAATATGTATTACCCAAAAAAAAAAAGACACACCCACCCCCCCAAATGGAATGGGAGGGCATCGATTCTGAATCAGTGATGGAGTTTTTATACCCTTCTTCGATTGAGCAGCAGGCTGGATAGGACGACCATGTAGGACCCTTCTCCGCCGCCGACACCAGCGACACCATACCGATACCGGTGCCGACACTGTACCCACTGCCACCAGCCACCAACCACCCGCCACTGTCACTGCCACCACCGCCTTGACCTTTACCTTTACCTCTACCCCTCCCAGACCCCTAACCCCCTCTAGAATAAACCCTACTTAAGTTGCTTCCGTTCCTAGAGAATTGATTTATTAAATATGTACTACAAATACAAATTCACAGCTCATTAATCTAACGACCGATATAAATCCGGCTGCGAAAATAAACCTTCAAGTTGTGAGTAAATTGTTTCTAAATCAAATCCAACAACTGCAAAACAAACCAAAAAATCATACAAAAAATAAAAAACCAAAATCCAAAGCAAATCCCTATTAAATATTTTGCAAAATTTGCCAATTTCTTTTGATTTTTTTTTCTAAGCCGCATGTGAAGTGATCAAAATTCGTCTCTTTTAATTTGATTGGGGCACCGCCGATTCGATTTTCAGTTTCCACTTTGTCTTATGTATTGTTTTCTGTATGCCTCTCCTCCATGCACCCCTCCACCGCCCCCAGAGCCATGCCACTTTATGATTTCGTAGCCAGTGGGATGGATCAAGAGCCGCACCCCACCACTTATGCCTTGATTTATTTTTGCAATCCTAGTCTAAGTTCTCTCTCACTCTTCCTCTCTCTTTCTCTCTGTCTCTCTCTCTGTATCGCTCTGTTACTCTGTATCGAATGGGCTTCCAGATCAGAGAAATATACATACGAGTATCCGTGATCGGATACTTTTTTGGGGCAATGGCATATGTATCTCTACTAAAACTAACTGTCTGTCTCACTCTCTATCCCTCACTCGCTGTGGCAAATGCTGTCTTGTACGAGTAGTACCCCTATTAAAATACAAACAACCAAGAGCTCTGTGTTCACACTACAACTGTGAAGGGTATAAAAACTGTAAAAATATACACCAAAACGCCAACACCAACAGCAATACCAAATACAAAATACCAAATACCAACATTAACAACGCAAACAGACACTCACAACTGTACATTCTGCCATCTGGCACCCCATTCCACCACATGCCATACGAACCAAGGAACCCCCAACCCCTCCATCTACACTCTGTAAACAGCTTCTTTCCGACACTTTTTTCAGTTGATTCTTTCCAGTAATACTCTCTATTACGTATCCTTGATTTCTACTCTACTACCCTCTCTGTTCATAATTTCGATTCACACCTTTCCACCACTCTACAACGCTCTCTCATACGCTCTTAGTACTACTCTGCCTAGTCATGTAATTAGCCGCTAAAAAACCGTCCAGAAACGCTTTACAAAATTCCAAAACAAACAAGACAAATCTTTGTAAACATCAAAATCAAACAAACAAACAAAAAAGAAACCATACAAATCCTTTGAAAAGAACTCTCTTGATCTTGACTGTACTCGTACTCGTACTCGTAAGTTCTTGCGTAGTAGACGATGCTTCTATCATATTTGCATTCAACATTCGTTTCGATTTTGTTTTTACATCTTTGTATTTTCCTTTGAGATGCCTTTAAAATAAAATGCGTAAGCCGAATCGAAGTTTCGTTTTGTAATAGCAATGCCATTTATCAAGCTCAAATTTCAAATTCATTTTTCAGTATTTGATTAACATGCAAAAACCAAAAACCAAAAAACATTTAACTAAACCATTCTCTGTACTTGTAAACATTTAAAGTCCAACTTGTGTATATGTTTTCTGACCACTCCCTCGATCGGACCGACACTTTGCTAAACTTATCCCAAACCCTTCTTCCCCCCGATCCCGATCGTGCCACAGACAAGGATTGCAAACATACTGGGCGTGGCCGGCACCGACGTGCCCATCAATGAAATCAAAAAGCTGCTGTCGCCATTTATGGTAGGTCCCTTCCACTGCGTACAGTCCTGCAAGTAATCCCCTTTCTGTGTCCACAGCTGGGCGTGAATGGCTACGCGTTTATAGTAACCAACAACGGTTATGTACTATTCCATCCAGACTTTCGTCCAATTGTAAGTGTGCCTCGATGGTACTCGATTGTATTCTGAATTGCTAATGGTTTGGTTTGTTCCAGTTCCAAGGTTATATACTGAAACCAGCATACAATAGCGTGGACATGATTGAAGTTGAGCTGTTGGATGACGATCGACCCGCCAGAGACTTCAATCCAGTGCTGATGACGGTACGAATCCCATCTTTATCTGAACCGTAAAGATACTAAATGTATATTTCGATTCCTGAACAGATACGCGATTCTATAATCAATCAATCGACTGGCAGCAAATGGATGTTGGTCAAAAATCATTTCGATGAAATGGTAAGCAATCCCTACACTATATTACTCCCCAAAACTGCAAGACTTTAATCGGATTTTGGTTGACAGAAACGGGTGACTCGCATCAAGCGGCAGTATTACTGGACAGCCATCAAGAACACACCATTCACATTGGTCATCTCCTATCCGGAGCAGTACGGCGTCAGTCGCATAGATATACGGTCCGAGCAGGACATCCATCGCGTCAATATCAAGGGCACAAACATACGCAGCTTCTTCGATGGCAAGCGATGGAAAATACATCCAGATTGGTGCGTCTATCTACCTTCTAAAGAAGTAACACAATATAATCCTGTGTGCATTTGTAGGCTATTTTGCAAGCACAGCAACAGGACATTCAGAACGCCAGAGACAGAACTTTTGTACTTTCTCGAGCGTATGACTGAGCCTGGCTGGCGATGGCCAGCGAGTCGAAGCGCTATGCCCCCGGAGCATACAGCTGCCATGTTCTGTAAGTATAACCCCAGCCCAGTCCCCAGCCCCCACCGATTTCCGCTGCTCTCCAAAACAAACGCTTCGAAAACGCCGCGCCTCCCGTTATCTCCAAAATCTATCTCTGCTATGCCTATTTTGTGTGCTCGATGTTCTGTTCCTATGGCTAGACATACGAAAATTACGATTGCAATCTCAATATTCATGCAAATTCACAGCTAACAACTCATCAACTGGCCGCTATCCATCAATCAATGAAAAAGAAAGCTACTATTGTGAGTAACGAATGCCTCAAGCCATCAGTCACAGTTACAGTTACAGTCACAGTCACAGTCACAGTCACAGTCACAGTCTGTTGTGCACCCACACGTACACACACGCACCCACCGTAGCACCGAACTCATTTCTCTCTCTCTCTCACCTGCACCTCATCCACTTCCTGTGGATATGCCCCGTAGATGTTTATGGTCCGTACTGTACTTGGCTGTGAACCGATGACATTTATTTGCAATACTCTTACCAATGCATTTTCTGTACCCATTTCGTGTTAACTATTTTCCAAATATGTTTATGTATAGTGCGTTTCAATGCTTTAAGACACTAAGCTCAATAGAAACCCCGCCCTGGGAAGGCTACACTCAGAAAAACCATATTCAGAGTAAATATTCGGTTTTTAAATACATCTAATAAATATTAAAAAGTCGATCTAAATAAAAACCGCCTTACAATAAATAGCATATATACATTTTTGTAGGAAATATATTTAATCTAAATATGAAAAAAGAAATATATTTAGATCAAGGGAAAACACTTTTACAATTTCCATTCTCCTTGCGAATATATATTCTTAAATCTGTGAAAATCTTGAAAATAAATTTTAAATTCTGATAGTGTCTTATGGTTTTGTAGCCCACTGTAGTTAGCTGAGGAATTTGCACCTTACAATCGTTGCATGTCACAGAGGATTCTGATAATACAGCTCCCGTTTATGTCACAGATCTGTTCCAACACCAAGCCAATCCGCTAAAAATACGTGTAACTGGAGAATAGAGGGGCAACACTGGCAACCCAATTATTCTCCAGATTACTCATATGTACAAGTGTTTTTTGTTTTGGTGGCTCCTTTTGACTCTCGTGTGGTTTTGTGTTGCAGGCGATAGGCAGCTGATGCAGGCCCTGGTCTTCGATGCCGGCGTCACCGAGTGGTTCTCTAAGAATTCCAGCTTCAACTCCAAGGAGGACAAGAGGTAAGTGGGGGGGGGGGACTGGGCTGCGTAGCGGAGAAGGGTATGAAATAGTGCCTAGGCTTGACACCTCAAGTACAGTCAACGCCCCGCCCCGTACAGATCCCTACAGATCGAAGGCAGCACAGCTCATACTCGTATTAACCATATTTTTATGTTTTATTTCTGTGTACGCCCTTTCTTTTTCTCACATTTATTTGCACTTTATTGTACGAATTCTTTCCGTCGTCTTTGTCGCTGTTTTTTGATATTTGATGTCTCTCTCATAATGAATTTTTTCGCACCCACAATATTGAAATATATCTATTGATTATTGAATATTGAATATACGTATCTCCTGAACTTGATATGCCACAAAAACATAATGCCTCTTCATAATGAATACCAAAAACATTCACAAATCTAGCACAAGCGCATCAAGCCCAATAGCCGTTCTAATGGGTTTGCTGCCAAGGTAAACGAATACTACAGTATACTTCAGTACTTCCTTATAATTAGTCATAAAATACATATCTACCCAACCTCGAACAAGTCTCTAATGTAGCCCTTCTATCTGTTGGCTTAGAAACGAATTCAAGCAGCGTTTTGGCGTCACCGTCGCCTTCCTGGCCACCCACAGCGGCCTCACACGCTGGCACGAGTTCAACTTGGCCGAGGAGCCAAGTGTCGGGTAAGATTACTACCACTCTAACTACAGATATGCATATGTAAGGACTTCTTTTTTGCAGTGAGACCTTCAGCCAGAAAAACAAACGCGCCATCGATGAGATCTGGTACAAGCGCGCCGTGGAACAACATTTTGTACGGGCGGAAAGCTTTGTCTACTCCGTGCCCTTCGATGCGGGCGGTATGTTGGGGGTAAGAGCTATATTTTGGACTCCACATAATCGTCTCTTTGTCATTTAGAAAGCAACTCTGAGATCCTTGTAACTGCCAGTCATGCCATCTTCCATAATGAGGGCGGCAAATCCGCACCGGCGGCCGTTGTGGGCTTCCAGTTTCAGCACTCGGCGCTCTATAAGCTCTTCCACAATATCACCGGCAACGTGAGTGTACATTTACGATCTTTCCATATCTATCTGCCCTTGATTTCTTTCTCTTTACAGGCCTGTGCCGTGGATGACAAAGACTGCTATATACTGGACAACAATGGCTATGTGATCATCTCGACGAGAGTGCACGAAACGGGCAGATTCTTCGGCGAGGTCAATGGGGCGATTATGAAGCGTCTGCTGGAGGAGAACGTCTACAAGCGGGTCTTCGTCTATGACTACCAGGCAGTGTGCTTCGAGTCCAGGGGCGACAACAATGCATCCAGCATGCTGCTATCGGTAGGCGCGAATCCACTGGGATTCCCATGCACAATCCATACATATATGTATCACTCGATATTGACCACTTTCTGCCCCTTTCAGCCACTTTATCATGTTCTTCGACTGAGCAAATGGCTGCTGCATACGGCGCTGTGGTATATTGTGCAACTGATGCAACTGGCGCCCGGGGTGTCCGCCCACTACGCTGAAATGTACAGCGACATGAACGGCACTGAGCCGGAGCCAGAGCACCACCACAATGGTCATGGCAAGAAGTCGGAAACCGAGGAGCATTGGCTCCGTTATCTGACGCTGCACCGGACACGCCTCAAGTCCTGCGACATGCAGCGAGAGCTCTACACGCTCTACAACGAGAAGGACAACGTTGTCTACAATATGACAGCGCACGCATGCGAGCGGCCATTTGTCGTCCTGCCCATACCGTTCAGCAACCTCATACTACTGGTCGTCGACCAGCTCTGTCCGCGGGACGCTGCCCTCGTGCTGACGGTCAATCCGCAGACCATCGACTATCATCTGTCGGTGAACGATTCGCTGGCCTGCTACAAGCACGCCCGCGAGTTCAACCGCGTGCGGCCCCAGAGCTGCATCAGTCGGCATGCGAATGTGAGTGGACTATGGGATTGTATATAATGGATATCTAATAGCTCGCTCCATTTTCCAGGAGAGCAACATCAAGCTATGCGGCAAGGCCTGCTCCCTCTATGCGAACCTCGCCCTCTTACTGTTCTGCCATATCCTGAGTCGCTGGCTGTAACGGCAATCGATCAGATTAGCTTAAATCTAGGCAATACGTTTTTGTATCATATTGTACGAGTATAGGACCCCCAGCCCCTCTCCCGCCCCACGACCCAACAGCAATCCCCAGAACAAAGGAATTTTTTTACTCTCAATGCTTGAGCGCAGTTAAATAATACTTAAAAATATTTTTGGTCACCTAGAGAAAATTTTCCAAATTAGTTCTTAAGTAGCTAAATATGTATCTGTTTTCGGTGGTTGAGAGGCGGGGAGGAGGACGAGGTGGAGGTGGAGGTGGAGAAGGAAACCAAATTGAATACCGGGAAAGTGCGTGCCGACTGTGAGAGGTGGACGGGTGACTGGGCGGAGCGCCAGGCTTAAGCTTGCATATATAGTATATATTGTGGACCTTCCAATAGACAAACTTAATTAGAAAATGTACACTTACGAGTATTACGTAGAGTATATGAGACTACACAAATCCAACAACGGCCTTAAACGACTTGCAAATACCACATATGTATGTATGTACATACATATGTATTATACGCTGAACGCCAAGCGCCGTCGAGGGCGCGATTCAAGTAATAGAACGCAATAGAACTCATGGCACGCACTGTACCAATGCCGACTACTGCCCATGGTTATGTGAGTGATTGAGTGAGTGAGGAGCGAGTGAGTGTTTTCAATGAGTGTTGTGTTCGAATGAAAGTGAAAGTGAATGTTTGTTGTTAAATCTTAATTTAAGACGGCCACATTTGTAAGTAACACTTAGCTACAAAGATTTATGTTTAATGAGCGGATCAAGAACACTATCGATAAAGCGAATAATGGAACCATTAAAATTATATAGACATATATATATAATGTATGTACACACCCACACACTTATACGATATACTACCTATATATAATACATACTATACATACATCCAAACAAACAAACAAACAAACAATACATACATACTACATCTAAGTAGCTTTTGTATATTTGCTTAGCTTAGCCCGCATTTGGGGGGAGAAACTGACCGAAATTTCTGCCTTGAAGAATTACATACATACTTTTGTAACAACAGATTCGTTAATGATGATCTAAGCCGAAACTGACCTACATAAATGCAATGTTTTTATATATATAGTTAATGCGAAATACGAATTAATGACGACGATGATGATACGTAGCATAACCCACAAGTACCTACATATATGGAAGACGGAAGGATAAATCAACTTTTTATTACTACTACTTGATACTTGAGCCACAGAACTGAGCCGCGGACAGCGCTGATTGGTGTTAGCAAAACAGCATCTAGTAACTAAAGTATGATATACTCGTACGAATATTAATTTTGAACATTGACTAGTTGAAATTTACCAAGAACTTGCGCTCTTAAGAATCTTATCTTACTAGCGGCTAGGCGAAAACAAATACACAAACAAAACCCTCGACAGAGCGGGATCTCACCTCAGATCGGATTGGAACTTACTAAGCTTTAGCCACCCACTTGTTCCCCCATTGGTAGTGTAATCGACTTGTGCCATTTGAACTGCCTAGAATTTGTTATTAACTATTTACTAATCGAAATGATCGTCATTCAATCATTCTATCAAATATTCCCACGAAGTTTCCCATACGATCATCCTCGCCTCTCACAGGTTGTTACACACCAAAAACATATGTAAATTCCGTTAGAATCCCAGCAAAACAATGAGAGACCGAGATAGGAAGAGTGCGAGATGCTGAGAAATACTTCTCGAAGAAACTCCTTTTACACATTGTCTCGAATCTCGAATACTACACTAGGATAGATCCATTCCCCAATCTCAAATTTCCAATATTAATTAATACAACTTTTCACATACACACAGACACATACACAAACAGAGACACACACAACTCTCGCTAATGACAGCCACAATTGTATTACATTAAATAAACTACAAATAATAATAAAAAGAAAAACCAAAAAACATTTGTCTACTGTGCTAAAAGAAGAAAATGATAATAAAAACGAAATAATTTCACAATTATTCCCCTATGCGTCTCGTTTCTACGGTCAGACTCTACTATTCCCTTTGCCAGCAGAAGCTCCAGAATGAATGCCACATTCAAAAGTATTGGTAAGGGTGAAGGAATGGTGGTTGGAGGTAAGGCAGCGCACCCTGGACGAGGAAGAGAGTGGGAGGTTATTGTGGTTATAATGTCATATCATATCATCCAGATTCAGCAATCTGGTAAGATGGTAGAATAATTCTTTGACTCTAGATGCTCCTTGTGACGGCGCAAAGAGGCGTTCCGATATCTGGAGATACTTGTAACAGTGTGAAGTCCAAAGGACTGGATACAAAATTTGGTCGCTTTAAGTTTTATAGAATAAAATATATATATTAAGAGAAAAAATACAAAAAATGGGGGGTAGAGGGAAGATATGTAGATGTACACACAAATTTTTTTTGGAAGTGATGCAGACCGATAGGAGATCGATTCGAAAAGGACAGTTGGGATTGAAATTTTCGTTATGCTTAACAATTTATTTTAACACAAGTTTTATATTATTTTACAGAACTTTCATGGTATTACAAAAAATGACCTTACGCTAGTAATTAAAATCTAATTTATCTAGATGACGTGTCTCGTTATGTGCAAGATTTCATTCAGCTGGTTCAATATGTGATCGTTTGTCGATTCAACCTTTAGCTCGTTCATATGTATAGTATGTGGGATACACTCTACTCTCTATATTTAAATACATATGTTAAATAGCAGTAGATCATATGTGTATCAGGGACTTCTGTGCAATTATGCCTATATGGTGTGTGCAAACGCAATGCTAAATGTATTTTACAAGACAAATGTGTAAAAAAAAATTAGTCGATTACAGTAAATTATAATAGCATATTACTCTTAAGAAGTCTCTCTCAGTTTGGAAATCTCAATTCACGAAAATAAACGTCAGGATTTAACGATTAATATGACAAAAAAAATCATAAAGTGCGCGCGACCCTTTTGAAAAAGACCCTATTCCGCTTAGGTCGAGTAGTCCAAGGGTCCGGCACCGTTCTGCTGCATACGCACGGAGCGACGTCGCGTCGAGATGCGGGCAGGCCCCGCCACTACTCCCGCTTCAGTAGACTCGGGGCATACTGCTCCAGATTCCACGCTCGCTAATGTTGGCTGTGCAACAGCCGTCGCCTCTTCGCTGACCATTCCAGTAGCAGAATTATCGAGGATCAGTGGCGTTGCCACCGTAGCTGCTACCGTCGCTGCTGCATGTAGTTCTTCCTCCAACTGGGAGCTTCGTCGCGTCGGCATGCCTCGCAGCTTGGACTTCTTGGGCGGCAGTATTCTGGGTGTACTTACTTCCCTCACCGTGGTCATTTCCTCCACACTGTAGCTCACAGGGGTCGGGGTCGGTGTGACCATGTTCGTGGTCGTCTCCTCTTCGTAGTTCCTCTTGCGTGCCAATCGCGCGGAATTTCCATTCCCATTACCGTTGCTATTGCTGTTGTTCACATCATCGGGCAGAATATGCTCTCCGGGAACAGAGCTGGGCAAAATTTGTTCGTTGTTATTAACGCTCCTGGTATCTCCGTTCAAATAGTCGGGATGTGCGGCTTTGCTCTCTAGTGCGACGTTCTCGTCGATCGGCTCTAGTTTTCCTATCGTCGAGGGAGTCGGCGTCTGTGGCGGCGACATCTTGTTGGTGCCGTTGGTGGTGGGTGGTGCCATCGCGACGGTATCGTCCTTCGTGTGAGCCTGCTTCAGCTGAGCATTGTCTTTCTCCAGCGTTTGTATGCGATCGCGTGTGGTCTTCAGTTCCTGCTGCAGAAACAATATGGTGCTCTGCATGCCCTCCACATCCTCGTCGAGCTCTTGCAGAAAGTCATCCAGCTCTGAGAAGAAAAAGAAAGAGATGTCAGTCGAAGCCAAGGCAGCAAAATACGCCTCAACCTACCCGATTGCGATTTCTTAACCTCCTCGCTGAAGCTCTTCTGCATGGCCAGTTCAGTCTCTAGCTTTGCTAGCCTTCCGTTCGATGTCATCTTGCCCAGTTCCTCGTTCTCCTGGTAGAGCAGGCGGCACTTGGCCATCAGCCGCTTGCCTGTGTTGGAGTCCGGCGTAAATTTCCATGCAGACAGCTCGTTCTGGGTCTCCTCCAGCTTGGTCTTTGTGGCCTTTAGCTCTTTTTTGAGTCGCTCAAAGAGCAGATTGACAGCCGGATCCAAAAGAGCGGTGCGCAACGCCAGGGCTGTCGGTGCCTGCTGTGCCTTGTACTCGGCAATTTGGCTCTGTACGGGAATCAGAATTAGATGTGTCTACAACAGAGTTTGGGCTAACCTACCACATAGTCCTGAAACTCCTGCTCCTTGTTGGCCAGCCGCCGCATAAGGATCTTCTCGCGACGCTGGGCATCGGCACAGATCTGCCCCATGCGTACCTGCTCCAGCTTGAGGGTTTCGATCTCATCTGCAGGACGGAAAACAAAGTTAGGGTCTGTGTTAGCCAGAGCTTTTCGGAGCTATTCGTGAAAGCCATTCGCTTCACAGATCAGGCGGCCAATGCAATTCTTTTACACATATGCCATTGCATTGCCATTGTCTTTTTGAACAATTATACATGGTATTTTACAAGTTTTTGGGACAGAGTGTGTGTGTTTGATTAAAGGGAACTTAATGCGAGTTCATACCAATGCGTTGCAATCTTTCGTGTAAGTTCGTGACATTGTTGGTGGAAAAGGCCGCAGCCGCCGCCGCCGCCGTCCTTCGCTAGACTCTTGTTGGGCGCGGAGGGGGTTGTCACGAGTCACGGTTTTTTGGGAAACTTGAACACGATTCATTCTTTATCTTGCACTTATTCATATCATATCATATCGGATCATATATTGCTTGCTTGCTTGGGCTCTTGCTTTTACTTGCATTATTTCTCGATTCGATTTCGCTTTTCTTTCTTTTTGCAAACACTGTGGGGAACAGCAACAAACGGTTGAACAGATTTTATTGTGGCAGAACGGAAAATGATTTTGAAAAACACTTGCAAAAAACTCGATGCACGCACACATTTTGCTCAGAAAGCTCTCTAGGAAAGCTTTCCACTCTCTTCTCTTCATTCATTCAGTATTGCATTGCTTTTGCTTTGCGGCATTTTCGAACACTCTTTTGTGATATACAAAAAGTTTATTGACTTTGGTATTTTTGTTGTATTTGACTTTTTCTTGTTGTGCAAACACACTTTTGTATTTATTTATACAATTAATTTATTTATGCAAACAATTCTGCTTTGTAGAACTCGCCGAGGTGCCTACATGTATGCGTGCATTTGTGTGTGATTGCGGCCTGAATTACAGTTAATTAACTGCTTAAATGAGAGCATTCTATTTCGCTAGCAGATTTGTTGTAGCTATTATTTAATGACACTATGTGATTGCTTATCTTATCGAAACAGCAACAAAACCGAATCATGCACACCGAACACACACAATACAGAGGCTCAGCTCTTTGGCGCCTTTTTTAATTTATTTATACAACTTTGAGAGTTCTTTGGCCATGATTTTATATATATATTTGGATTATATTTTCTCTTTCACTGTATACCGGGATAACACAAAACTTGAACAGAAAAATAATTGTGATTTATTTGTGCGACCTCTTGTGCTTTTTTTATATGTAATACACTCGCCTTTCATTGGCGCTTTATTCATTTATAATTTCTTTTCGTTTTAATGGAATCAAATGGGAGAGAGTATGGCAGAGAGACGAGAGTGGCAGATAGTAAAAGAGAGAGAGAGATATATATATATATATGGATGGTGGGGGGCCAGAGACACGTTGGCGGCTCTGCTCTGGCACGTAGGCAAACGAAAAAGTGGTCGAAACAAAAACGAAAAACTAACTGTACACAGCGACGCCGAACGAGAGAACGCGAGAGATTTTCGAGGTTTTATTATATTTTGGTTTACATTTTGTTATCATTTTTATCAGATTTATATTTGATTGTTCTTTTGCACAACACTTTACAACACTTTTGCTTTATTTTATTCATGAAGTTCATTACATTTTTGTATTTTCAATGAATATATTTTTTAATGATTTATGCATTTATTAGCTATTATTGGGTTATATACTCGTTTAGCGTTCATTTCTCTGGCACTTTCACAATTTCTAAAGTTTTATTTAAAAATAAAAATAACAAAAGGTTTCTAAACGCTGTTGGAAACTGTTCTTCCGCAGAGAGTGTTCGCTTCGAGGATCATATCGTGGCACACACGTGGAGTTCTTTTCCGAGTGTTTTTCATAAACAATTTTTCTCCTGCGCACAAACCAAAAGAGAGTGCAGGTGAATCGATAGGGAATACTTACAGGGTATATTAAGAGAGAGAGAGAGTTCAAATCAAGAATGGGAACTAGGCAATTTATGAAATTATAGTACAGAATTTACACCAATTTTTACACTTTCGTTTCTGTTCTTCCCGCTCTTTTTTTGTATATAAAGATAGAGTATATAGGAGCTTTGATTACTGTTATGTATAATACCTTCGAGCAGACGCTGGCGCTGTTCGGCGGCTGCAACAGCCTCTGCAACAGCGGCATGCTGTTGTTCTTGCTGCTGCAGTTGTTGGCGCTGTTGCTCCTGGTTGGGGGTATGGTGCTGGTGGTGGTGCGAGTGGTGCGGATGATGCGGATGGTGGTGCGACTCCTCGGACCCGGAGGGTGTGGGCGATGCCGGGCCAGAGGGCGGCACGCCCCCTCCACCAACACCTCCCGCGCTGATGCCACTGCTGGCGCCACTGCTTATAAGGTTTATGTTTTGCTCGTATTTGGCTGTCGACATTTTGTCGTAACTGTTCATCAGCGGTCTCTGATCGTCCATAGTCATTGCAGCGACACTCATAACTCGGTTTCAAAAGGCTCTTGCTGTTCGTGTTGGGGGTCCTTTGCCAGCGTTGTTTTGCATATGGGGCAGAAAAAATTACACACGGATGCACCACACTGCCAATGCGTACACACCAATGGCGACGCGGAGGCAAGAGCGAGAGAATTTCGTTGCCCACTTACAGATGCCAAAAACACGTACTTTTCACGTACTTGCAACGTTGAATTATTGATTACGTGGTGGATTGTTCATTTATTATCACTTTTTTTATATTTTGATGTGGTTATTTGCACTTTGACGTCGATATTTTACAATTTTTCACGCAACGACGCAGTCAAGCTGAAATTTTAAAACAACATGGCGTCCAGTGTGACCGCGCTCTGACCCCTTAGAAAAATACCGTCTCCTTTCAAGAATATACCGAAAAATATACCGATGACAAAAACGAACTTATCCCACTTAAGCCCCCTCTATTTAAGCAGTTCAACGATTTGTTGTAAATGGCGGAAAATATTCGTATTTGTTTGTTCTTCTCGTAGATTTTCTTAACAAAGCCACGATATTTTTCACCTCAACCTCATCATTTATTCCAATAGATTGCATTTAAATCCTTGTCGCACATTCGCTTTCAAACAATTTCTATTTGGCGCGCACCTCTCGGCTCTTTTTGCTCTCTCTGAATCAGTTATGAATCGGTATCAACAACCCCATTCCATGCACAAAAGTCGCGGCAACATAAATTTGTATGAGTAAGAGAAAACGAGCAGCATGTCCCTCAACGTGGGCATTCTGCCTACCCTAGGAAAATGTTTGTCATAATTGTCTGTCTCTGTTTAAAAGGTATTCCAACGATATTTTGCAATTAGTGGTTTTCTTACATAGATCAGAAATGCGTATCGGGATCAGGATGTAAAGGAAACTAATAAGAGTTTCTAACAGTTTTATATTAATATTCAATTAACGAAATAGGGTATACAAATGGCCATACTTCGGTTCACAAGCACTGAGTCTTCAAATACCAGCGACATTGAAGTGACAACATTGCGTTTTTTTGTTGACCTTTTTTGTTTAAACAATCTTTTAGTCAAAATACAATAAGATGGAGTACTGAAAATTAGTTAATCTTGTATAAAATTTATTCATCAATGGGATAAAACTATGTGGGCAGGGTTGACGGTTCTATCTAGCTAGTAATATTCAACGGAATATGAAAATCGAGGAATATGTATTATGGCACTTGGATAATTCGTCTGTATATTTACGGTATATTTTGAAAATAGTCGGTATATTTTGGTATAGTTCTTGTATAAAACGTGCTGTTATACGCATCAGCTGATTCAGCTGGAATTTCTTGCAATTTATTTTGAACGCAATATGGAATCGATTCTACAGGTGAAATTGGAACAGCCCAATATCAAGGAACGTTTGAATTTGCATGTCAAGAGGCGGCTGCAACAGGATGCAGATACCCCAGCCGAGAGCACTGAGTTATTCCCTGATCTGTCCTGGCAAGGAAAGCGTGGCAAGGCGAAGGAACCTATGAAACAACGCAAACCGTATCAGAAACGAGCGGAAAAGACTAAAACGGAGACCACAAAGTGCAAGAAAGGTAGATTAGTGTAGAGTTTAGAAAGAGATAGGTAATATTTCACAATTTCAGCCACGCAAATCGCCAGCCCAGCGCTAGAAGCGGAGCCACTGGACGAGCAGGAGACTGAAGCAGTCGGTTCCCCAGAGGCGGCAGAGCATAAGTCCACTAACCGAGATCGCTATAAGAATGCGGACATACTCAATATGGTGCTGAGCTCCAAAAAGCGAGCTCTAATGCAGGATCCCGAGGTTCAGGCATTCTGGACTCGAATCATGGCAGCCATCAAGACCTAAAGAGGTGCGCCAGACTGTTATCCGCGACTACATCTCTGTTAAGGGCCGAAACGGCTATTCAAAATGTATGTTAATGGGCATGCTCTGTTGGCAGCGTGGAGGGAATGGTTTTTCAAAAGTTTGTTAAGTTAAATAATTGTAGAACTCGAATTGAATGTTCCTTGTCTCAGTGCGCAGTCTCCACTCTCCCATCTTGCCGGCCGATGCGGTGGCCTGCGTACAGCTGCAGATTTTGCGCTCAGAAGGAATTTCACCGTGTCTGGGGTTGCATCGCGTCGCGTGACCGCACAGAAAAGCAAACCAAATATAATAACACTTCAAAATATATAAAAAAAAATCGTGTGTGTTTGTCGAACCCCAAAAAGGTAGCTGCCCCGACATCGATCAAGTGCACTTTTCAAACCACAAGCCTGCCGGCGATTCCGCAATCGAGGGCCCATCAGTTGGCCATTAAGCCGTACTATTAGATAATCCCGCTTGGGGCACGGGCTCCGGCGCGTTTTGCTATCGATTTAACTTTTTTCGCTTGGTTTCTTTTAGGGCGCTCATTCTCACGCTCTCTCGGTCGGTCTGCCAAAGCTCATGGGGACAGCAGGGTGTATATATATATGGTGAGGTACTTCTCACACGCGAAAGCAGCTGAACCATACATATATGAGGGAACACTGTAGCTCTCTGTGAATGACTCACCCTGTATAAATACACCTTGGGTGACTGACTGACTAACGCTCTCTCTCTCTCTCGCTCTCTCTCTTTCCGTGCACGCTTTGACTTTGTGCTTCGTCCTTGCGAGAGAATTTGCACTGAAATCGTACTCACTCCACCCACCGACAAAGCCCTTCTTTTCGTTTTCAAGAGTTTCGGAACTTTCATTTCCATTCTGGTCGGACGTCAGCTTGAAATAGTTCGAAAGAAACCCCAACCCAAGGAAATTAATTCCGGACTCCCACATCATCATCCGCTCTTATGTAAATGAACACAACGACAAAAGATATACTCGACATATACTCGTAGAACATATCGTTATGGAAAGGCAGACATTTGAGAACTATATAAAATAGTGGTAAGGGCCTGGGCATTATATAACAGTGAGACAACACATAAATGTGAAAAGTGACTTCAAAACAAATCAGTGAAAAGTGAAAAGCGAAGAGCGACAAAATCATTACAAAACAGTTTGAAAAAATGAAAAAACCCTTACGTACATAGTATATGTATAAATGGAGTGTAATAAATCCTAATTGAATTGAGTCTAAAGACCACAATCTTGTATAATCAAACCAAAAAAAAAAGAAGCTATAGATTACTTAACCCTTATATTATTTTGATAAAAGAGTCATATCTAATACAGCGAAAGCACTTCAAATAAGAACAAAAAAAAACGTATTGTCTGTTAATCCAAGAGTCCTTGCACCCTGTACATATACTTGTATATTTTATTATACAACCGAGAGTGCAGCAGATATGTACCTGCCGAACCGAACCCCATCTACCATCTACGAACCACCTGAACCACCACCTGAGCAACTATTTCGTTCCACTTATTCTGCCTAGTTCGTTGGTGCTTGCCTTCTTTTTTTTAATGGCTAAATCGATAGGGTATGCCTTTATGCCAATTATCTGACTATTACATAACAAAAGAAAAAAAGCCAACCGAGAAAACGGTGGGAAACAGACCCTGACAGACCAGACGCAAGGCAGTAGATTACTTGAAGGAACATTTCCCGCAGGAACTGCCAAAAGACGGAGACACTTGACAACATGCAGCACAATGAGGTGCCACTGAGGGGGAGTCACGGTATGGTATGGTCTGAACTAGGTCATTCATTGAATTTTGTGGAGCCACAGAGCGGGAGGGAGGCAGGCAGGCTGGAAGGGAGATTCATATGAAGATGGATATGGAGCTTTGTGGAGTGTTGCATGCCACAGAGAATGCAATCTAATCGAAAAAGGCACATCCAATATTTAAGGGGAAGTGGCATAATGGACACACAGACACACTCGCCAAATGCCCCCTCCCGTATGGCGGGGGGTACTCTACCCTTCCGCCCGACAACAGCATTTTGTTGTGATTGACGGGTCCCGACATGACAACAGCCCCTTGACTACCATATTGATTGGCTTTTCATTCGTTCAGCTGTCCATTTTTCATTTTTCTTCTCCACATGCTCTGTGTGTGTGTGTGTGTGTGTACTGTCTGAGTCTGTGTGTGCCAGAAACCCGAATTCGAGGCGTATGCGTAATATTGCCAACTCTGATCATATTCTCCTCTTCCGCTTCCCCAGCAGCTTAGCAATTGGATTGGTGCTCTACTAAGGTTTCAGTGCATTGCACTTTTCTTGATTACGTATACGACCTGGTGCTTGTACAAGTTAATAGAGGAGGAGACGGAGTTGTCTGCTGTCAAAGGGGTGTCTGGTGTCTCCCTCACAGGAATGGCGGGAGTACTTTTGTAATTACTTTTGGCCAATAGAGACTTGACATAGAAAGGTAAAACTATGTACATTGACGTTTTTCTGCCCCATTCCAATATTTTAGTATATTGTTCCGTTTAAAGGAATTGGTTTATTTCTCATCTCATATCGGGTAATTCATAATTTAAGACCGCTTTGATCTTCCGTCTCAAAGGTAGTTCCAAAAATAAATCTCTTGAGCTTAAGTATCAGAGCTTTGAATGCTCAACAACTTTAACGGTAAATTGCTTTTCCCCCGTTAAATGTCCCGTAAATTGCTCCTGTATAGTGCACCACCCGTGTGGGCCGTGCCACAATCACAATTCACTCGAGGCGGCCCCGAGGCCAACTCGACCAGGCCTGAGGGGAATGAAATGGCAACGGAAAAGCGCTTGCGATGACAAAACTATTAAAAGATTACCCCTATTGGCGGGTATGGGAGGGAATTGGGTGAGTGGGTGGTGGAATGGGTTGCCTAGCTACAGGACAGCAAATGCAATAGGTTCCTCATCCGTAACACCCACTCTACACGAAGGAAAATCAATGTTTAAGCCATTGGCCCACTAAATCGTAGATAGTAATCATGGAAATCCTATTAAGTGTCCATGCTTCCCATTAGAATCTCATAAAAAGCCACTGCACACATTCCATTAGTGCTACAAGAAATTAATAATAAACCTTAACATTTAAATCATTTGAAATTCACTTTGAGCCAGGGCAGTGATCAAGCTCGACGCCAAGAGCATTGGGTTGGCTTCGACAGGCCCACTAATTGGGTCGCCCGAATGGGTTCCACACAGAGCGCGTCATTACAGTTTCGTTCCAATTATCTTTGCCTCAGCGAGTGGAGTGCAAGAAGACAGAGCTAGAGAGAGAGAGCGCATCTGATGCATTGCGCAGTCGCATTTATTACCTCACACTTTCTTGCCTAACCCCCCCGCCCCCAGACCGTGCTGTCGAACTGCACTTCTTTCGTAGTTCTCGTTTCTTTTTTTTTTTTGTCTTTCCTATTTGCGTCCCACTTTGCTCTGCCGTTATTCCCATTCCTCTTTGCCCTATTCCGCATAGCTTTCGGTTTATTTTTGCCCAATGGATTTTCACTTTTCATCGTCGGGGTGAAGAGATGAGAGCGAAGCGAGTGGCAGAATCGCGGCAGTTCGGCAGTTCTGTTTACACAGAATTAGCAAATGCATTCTCATTTTCCAGGCTAACATGATAATCTAACAGCAAAGGAAACCGCAAATTGTTCAACGAAATCCAACAAATTGTTGGAGAAAGAAGAGTTTTAAAAGAGACTAAGAGCATAAGTAAATAAACGAAAAACCCAAGTGCAGAGAAAATGTCGCCGTTCATGGAGAAAGTGTTGTTGCTGTTAGGCGTGCTCTGCTGCATACAAGGTAAGCCCCCCACTTTATGCAATGCAAAAAAGGCAACCCTGTCCCGACCGACACAAAAACAGCCCTGACAGTTGACAGCCCTGACATTTGGCGAACTGTACCTGTACCTGTACTATATAACGGTGTAACCCGCTGTTGCTTTTCTCTTCCCGTCCCCAGTGTCCACTGCCCTGATGTGCTACGACTGCAACAGCGAATTCGATCCTCGCTGCGGCGATCCCTTCGAGCCGTACTCCATTGGCGAGGTCAACTGCAGCAAACAGGAGCCCCTGGAGCATCTCAAGGACAGGTACAAGCCCACCTTGTGCCGCAAAACTGTGCAGAAGAGTGAGTCATAGTCCCAATACTCCAAGTCCGATCAATATAATGCTAATCCTTGTGCATTCCCATCCAAGTCTATGGCAAGACCCGCATTGTGCGCGGCTGCGGCTACATTCACGACGAGCGCACCGATGTGGAGTGCGTGCGGCGTTCGGGCACCCACGATGTGGCTGCCATCTACTGCTCCTGCACCAAGGACCTGTGCAACGGCGGCAACTCGCTGACAGCCCCGTGGATGATACTGCCTCTCGCCCTGGCCGCCGGCTGCGCGCTCCTGCTGACCTCCGGGCACACAATAAAAGTCCAGAGCTCATAAATTTAGCTGGGATCTAGCGCTTTCACACCTCCAATTGTATCCACTTATTTTTGCCTTACTTTCGATGGTTTTTCTTGGCCTGGTGCAGGTCCGGACTTGATGCTCATTTAGTTGCATAATTTAATTTAATTTAATGTGTTCGTAAGTGTAAAAGAACTAACAATAAATTGAAAATTATCTTATGGTCACGCATGATAAACAGCAAAAGAGCATAACGAAACAAAAAAACAACAAAAAAAACAGCAGTTATTGGGGGCAGTAATACAAATAAATCCACATTTCCCTTAACATTATGTTCGAAATTAAAAAAAAAAAATACAGAGAAACTGCCAGTAAATGTCTCCGCCTGAAAAATTTCAAAACTTTAATCCAGAATAAAACTTGACAAAGCAAAAACTATAATTAATTAATCTTTGTTGCGGCGAAACATCTGAGAAGCCCGACAAGAGAAGAAACCCAAAAAAATGTATAATTTAACACCACGACAGAATAGGGCAACGGCAACCCAACCCTAGAAGGTAACCCCTTCGTATAAGCTATGCGAAAAACCGAAGGTAAACTAATTGAGAACATCTATAGAGCATAGTATTTGAAATAATTAGGATTCCGAACTCATAGGAAGCCAGAATAATGATTTATATGTAACTCAAGAAAAGTATAGGAAGGAAAATTAATAAAAATATATATATACACATATATATACATACATTAAATAGAAAGAATGGGAAAACTATTTACAAATCAACCAGAGAATCCATAAAATTAGCAACTAAATTATGAAATCATATTTTGTCCATTTTGAGCTTCATACAAACAAAAACCAAAATAGAAAACTAACAAATAAATCTTCCTAAAATTTGTCAACAGACAAAATACTCATCAAACTTTATGTCTTATGCGCTATAATTTCCATTATCATCATTGATCCGATCCGGCAGGCCTCCCCCCAAAGACACACAGATACAGATACAGATACAGCAAAAGTACAGTCAACCCAAAAACGGTAGCAAGAAAATGAGCAAGGTGGAAGGAAAACACTAGCCAACACATCACATGACACATTATATGACAGCCGTTAAGAACACATCATTTTGTGTAGGAAAAGCAAACAAACAAATTTAATTATATTTATATATCATCGTATACATAACAGAAATTGCATAAAATATATAAAATTATATTTATTTAGTTAAATATTATTAAGAATTATATGAAAAGCTAATAAAACTACAGAAAAAAACAATACAAAAAAATAATGAGAAAAGCGTGAGAATATGTAGATAAACTTAACTAATTTTAATTTATAAAACAAAGAAAGAAAAAAAAAACCAAAGACAAATAACAAAACACTTGCCGTTGTACCGTAATTTAAAAAAAAAATGGAGGAAAGGAAACCAACCAGAGAATAAAAAGAAAACAAAATGCAATTCTCCAACAAGTTGAATAATCTCAGACACGTACATAATTTAGATTCGATATTCCAACTCTCAGAGCTCCATTTTATTCGTTTATCACTGCAATCCAATCCATGACAGATCGAATAACTTTTCAACAAAATTCAAAAATAAATAAATATAATACAAAGTTTGAGAAACTCCAATACGCATTTGAGCACATTCACAGAGAAACAAAACATGAAAACCACGCTGAAATTGATAATACTCGGATATAAAAAATAAAAGATAACGACATAATAAAGACATGAATTGGCAGCGTGAATCATATCATTGAGCTTTGCTTTACCAGACACGGAGGCGGGAAGAGATTCTAAACTAACATTTAAACATTTAAATGGAATACGAGTATAGTATATGAAAGAGCAAAACAGATACTTCAAATTATTATATGCAATTGAGATGTAATAAAACAGAGTAATAATAACACCACAAAACGTTTGCAAAACAAGTTACTGCAACTGAAGGAAACAAAAATAAAAACAAAAAAATACAAAATATATCTACATAAATCCCAAAAGAAAGTTTCGAGAAGTCCAGCAACAACAAAAAGAAAGAACACACACCAACAAAATTATGCTTTTTGTTGCGTTGCCTGATTTGAATGTTCTCTATGTATATATATATATATACCAAATATATATATATATATCGATTCCATTTCCATTTGTTTCTTAGGTTTTTCGAACAGCAGCACACAAAAGGAAATACATACATATTATGCAAACAGAAATATAACAGAACACAAAAGAAAAGACAAGACATTAAATGAAAATCGAAAAATCGAACAAGATCTTTGAGAAAGAATAAAGCAAAAATTATGTGAACTTGTTAATTTTTAGCATTTAAGTCTGTAAAGCTCCGCTTGTAGATGAAAACTCAATAAATAAACTAAATACAAAGGGAAATCGAATAAAGCAATGGATTGAACAGTTGCAAACTATAACAAATAGCTTCGATTGGCTCTTAAATTCAACTTTATTTCGTTATCTACGTCGATTATTAACTGAATCAACTGGCAACCCACCGTAACGTGTTACGAGAGACGAGTTACGAGTTGGGAAAAATGGCATTCTTGGTGATCGGCTGGCTGGCGCTGCGCACGATCCTGATGTAGCCCTGCTCGCCCCATCCCGTGCCGAATGAGTTGAGGCACTTCCAGTAGTTCAGATTGGTGGCGGCATCGAAGCCGTAGCCCACCACCACCAGGAACTGAGAACTGGCGGCCGTGGCGGGTCGCGTGGGCGGCTGGTAGACACCGCTCGAGTACTGCATGAAGCCGAAGGTCGCCGGATTGTAGTCCACCACTACGGGTATGTCGTTGGACACGTAACGCATGAGGGCAGTATCGTCGCCGTCGGCCAGGACCGAGTAGCTGGTCAGCTGGACGCCCACCCCCACCGACGGGGCTGGCAGGCACATCCCCTGCTGCTTGAGAGCTGGCGTGTTTGGATAGTCCTCGGATGGATACAGAAGCGAGTACTGGGTGAGGTAGTCGAAGGCCGACTGCGGGGCCTGCGTGCTGCAGCCGGCGCCCATGCCAGCGCAGTCGATCAGCTGCTGAGCGGACAGCGATTGGGGGGAGAGATTTCCAGATCCAACGGCATTCATGATCTCCACGGCCTTGGCCGCGGCATAGGCCCAGCTGCTGCTGCAGTTCACGCCCTGGTCCTCCACCGTAATGGTCATGCCCAGGTCCGCGACGATGTCGTACTCGGCCGCCGGCGCCTGCGTGGCTACAGGAGGCACTGCATTCGAGACGGTGGGGTACACGGCCTTGGGCAGCAGTGCAGCGAACTGGACCAGGCGTATGTCTGAGAATTGGTTCACCGCCTCGCGGTAGGTGGTGCGATTCCTGTCCGCCTGGGCATTGTTCTGCGTCACTTGGTTGCGGTTATAGACGAAGTAGTAGTTGGCAAAGGACCTCGCCGATGCGGTCGGGTAGGTCTTTGAATATTTGGCCTGGGAATACGATTTTCGTCTAATTGCAAGAGCGGATCGCGTGGGAAAATGGTTTCAACCTACCACATATGCTTCGAAATCGGCTAAATCCTGGCCGTGGTTAAAGGCCCATCCTGCGCCGGCGGCGAGTAGAACAAAACAGAGCACCAACTTGAGCATGACGAATTCCGATACTGATGCCCGAAAGAACCACTCGACGGGCCTTATATAGGGACAGTTGTCGGTGGTAACTCTCCTTCTGATTGCAAACGCAAATACAATAGAAGTAAGTCACTTTCGCAAGAAAAGTGCAAATAGATTTCTATGCGCCTGCCCCTGCCCCTGCCCCTGCCCCTGCCCCTGCCCCATGCCGAACAGCCTCGAATTCGCACTTGCCCCACGGCAGATGGAAGCAGCAGAAGACACTCGTAATGTGACGATAAGCCCCGTTAGAAAAGAGCCTCAAGAAGCGTCCAGGGTGCGGCGCACTATTTGCCCAATAAACTTTTCAAATGAGCCCTCGTTCCGTTTCGATTCGCCAGGTTCTCGTATCGCTGTTAATTTGAAAACCCCACTGGCCTGGTTCCAGCCTGGCATCGTAAAAGCAGCCAGCTCTAATCACGCCCCGTTTAGGGGTTCTCTCCCTCTCTCTTTATGGGCAGGCATGATTAATCATATTCATGGGCCTCTTGTTCATGGGCCTCATAAATATTGCAACATTTATATGATTGTTTGTTTGTTGTCTTGTCTAAATTGTTGAATACCAAGTGCTAAATTATGTAATTCAAAGATTGTAGTCAGCGGAATCTGGCGATAAACTGTGCATCTTGAGACGAGACTTACTTACAACCACATAAGTCGTTGAACTTTTTAGCATCTTCGTTTAGTAAATGGACCAAAAGACCTGTTAAATAGGAAGCTAGTGTGTATAAATACATTTGGCTAAATGAATGCGTCTGGCCTGTATTCTGAGTCGATTCAATTAGCATTCATTCAGTGCATATATCGAATTACCGAATTTACTCAATTATTAGTTTATTCGTGTACCCAGAAGTCGAAGTGTTTAGGGACATATTAGATGTCTGTAGCACCCAGAATTCTCAGAGTAATTTTCCCTTTCTAATACTGCTATGAAATCTTTCCCTATCTATAAAATTTTAAAAAAGATTACTCAGTAAACTTATAATATTCCAAGATACGGAACGTGGACAAAAACTGGACGGAAATTCACTCTCATTTAATATTTATTAAACATCTGTATATTTTATTGTAAAGAAACCATATACATACATGTACATTTACAAATAACCATGCGATGGCACCAACCGCAAGACACATCTTTACCTCATGCTAGATTCGTGTTCGAAAATGTTCACATTTGTGAACATCTGGTTTTGGCCCAATCCAAGTTTGTATCAGAGTCCATGGCGGGGGGAGTCCCCTCCAACTATATAAATCTAAGCCCCATCGTCGAGCTTCGCTTATAACCTGTGCGGAGTCCGAGTCGTCAGCATCTTCGGTTGGATCTGTGCACGCGGAAGAGATATCTCTCGAATACGTATACGTTGTAAAAGGTGATTAGGCTCTTTTTGTGTCTATATGTGTGTGTGTGTGTGAATCATAATTGCAAACAAATCAACTGGACAGACGGTTGCAATTAGGGCTTACATGTGGTCATAGATCGATGCCTTTCACCCGAGCCCAGCATGGGACGCCTGCAAAAGGGTACGAGTATCTCTGAATATTCACAGCATCGAAAGTGAAATTTTCGTTGGCCTATAATGCAGACTTGACCACGACCAAAAGAAACCAAAGAGTCGTAAAACACTCATTTCAGGCTAATCAAATGCATTCGTGGGTTCACGTTTGTGTTTCGCTGAGACACAAACCATATGTAAATCATATCCAAATGGGATTATTCAACCTTTAATGATATATCATCCATCAGGAAATTGGCCAATCGGATGCCGAACCCAAAGCAAACAACAAACATCGAATGCTCTCCAGTTAATAATTAAATCCGATAGATCATGGTAGACGGTAGGGAAGTGAAAGAGTCGATGTTACGGAATTTTAATGTCATTAATTACCTGTTTGGGCGACAGATGGAGCATGGCAGATGATCTGCAGAATGAATAATCGATTGTTCGCACAGTTACGGAATGGATATTCATCCACAAAGTGAAAACTTAAGTGTTTGTGTGCTGTTGAAACGATTTTCAGATGTTACATAATTTCTCTGGAAATCTTCCCTTTTTCAAGGGGTTTACGAGTGTCACAGATACTCGTATCTGAAAATGTGTATTACGTGGATAAGAGGGTTTGCCAAAAAATCAGCAATATGTAACCCAAATAGAATCGACCGAGGGTCAATGAACTATGGAGATGCGCGGCTGACGCATGTTGACACCTGTCTACCGCATATGGAGCTACGATAACTTATTTCCCAATACTTAACACTTGCGCTTTTTTGTTTTTGCTTTCCATCATTGCAGATGTTGAAGTGCCCTTCGATGTGGCTGCAGCTGGTCTTGGGCTTGGCCTGCCTAGGCGCAGTGTCATTACAGTCCCTCCAGTCGTTTCCCAAGCTGTGCGACGTTAATAACTTTGACGACTTCTTGGCCCAAACTGGCAAAATTTACGCGGACGAAGGCGAGCGGGCATACCGCGAGAGTATATTTGCTGCTAAGAAGTCCCTGATCGACCTGAGCAATAAGAATGCGGACGGTGGCTTCTCCGGCTACCGCCTGTACCTCAATCCGCTGGCAGACCTGACCAAGAAGGAGATTGCCACGCTTCTTGGATCGAAGGTCTCCGAGAGTGGCGAGTAAGTAGCACACAATTTATGACGCAATCAAAGCCCATAAAGGGGGAGCCCAGTGCTTGAATAATTAGCACCCATCTCATAAATATCGAACTGGTTTTCTGAGCATATTCCCCGTGCGTAAGCACAAGCATAGGCCAGAAGGAGGAGCAGCTTTATGTTTCTGCGGATCCAGTTCGGAGGTCTCTTGAATGAATTCTGTTCGCGTATTTCCGAGTCATTCACTTATCATTCGCTTATCAAGAGCGAAACAGCTACACAATTTTGGCAATGCTTGAAAGATAATCGTGTTAGCTATGAATCAGAGTAATTGTTTATTCGTTGCTTATTCATTTTCCGAGTACTCAATTTTGGCAGTCCATTGGAGTGTATTCCATAGTTGAAGTTTTTATACCCGATACTCAAAATGAGTATTGGGGTATATTAGATTTCTGGTGAAAGTGGATGTGTGTAACGCCCAGAAGGAATCGTTTCCGACCCCATAAAGTATATATATTCTTGATCAGCATCAATAGCCGAGTCGATTGAGCCATGTCTGTCTGTCCGGCCGTCCGTCCGTCCGTCTGTCCGTCTGTCCGTCCCCTTCAGCGCCTAGTGTTCAAAGACTATAAGAGCTAGAGCAACGATGTTTTGGATCCAGACTTCTGTGATATGTCACTGCTACAAAAATATTTCAAAACTTCGCCCCGCCCACTTCCGCCCCCACAAAGGACGAAAATCTGTGGCACAATTTTGAAGATACGAGAAAACTAAAAACGCAGAATCATAGATAATGATCATATCTATCAGGTTTCTGAATCTGGATCAGATCAGATCAGATAATTTTTATAGCCAAAGGGAACAAATCAATTTGCAGTGGCTACGCAGCGCCCGACGTCACGCTCAGACTGATTTTCTGTCTCTCTCGCACGCACTCTTCGTCGTGTCGCTTAATATTAGCGGCGTCTGCCGGAGTAGAGCCATACTGACTTAGTATCGGGTATAACAGTAGAGTTGCGGTGTCCGCAGCAACTCACAATGTTCCCCCTCGTTCTTATTGCAGTATTTATTCAGAATAAAGCTCATGCACTTGACACATTTATAGGCAGACCCATTCATCAGCGGTACTCATTCAGTTTATTCAAATTGCTTTCAGGAAATACACCAATGGCCACATCAATTTCGTGACTGCTCCCAATCCGGCTAGTGGCAACCTGCCCGAGTCCTTTGACTGGCGCGAGAAGGGAGGAGTGACGCCGCCAGGATTCCAGGGAATGGGTTGCGGCTCCTGCTGGTCGTTCGCCACGACGGGCGCCCTCGAGGGGCATCTCTTCCGGCGCACGGGTGTGCTGGCCTCGCTGTCCCAGCAGAATCTTGTGGACTGTGCCGACGACTACGGCAACATGGGCTGTGACGGCGGCTTCCAGGAATACGGCTTCGAGTACATACGCGATCACGGCATCACTCTGGCCAACAAGTATCCGTACACACAGTTCGAGATGCAGTGCAGGCAGAACGAGACGGCTGGCCAGCCCCCCAGGGAGAGCATCGTGAAGATCCGCGACTACGCCACCATCACACCAGGCGACGAGCAGAAGATGAAGGAGGTGGTGGCCACACTGGGCCCGTTGGCCTGCTCCATGAACGCTGCCCCCATCTCGTTCGAGCAGTACCAGGGCGGCATCTACGCGGACGAAGAGTGCAACCAGGACGAGGTGAACCACTCCGTTGTCGTCGTCGGCTATGGATCCGAGGGAGGACAAGATTACTGGATCATCAAGAACTCGTATTCCCAGAACTGGGGCGAGGGCGGTTTCATGCGAATCTTGCGCAATGCCGGCGGCTTCTGCGGCATCGCCAGCGAATGCAGTTACCCCATCCTATAATAAGTAGAAGCCCATTTAGTCTGTATTTCTAGATAGTCACTTAAACAATAAATAAATTTACTAATTTTAAACGTAACGCTACTCAAGCTATGCAATGATCTACGGTGAGATCACGTACCGTACGGGATAATTGAATAACCTTCTTATCGCTATATTGCCGCACACAAATCGCTATCCATAGCAAATTCCCACTTTGAATTTGGATATTCAAAGATTACCTTCTTATCAGCCACCATGTTTCTAATCTGTTCACGATAATTAGAGTAAATATACTCTGATCTGTCCAAGTGCAAGCGATACCCTCTTCCAGCTTCGGAAAAAATTCTCGGAAATCATCAGTATGTTTCCACTTAATGACCCCAGCCCCAGGCCCAGCGCCAGCTGCCTAGCAGAAATGCCTTAAATAGCTCATCCGCTGTGAGCGCAGCTCAGTACGCGAAAAACAATTGAAATGAGTACAGTTTCGCGGCCTTCTCTCTGCCTCTGTGTGTGCCTGATGGGTGTGACATGGGCTCTCGCACTCCCAGTCCAGACGTCTACTCCCGTGCCGAACATTAAGGTGGAGCCTGTGACAGATGGACGGTCGCTGGCAACTTCTGAAGCGTCTCAATCGGAGAGAACATCTGAGAGCAGCTCTACATCGCTCAGTCATTCGGAGACCTTCACATCGGAGAGAGCTCCTGAGATCGTTACATCAGAGGCAGCTATTTCTACCGCCTTCCCATTAGAGGCATCTACTACAGAAAAGTCCATTGCTAAGCCACGAACAAACAGTCAAGGAGAAGACTCGAAACTTGACTCAACAACAGAACAGGTCTCGAAAGAACCAACTGATGAAGTACAATGTGTAGCTGCCTGGGACAAATTCTTGGTCAGTACTGGTGACAAGCGAATTCTTGGAATTTTAATTTAATTGCTTTGTTTTAAATCGAAGATTGACTTTGGCGGCCGCTACCACAGTGAGATTGAGAAGGAGAAGCGCCGCAATGTGTTCTGCGACAACTGGCGATTGATAAGGAAGCACAACAAACTTTTCGAACAGCATATGGTACCTTACGAGATGGACGTCAATCAGTTCAGCGATCTGACCTTCGAGGAATGGCGACTAAAGCAAATGCCACGCCCCGGTGTGATGAGAGCTCCTGAGATCGTCTCATCTGAGGAAGCCATTTCTGGCGCCATCCCATTAGAGGCATCTACTACAGAAAAGTCCATTGCTAAGCAAAGGAGTCAAGAAGAAGACTCGAAAGTTGACTCCACAACAGAGGTCTCGGAAGAGGCAAATGATCAAGTGCTATGTCGGATTACCTGGGAAAAATTCTTGGTCAGTTCTGGTGACAATCGAATGCTCATAACTTGAATTTAATTAAGTTATCTTATTTGAAGATTGACTTTGGGGGCCACTACCACAGTGAGATTGAGAAGGAGAAGCGCCGCAATGTGTTCTGCGACAACTGGCGATCGATAAAGAAGCACAACAAACTTTTCGAACAGCACATGGTACCTTACGAGATGGACATCAATCAGTTCAGCGATCTGACATTCGAGGAATGGAAGACTAAGCAAATGCCCCGCCCCAGTGTAATGAGAGCTCCTGAGATCGTCTCATCAGAGGAAGCTATTTCTACCGCCTTCCCATTAGAGGCATCTACTAATTCGGAGGAAAATCTCCAGTCCTCCACAGAAAAATCCATAGTTAAGCAACCGACAAACAGTCAAGAAGAAGACTCTAAAGTTGACTCCACAACAGAGGTCTCGGAAGAGGCAAATGATCAAGTGCTATGTCGGATTACCTGGGAAAAATTCTTGGTCAGTTCTGGTGACAATCGAATGCTCATAACTTGAATTTAATTAAGTTATCTTATTTGAAGATTGACTTTGGGGGCCACTACCACAGTGAGATTGAGAAGGAGAAGCGCCGCAATGTGTTCTGCGACAACTGGCGATCGATAAAGAAGCACAACAAACTTTTCGAACAGCACATGGTACCTTACGAGATGGACATCAATCAGTTCAGCGATCTGACATTCGAGGAATGGAAGACTAAGCAAATGCCGCGCCCGGTTGTCATGGATCGGGATTTCTAAGGACTAATTAAATGATTGCAAATTCTACCGATAGTTTTTAAAAATATTTATATTTATTTGGGTTTGGTTTTTTCAGTTAAGAGGATTTGAGGATTTGCTCTGGTACAATATGGTTCACAAGTGTTCGGGGTCTTCGGGTTAGTTCCTCTTGCGGTTTGTGTTGTTCTTCATAGTTTGTTTTTTGTTTTCTTTCTAAATACGGGTATGAGTAATACGATAATTTGCTGTATTTCTATCATTTGAACGCACACGAATTCTACATGAATAATTTAGGTATATATATGTGTATAATTATATATAGTATAGTATAGTATATGTATACATGTTTACTGAGATTTCCTTTTGCTTGTGTTGCATTAACTGGTAATTTAATGTTCGCTTTACAAATACAATACATAAATATATATAATATATTATATATGGTTTTGGTTTAACAAATATTTGTTGTAGTTTATTGCAAGTTGCATTAACTGAACATCTATTTTGTAATCAATATTCTTACGTTCTCCGACACACATATGCGTATATATACTCAAGTTAATACATATGTATTTAGGTTTACTATACAAATCGTTTGTTAGGGCACAAGCCTGGATGAAAGCGAGTCGCTCTAACAATTCTTTGCTTTATTCCTGCAGTTGTCTCAAGCTATGTTTCCGGTACAGCTCTCCACATAACAGCTCTACATTTTTTAGTTTAGAATTTACATTTGTTTTGGCGCTAATATTATAGTTATTGCATTTCTAACCAAGCGATGGCCCTGCCCTGGCCCTAAGACTACAATTCGAGTATATACATACCCGCGATGGCTATTGGATATGTGATTTGAGCAGTTCTCTTCCCTCTTCTTCTCGTAAGTTGCCTCTCGTATTGCCTTTCTGATGCTGTCTCTCTCTGCTGTGGATTTGTATGTGTGTGTGTGTGTGTGTGTAAATTTATCTAAAATACCTCATGCCTTCCCTCTAGCTGAGGATATGGGGCTGTGGCTGTGGTTGTGGCTGTGGCTGTGGGGGACCAGGGCCTGGCACAACTGAAAGTCGTAATAAATACCGTATTCGAGTACAAGTACATGTAAACACTAAATAACTAACAACGTTGAAAGCATATCCGAGGATGTCCTAGGATATATACGGCAATAGCTATTTGTATATCTGTATACAGCAACAAATTTCCACTACAAAAAACTGCACACTCAACTTAGGGGGCTAGCTTATCAGTTATCATCTCAATCTCAAGTTATTCGTATTATTCAGATATACATATGTATGTATGCTTGTATATCTCCTGTTTCTTGTGGCTAAAGCAAATGCTGCTGTTGCTGTTGCTGCTGCTGCTGTTGTTGTAATTTGTATTACTTGGTATCGTTATTGTTTCTGTTACTGGTTTTATATGTTCGTCATCGGTGTATTTGGTAAAAGCCAACGCTTTGTGTTTGCTAGTAGTCGTGTAAAACATTTGCCATTCGCGCTACAAAAAAAACCCAAGTACTCTCAAGTGTGTGGACAACGGAGTAGGAGTGGGAGTAGGAGCAGGAGCAGGTGTGGAAATGCCTTAATAGGTGGGCTGCTGGTATTCCATGCCAGCCTGTTGCTGTGGCTCCATGCCGCCTGTAAATAGGACCACCAGTCAGAATCAATTTATGATTATGAACAATCGTATTAAGTCGACTCACCCTGCTGCCCCTGGCCGAAGGGCGAGGCGCTGTATTGATCGTTGTCATTGTCCATGGCATATCCGTAGGCCTGCTGGTGCACGACGTTGGCGGGGTCTGTCTCGAAAGCCGAGGTGAATTCATCGCCGGCTCCAATCAGGAATCGTTTGTAGGCCATCAGAGCGCACAGGGCCTGGACAATAGAGAGGAATATTACATAACGCCTCCGATATACATTGATTTCAGGGACTGGGACCCACCCAAGTGGCAATCGAGAAGAGGCAGAACCAAATGGCCGTCTGCATGCTGCCGGCTCCAATGCCGAGAGGAGGTGGCGGCGACGAGCTCCACTGGGACCACAAGTACAAGAACGCCACGAAGTACATGAAAGCCCACAAGCCTGGAGAAGATACTCAAATGAAAACTGCATTCCATGGTGGATTTTGACCCATATTGGATCCCTTACCGGAGAATCCCAAGTCGGCCATGACGTAGCGCTTTCTGCTCTTCACCGACGACATCCGCTCGAAGAGAAACTCGCCGCCCATAAAGCCCATGGAGGCCAAAAAACCAAATACGCCTACCATGTTGCCATACTTGCAGGCCATGCCATCGCCATTGTAGAGACAGTACTCCTTGCCCTCCTTCTCCGTCCAGCCTTCGGAGGAAATGCAGCCAAAGACCACAACTGAAAAGAGCTGCAGAATGGAAATTCCAAGAGGTTAAGTGATGCATGCCGCTCCCATTACCCCAGTATCATCATCATCTAATAGATGTGGGTCACTCCCATCTCCCACTCTGGCATCGATTTCCATAAGCAGGTGCAATAAATCCAAAAGTTCAAGTACACAGAAAAACAGACATATAAAAGAAGGGACGGACCTATGTTTGTGACCCAATTTCCGCTGAAGGCCAAGTCAAGTTTGTTTGGCCAGGAGCAGGCCTTGGGGAATGGTGTGCCTTTACGGGGTTGGGGGTGTGTGCAAATATTACGTACACTTACAAGAAAAGCAAACTATCACTCACTGGCCCTCCCCCCGAGCCCTGGTTGCTTGTGACGTGTGTACATCAAGTCCGTGGGGGGAGGACCTTTATGGAATTTAATTATAAACTTTTTATGGGCGTGAGAGTTTTTATGACCATCCTGCAGCTGATCCAATAATCCCCCATCAAACTGTAAGCCAGTACGCCACTGACACTATAAACAAATCCACACAATCGGTGTGTAATGTGCGTGTGGGGACCCTCGCAATCCCAGCAATTCCCAGCACCACTAGTCACTTACCCAGCAGAGCGCCCTTATGACAACTTGGGGCTTCATGGCGAACGTGAGTGGATCGAAGGCTCCGCCAGCCTTGCCGCCCCCATAGGCGCCGCCATTATTAATGCTGAGTATCTGGTTGAGCATGTCCATGCTTGCGGCCTTTGCTTTTCCCACTGATGATGATGATGGCGGTGACGGCTCTTCAGTGGCGAGCTCTTTGCTCGCTTTTCACGGCCTGTTGTGAAAAATCGAATGCAGCCAAGGGCAAAGCGCGGGCGTCTCGGCCGATTGTATGTATACACGGAGATGTATGTGTATGTGTCTGTCGTATATCTCGCAATAATGGATTACAGCACATCCGATTCGGACCACAATAAAAGATACTTGAAAAATGTCCTTCGCTTTTTCCTACAAATGCAAGCACTTTCTTTGAAATCTCTGCACGCGGCCTGTCCTTTGGGGCGCACACAAAATTATCCGTTTCTCTATATTTTATCAATGCATAATTAATGAACAAATTTCAAGGGCCAGATTTTCACTTTTACTTTTTTCTAGATTTTACTTCCCTCTCAACGGTCTTTCAACGCGCAGGACTGCATTTTGCAAATTAACATTTCACTACGGGAGGAACAGTCTGTAACATTTCACAGAGTGTGCGGTGCTGTTAAGTGCACAACCTATCGATACATACCGATAAGAAACAACGGAAATTTGGTTTAAACTTCGCTGTTGCCGTTTTTAACCAAGTTCAAAAGAGTAGTTCCATCATTAAACTTAAATAGAACTCCGTTGCTATCCTTGCTACATTTGTGAGCTGGCAGTTCCTGTCTGACGCAGATGGAGATGTCTGCAAAGAAGCAGATCGAAGAGAGAAGACAAAAAGAATTCAGTCAAGGCTCGACTGAGTAGTCAGCTAATGTTCAAGAGTGAAACAAGAGAGTTATGCAACGCACCAGGAAGCGTTTTGGCCACGAAGCAGGACAGGACGAGAAGGAAGAATACACAAGGTGGGATCATTTCAATAACTCTCCGACACGTTGTGTGAATTTAAAATCAAAAATCATTGACATTTTTTTTTGCCTTAAAATTGTATGTTTGTAGTAAGAAAAAGTTTTTTTTAAATGGACCGCTTTAGAGAGGTGCCAAAATGCTGCACTTACTCATTGTGCCCATGTCATAAGGACAAATCCAAACGGAGGCCAAAGCCAAAGGCGGTCACAGACGTCCACCCACAGGAATTGCCCTTTCCCATGCTGCTGAACAGGGAATGCCTGCACAAAGTGATTGACATCTACATGGACAAGTTGGCGCAGGAACATCCACGGGCAACAATGGGCCATGGTTCACCTTCCCCGAGCTTTCAGAGAGAATTCTCGATGCTGTGGTACTTGGACAACTTCTTTGACGATATAAAGCGTTGCTTCGTGGGGGGCATTATTCCCGAAGTAGAGGCCTATGCAGCGTGCTGCAAGAACAGAAAAAAGATGGCATCACAAATCAAGTCTCAGGACGACACCAAGGTGCACAAAGAACCCTCGATAGACCCCTTAAAGCCTGGCGGCACCTCGTACAACCGAAACCGGCCAAAGCGGCACCTCGAGCACGAACAAAGCCACAAAGATGAAGCAGAGGAACAGGAGATGCGAGATCAGCTGGACAGTGAGCAGAAGGATACTAGAAACCGAAACCGCGTCAGTCGTCCATTCCACGCTAAACCAAAGTGGCGCCTCGAGTACGAACAAAGCCTCAAAGATGCGGCAGAGGAACGAGATCGAAATGACCAGCAGGAAAATGAGCAGAAGGAAACTAGAAAAGACAATGGACTGGAAAAGTTTCGGACTACTTTGGAGCAAAACAAAAGGAAAAACCTCCGACGAAGACAGAAGCTTAGGCGAGAATCAGGAATCGCAAGAGGGATCCCAGACTCTGGACCATATCGTAATCCAACTCCAGAGCAGCCTCCCATCCAGGAGCCGGAAGAGAACCAAGTGGAGAAAATATCTCATGAAAATAACTTAATGGGGATCTTTCCCAAACGTAAATCAGGTGCCTCCATACATACGCCCTTTGGAAAATACATGAAAGGCGAAGAAAGTAAAGACAGGAAGTCGTTCACAAAGCCCTTACATGAAATGCTGCACAACCAGACCGTGCCAGAGCTGACTTCTATGCTTCGAAGCTCGCACCGGATGCCGGTGATGTATCAAGAGGACTCTGAGGGGAAACAAGAGGATGCCCAGAAGAAGCGAACGTCTGCAGATGCCTCCAAAAAGGAACAGGACTCCAAGAGCAGGCGAACGACAGGACTTAAGAAAAGTGCTGTAGACAGCGCAAAAAATGAAAAGGACTCCAAGAGGAAGCGAACGACTGGCAAGAACAGATCCAAACATAAACTGGAAGGAATGGAAAGTTTTGACAAATCTGAGAGAGCCTATCGCAAGGAAAGAGCTGGAGAAACCTCCAAAAATGAACAGGACTCCAAGAGAAAGAAAACGAAAGTACTCAATAAAAGAGGTGCAGATAGCGAAAAATATGAACAGGACTCCAAGGGGAAGCGAACGACTGGCAAGAAAAGATCCAAGCGTGATCTGGAAGAAATGGAAAGTTTTGACAAATTTAAGAAAGCCTATCGCAGGGAGAGAGCCGAAGAAACCTCCAAAAATGAACAGGATTCCAAGAGGAAGCGAACGACAGGCAAGAAAACATCCAAGCGTGATCTGGAAGGAATGGAAAGTTTTGACAAATTTGAGAAAGCATATCGCGAGGAAAAAGCCGGAGAAACCTCCAAAAATGAACAGGACTCCAAGAGAAGGCCAACGACAGAATTCAACACAAGAGCTGGAGAAACCTCCAGAAATGAACAGGGCTCCAAGAGGAAGCGAACGTCTGGTAGTCCGCGTCAGACAGCCACCAGCAAAAGACGTGGGGAACACTCCAAAATTGACCAAGGAACACGGGACGGAAGAAAAAGCATTGACAGCTTTGCCAGCATCAATATAGATGCTTTCCTCAAGGAAAGAGAGAAAGCCGACTCCGTCCAGAAGAGGTCCCTACTAAATCGTGGGAAGAAAGTCAATGTAATAGATCCAAAGTTTTCGAGCACCTTCGGGGAAATGCTAACAGGAAAAGCTGCAGTCGTACCAGAGCTCCATCCGGCCCTGAAAAGTTTCCACCAAATTCCCACAGTCAATGATGATACCCCGCCAGGATCCAAACGATCGCTTCGCTCGAAACATGGAAAAATCATTACAGGAATACCCGCACGCACTAACGCACCCAGGAGAAATAACTTTGCGAAAATGGGCGCATACTATCACTTACCCAAGAGGTGGAGGGAACCCAACGAGCTAAGTGCGGATGTGGCTAGCCTTCTTGAACCTTCCTACATGGAGCCAATCGGCTCGATCCTTAAGGAGTCATCGAAATTCAAGAGCGGGATTTCTGAGCACAACACCTGGTATAAGATAAATACGAAATTCAAATCGTCGGGGAAGAATATCCCCCGTCTAGGAAATAAAGTAAACGCTGACTACAAGCCGGAAGAATTGATACCCTACGTCGCCAAAACTCAGAATGGAATAGACTCCTCTTTGTTTGGCCATTTATATGTGGGTGAAACGTCCAGTCTAACAGACAATCCTGCTTCGAAAGAAACGCGATTGCAAAAGTTCACGAACTACATCAGAGGCTCAAGACCGGATCGTAAAATACTGAGAAGAGAGGGTTCGAAGCACTCCATCGGGTACCTGTCGCCCACGAAAAGCCTGATTAGCCGGGCTAGTTGGCTGAGCAAGAGAAGCGATGTTTTCCATCCTTTAAAAGGACACGGATCAGTGGTCAGCATAATGGAAGTGAAAACGGAGCCTGTGCAAAAAGAAAAGGAGGAAGAGTTCGTAGAATTCGATGAATTCGACTTTATGTTCAGGAACATGCCAGACCCTTTCCTCAGCGACAACGATCGGAAGTCCCAGGCTCCCTCGCCAACACGCTCAGTAACCACATCCAGGCGACCCAGTTCTTTGCTCCGTACAGAGAACACAATGGATGAGCGCGCCGCCCTGGAGGCGAAAATCAAGAAGCTCATGGAGCACTGTGCCATACGGGAGATCGCTCAACCCAAGGCGAAGCGTAATTTTGTGTCCGAGGCCATTGGTCGTACCTATGTTCCTCCGCCAAACAAGAGACCAGATCACATCAAGGCCAAGCCGAAGCCGAAGGACAAGTTCCCCACTAGGATGGAGTTACTCCATGTGCCCGAGCCCATCAGGGGGCCATCGTTCGCTGAGAGGACCCGTAAAAAATTCCAGGCCGAACTACAGTCCGAAGAGTGGAAATATCCCCTGCTGGAGCCGATAAAGCCTGTGAAGATACGTCGCTATTCAGAACCTATTCGCCTCCCATCTTCCGAATGGGTAGTTAAATTGCTGGAGGATACTCTCGAAGCACCTCCAAAACCGGCGTATGAGCGAGGAGCTGGAGATAGCCCAGCCGCGGATGGAGGTCATTGCACTATCTGCGATCAGCTTGAAAAGAGTACGGATACATATTCAAGTCTTTCATTCTTATTAATTCGCCTATCCTCTAGATAAACGCGAGCCAGACTCTCCACTGATCAAGAGGTTAAAGGCCCAATCGCGACGTCTTGAACTCCGTGCCTACTACCGACTAATGATGCTTCGAGAGCGACAGAAAAACCTGCAAGCGACTCCTGTAGCTCCCTTTCCAGAGGGAACTACTCCTTTGCCAGCTCAGAAAGCGGACTGCTCCTAAAAACAAAATAAGCATCTAGAAAGAGCTTGGAAGAGTTTAGAACTGCGGTCACAAGCAGAGATTATGTAACTTTTGGTTAATATATCCATATGGCATCTCCAAGGTACGTATCGTCTCGGCCTTGGACAAAGTTGCCTTCATACAAATTTTGTGTTTGTATGCCCAGAGGCAGACCGGAACTCTGATTGCCAGGTGGGAGTATATCGAGTACCTCAGCTGGCAACCAGGTGGCCAGTCTGCCTCCGTCATCCAACAAATGTACACGTAATTTTGACAAATACAAATTAAAACGTTTTTATATGCGTACAAATAACATACAAGAGATATAAATGCAATGCTGGCTGGGAAGATTTCCGATTTCAGAAACAGTTGAGTTTATTCGTTGGTGAAGTTGGCTGGGCGCTTCTCTGCAAAGGCGGTCATGCCCTCCTTACGATCGGCCTGCGGCAAACAAAGAAACGATAAGATTACAAAAATACATACGTGTATAGTAAAAGATGTCCACTTACCGTGGAGAACGTGGCGTGGAAGGTGCGACGCTCGAACTTCAGACCCTCCTGGAGTGTGGTCTCGTAGGCCGTGTTCACCGACTCCTTGCACAGCTGAACAATCAGGCTCGAGTGGGTGCCAATTTTCTCAGCAAGTTTGATGGCCTCGGCGAGCAGCTGATCAGCTGGAACGACCTTGCTGGCCAGACCCAGCTTCTCGGCCTCCTGGGCACTGATCATGTTGCCAGTGAGGCACATCTCCATGGCCTTGGACTTGCCCACGACGCGGGTGAGGCGTTGGGTGCCGCCAGCTCCGGGAATCGTGCCTAGAGCGATCTCAGGCTGGCCAAACTTGGCCTTGTCGCCAGCATAGATGATGTCACACATCATGGCTAGCTCACAGCCGCCACCTAGGGCATAGCCATTCACAGCAGCAATGATGGGCTTCTGGGTGCGTGCCACCTCAACCCAGTCATTGAGGAAGTTTCCTTGAATGCACTGCGAGTAGGTGTTTCCCACCATCTCCTTGATGTCAGCGCCGGCGGCGAAAGCCTTCTCACTGCCAGTCAGCACAATGGCGGCGATGCTCTTGTCCTTGGAAAACTGCTGCAGAGCGGTGGAGATTTCCTTCATGAGGCCGTTGCAGAGGGCATTCAGTGCCTTGGGACGATTCAGTGTGATCACGGCCACATTTTTCTTCTCCCCCGTCACATCGGTCTTAATGAACTCCCAGTTACTACCCGCTGCGGAGTGAAAGAGATGGCCTTATGAGGTGATCTGATTACGCAACGAAGAACGTTTGGGACCGGCCATGAAAAAAAAACCCGAAAATTCGCAAGTGCCGGCAAAAGAGAAGCTGGGAATGGTCGTTCTCTGCAGTTCGTTACAGCTGTGGACTTTGCTCCCATGCATTTGATACTTACAGGAAACGCTGCGGCTGAATCTGGCGGCCACCTGTGGCTGTCTGCCGGCAGTCTGGAGCACGTTCTGGGCGCGGGAGGCGAAGATCTTAGCAAAATTGGCCATGTTGAAAGAAATTGTCGCCGGCTGCAAGTGCAATTGGTTATCTAATGACGCAGGAATCTAGTTTGAAACCAAAATGATGATGCTTACGCTTGGAGCACTGGAACAATAATGTGGAGCTATAGGCACAGTGTGATTTGCTGGTATTTTAAGACATGATGCGCGCATAGGCCTTTGTATACCCTATCTCGTTAACTTCATATGAAGATTAAACGTAATTTATAAAGACCTTTTCTCAAATTGATATGTTTTAGACATACTCATGTATACTATTAGTATCTTCTATATATTTATCTCGATGCTGATACCTACGGAGCCGTGGATGACAAACAATTTCTCAATTCTATAATATCCTTTTTGCTAGGGTATGACAATTAGTGCTGCCGGGAATCATTGTTGTCAACCAGTTATTAAGAAAAATTCCTGTTTTTTGATCTTCCATCAAATATTACCAGCTAAATAGACTTTTTAGTTACATCCACATAATTTTATAAGATTGCTGAATCAATTTTCTACTTGACTGGCCTATTCTAAATACTTGATTTTATTGAATTTCTATATAACGTTGAAAGTTAAATTTAATAGATGGATGAAATTGCGATATACCGAGATAAACATGATGCTTTTGACTGACGTCTTACAACACTAAAGCTACCCGCACTTCCCAACACAAATCTTTTGCCGTTCTTTTTAAATTTGGTAAGCGTATAATACTTTTGTTTTAATAGTAGTTTAAATTGGAATAACGAGTTTCTTTTAGACCTTGGCTACATCCGGCGGCTTTGGAGGATTGGCTGTAGTGTCGACAAGCCAAATTTGCTCTTCACGCGGCCTATAGCGGTCGTCTCTGCGTACCTTGTAGATAAGCACCAACAGGACGACGATCAGGAAGGCAAATATTGTTATGAACAGACTAGAAACGAATGCTGTGGGAGCTGCAAGTAAGCGATTTAAATAATATTAATATATATACAACTTCGGTTTGTCTTCCACTTACTTTCACAGTATGGAAACTGATGCAGCCACTGGGGTGCATTGCAGATATTCTCGTAATATCCTTTGAGCGAATGATCTGCTGGGCAGTCATAGTGAATCCTCGTGTCATTGGGTACTTTCGTGCCCGCATGTAGGACTGCACTGTTTGAATATTTTATTATTAGATTGGCTATCTGGGGTACCACGCACTTGTCGTCTTCCTGCCGAGGAGGCAGTTCTCCCATTGATATTGTCGATTTCATCAATACTAAGTTGTTCTCTGTACTTGTAGTTTGGTTGATAGTGGAGCTGGCTATGGTCACGCCCTCGCATAGGGTGGCCAGCTCATCATCCCCATCCAGACAATCGTTTTTTCCATCGCAAAGCTTTGAATAGGGTACGCATTGGCCGGATTGGCAGTACATTTCCCTGTTGTCGCAGTTGGCTTGCTGCATCTGTGCCCGGCACAGCCATCTTTCCTCATCGGATGAATCCACACAGTCATGCTGGCCATCGCACACTGCCGTGCTGGCCACACAAGCCCCATAACTGCAGCGGAAACTATAGCCCGGACACCAGACCTTCCCACACATCTCGACGGTCTCGTCGGAGGCATCCAAGCAATGGGCCCTGCCATCGCATAGCTGATCCAGTTGAATGCATTCGCCGCTACCGCAGCGATGCTTGCACGTTGTGGTGGTATTGAGCGCTCCAGAGAAAACTACACAGAGGAGAAGCAGCAGAAAAACAGATTGATTCTGATGCGCGGTGGTCATTCTGGCTGGCTTTCGATGTTGAGACTGCCGATTCGATTTGATATTCTGGGCTATTATGGCAGAATCTCCTAGCAAGCGAAAAACTCGTTTGATGATGATATGACGATATCATGGCATGGGATTTTCCAAGCTGCTTTAGTGATTACGTTTCCAGTGTTTCCAGCGCCTGTTATAAGCGTAGCTTGTTCACGTATCAATTCATTTATCAGCTGGACTTCCCTCGGGCTATCACAATTTGTTTGACTCCAACAAGGTGGGTTTATATCGACTAGAACTGGGGCTGTGCCCACGACATGCTAATTTTAGCATTGATGATAGAGAGTTCGATGACGTTTTTGATGCGTATTATACTTTATTGCTCATTTCGAGTAAGTATACTTATGTTAGTGTTAATAAAGTCTTCAATTTTATAATTGAAATGGTTAATTATAAAGAAAAACTTCTCTAGACAGTGTTAGTAGTGGAGTGCACATAGCTAGAGCTCCTCTCGTATGGCTGGCCGGAAACAAAAACTGAAATACTTGTAGTAAACTTAAGTAACGTGTCAAGGACTTTCGGCGGGGAAAGACCCATGTTCATTTCTTGTGGGCAGACACGGGCGGCGTCCCGTAGAACTTGCGCTTTATGGTCCCCTTGAAGGGAGTTGCTGTAAAAATACAAGAATTTTAATCATTGCAGTACGCTTAAGGCATTCATCTACTCACCATATATTGAAAACAAGTCCTTGTTGCTGCTGGGCACACGCTTGACAACAGTTGCTGGCGCACGGGGTGAGTCTATGGCAACATACTGCTCCCAAAATGCCACTGGTAGCTCGAGCAATGCTTTCATCACCAGCTTTTGCGTAAAGACCTCTGTGTAGATGGCATGTTGATCGGGATCCGGCGATGAATACCCCACAATGGTGGGTCCAAAGATAAGAGAGATGTTGTCGATCGGCATCTGTACCACAGGGCATTGAGCAATGCGCTGGAAATGCAGAATGAGGAAGGCTAGCGTATCCCGATTGGCTTGCGGCATCTGCTTTACAGACTTGTACAGCATCTCTTGGGACATTGAAGTGTCTGGATTTTGAACAGCGTTGGCAAAATCATTCCACTGGCCGGTGGGGATGAGAGGCTCGACGAGAGACCTCAGGAAATCCTTCACACAACAGCAAAGCACATAGATATCCGTGTTGCCCAAATGTGGGGTGGATTTGCCTCGCAAGAACTGCTCTTTGAGGGCTTTGTACTCCCGCTCCGAAGAGGACAAGCGATAAAGGCCAACTTCGGTGAGGCCACGCGCCTCAATCTCATTCACACAGTGCACAATCAGTGCTGGAATCATGGGCGCAATCGACGGGGCAAAATCACTGAGGTAGCCCGTCATTGTCTTTGTCGTTGGTGTTCCCGATTGGGGCACACAGCTGACTGTGAGCAGATACCGGCAGTCAATATGACAGCGCACTGGGCAGTCCCGACAACGCAAGCCAACAGCGCCGAACCGAATGCTGTAAAGAACAATATTGAGTATATAAACTTATATGGGGAAAATGGTTATATTTATCCTACCGCTTCTGGCACTGCACACAATTGTCACCGCGCAAGAACGTCTTCTGGCTGAAGGTGTGATTCCTCATCAATGGACGGTGCTGACCGGGTGTCCCCGATTCGGCTAGCACATGCGGAGCCATGGCATTCAGCGGAGTTAGTGGTGGAGCTGTGGCCTCTTTAAAGGCGGAGCGTCGAGGCGTCGATACCAAGCCATCGGCAATCCTCTCAGGGGCCTCATTCACTGGCAACGACTCAATGGTTGACTCTGCACGGATCACTCCCTGCCCATCCTGGGGTATGGTGACCTTGGTGGTAGCACAAAAGCGCTCAGCGCCCTGACCCACATTCACTGTATGCTGTTCCACGCCAATGCCAGCACCCGACCGCCGCATCTTACTCGTGGTTGGCGTGTGCGTCGACATGCTGCCATTCAATCCGGTACTTATCCGCGATCTCTTGTTGCCCACACTGGGGATCGGGTTCTTGGGTAACGAGGGTCGATGCTCGCGCCAGGACTTGGACCTGCGCACGTCTAGGAAGTCGTCCTCCGAATGTGTGATGGACATGTCCGACAGCATCGAGCCTGTGGAGTTGATATCTCCATAGGATTTGTCCTCCCTGTCAGCGTTTAGGGACTTGCGCTTCCGGGATGACGGCAATGTGTGAAGAAAAGCCAGCTTATTGCGCGTCTCATTGTTTAGATTGCGCTCGTGCCGCAACAGATCTGCCGCAGCCATTATCTTGCTTTCCATGGAGTCTCTTTCATGCTCGGCCTGGCGGCGAGCCTTGATCTCCATATCGATGATGCGTCGGGCGTGAAACAGCTTGCCTTCCAGATCACCCATCTTGGTAAGCGACTTATCCAGCTCATTTTGTATCCTCGCGGTTTCCGCCGCATACCCCGCGCACTTTTCATGGTACTGATCGAACATCCGCAGGAACCGTAGAAACTCTGCAATATTAACCTATGGCTAGCGTTCGCTCCACACAGACTAGATTCGAGTAAATTACTCACCCTCCTCAGCGGTCCCGTCGGTCAGCACTTCCATGCAATGCTGCAGATCATCAAACGACGCCAAGGTCGAAAGCGTCATTTTCAGTGTATTCCTTTTAACCGTAGATAGAAATCTCTGTACTGGTGCTACTCACGCACTGATTTAGACTATTTTCATACAAATTTGTATTCGTATCTGTATTTGTTTTACAATAAGTGACAGGCACGCTGCAAGGGACGCTATAATTTTTTCCAAGTGCCGTTGTTTTCAATTCAATGCAGCTGTCTATCGATAACAGGCGGCAACAGGGTTGCATGCCGTTTATTGGCAGTGTTGTACTGGACGATTTCATGTAGCGACTTACAGCACTAGTACTGCGGGAAAACATTTGGCTTGAGTTCGATTCGTATATTTATTTATTTTAGGCACAAAAATGTCTGTTCCTTCTCCCAATCCCGGTCTCAGCTTGCACAGCAAGCGCTGGAATGGTCTGCGGCACATATTGGAGCGCGAGGGACCATTCTGCAAGGATGACTTCACAGCCTCTCCTGACAACTTGGATTTCTTGCAAACGAAATCAAAAGTCCTAATCATCGGTGCCGGTGGTCTGGGCTGTGAGCTGTTGAAGGACTTGGCTCTGATGGGCTTCGGTAATTTGCATGTGATTGACATGGACACCATTGAACTGTCTAATCTGAACAGACAGTTTCTGTTCCGACGAACGGACATTGGATCCTCGAAGGCGGAATGCGCTGCGCGTTTTATCAACGGAAGAGTTCCCACCTGCCGGGTCACGCCGCATTTCAAGAAAATTCAGGACTTTGACGATTCCTTCTATCAGCAGTTTCACCTGATTGTTTGTGGACTAGACTCAATTGTGGCCAGGAGATGGATCAATGGCATGCTGCTATCGATGCTGCGCTACGAGGATGACGGCACCATAGATGTCAGCTCAATTGTGCCCATGATTGATGGTGGTACCGAGGGCTTCAAGGGAAATGCTCGTGTTATATTGCCAGGCTTCACAGCCTGCATCGAGTGCACTCTCGACTTGTTTCCACCACAAGTGAATTATCCCCTGTGTACCATAGCAAATACTCCCCGACTGCCGGAGCATTGCGTTGAGTACGTAAAGCTGATACAGTGGGATAAGGAGAATCCCTTCAATGTCCCCCTGGACGGAGACGATCCCCAGCACATTGGCTGGATTTACGAAAGAGCGGTGGAGAGGGCCAACGAATTCAACATAGCTGGAATCACTTATCGCCTCGTCCAAGGCGTCATTAAGCACATAATTCCTGCAGTAGCCAGCACCAATGCTGTCATTGCTGCTGCCTGTGCTATGGAGGTTTTCAAATTGGCCACCAGTTGCTACGACAGCATGTCGAACTACCTGAATTTCAACGATCTGGATGGCATTTACACGTATACCTATGAGCCAGAAAAGTCTGAGAGCTGTCTGGCTTGTAGTAACAAGCCACAACTGCTGCCCATCGAGGATCCCAATACCACCACACTGGATGACGTGATCAAGTCACTCTGCGACTCGCCTCGTTTCCAGCTCAAGAGCCCCGCTCTGACCACTGTGATGAAGGATGGCAAGCAGCGGACCCTCTACATGTCCACAGTAAAGAGTATTGAGGAGGCCACCAGGAAAAACCTTACACAATCCCTGGGCGAATTGGGACTGCAGGATGGACAGCAGCTGACGGTCACCGATCCCACTTCCCCTTCGGCCATGACCCTACAGCTCAAATATCAAGCAAACGAGGTGGAGATGAACTGAATCATATTCAATCACAAGATACAACAAATTTGTTCCGCATATATACCACATAATGTGTATACAATAAAGCCAAAGGCTAAGAGCCTCAATTAATCTAATTATTCTCTCATGTTTAGGATGAACTTCTTGCCTGTGAATCCCTTGAAATTGAGAGCTTCTGCTGCGGCGTGCTTAAACTTCTCCAGGGGCACCATCTCATGGGTGGGAGCCACGAATTTTCCCTGTTCCATAAGCTCGAATAGTTCCTTGAACATTTGTTTGCGTTCGGGTGCATCGTAGTTCTCCTTGGACCAGCGAGTCATCCAGAAGCCTCTAAATGCAATGTCTTTGAAAATTAGTGGTCCAGTAGCCACCGTAACTGGCTCCCGGGACATGCCCCCGTAGGTAACCATAACGCCGCAGTCATCCAGATGGCGCGACACTTCCGTTGCGCTTTTGCCGCCCACACAGTTGAACGCCAGCTTTGGGCGCTTGACCTTCCCGGTTTTAAAGATGTCACTGGTGCGAACCTCCGCCTCTGTTAGCACTGCCGTGGCACCCAGGCACTCCAGCAGTTGCTTCAGCTCACAAATCTCCGGGCGGTCGCGGACAATGCCAATGCTATTGATGCCCCAGGCGCGGCACAGTTGGTGGACAGCCTGTCCAACAGCGCTGTTGGCTCCATTCTGTATGACTGTGTCCCCCGGCGACAGCTTTACAAAGTCCTTTAGCATCCGATACGCAGTGCACGGATTGACAGTGACAGTGGCCGCCTCTGCCAAGCCAACTTTTTTGGGCACCGTCATAAGCTGATCCTGATTGTAGAGGCCATATGTGGTCCATGTCCCCAGACCTGTAGCCAGAGGTATAACGTGCTCACCCGCTTGCAGGCCCTTGACATTCTCCCCGACACAGATAACCTCGCCTACGAATTCATTGCCGGCCACGGCTGGAAATTTTGGTTTGACGGGATATTTGCCTAGCGAATAGAGTAATTTAACTATAATCTGTCCACCAGCATACGCTGTATGTGTGTTTTGGCTCACCCTGAATGGTATTAATGTCCGCTGGGTTGATGGGAGCCGCCAAAATCCTCACCAGCACTTGCTTATCCTTGGGATCGGCCAGCTGGTCCTCGACCAGCTTCAAGACATCTTGTGGCTCTCCGTGTTGGGTGTACTTCAAGGACTTGGCCACCACGGACATTTGCCGGCACCAATGGGCGGCGTGACCAGGACGAAGCGTTTGACGCAACATTATTTATAACAAAAAAAATGCAATTTTCCCTAGAATTTTATAACAGTGCTGGATAATTCTTGCTTGGAACGATACGGCGCCTGTTGCACACTAGAATTCTGTTTTGGCGCTTCTGTGCTCTTTCAAAATCAATCCGCCCCAACTTCTGGAATTCGCTAGGACTGCATGCACGCAACTTCCGACGTGTACTTCCTGCTGCCCTTCACTGCAGGTGCTTAATTCACAAATGGGAAGCCACATAGGAGCCGTCAAATTAGCATTGAAGTGTATTCCAGGGAACCTGCCATATGTTACGCTCGCTCTAAAATACGAGTAGCTAGATAATTCCCCCTACTAATGACACGAACGCGAAAACGTTTTAACTTTTTAGCCTGCTGCCATAATTTCCATAATAATTTCATTGCGTTTGCCATTGAGATATACTAATCAATAACTCTCCATGCAATGGAGTCCAAAACCCCACTCCCTAGGTGGAGGCCGCCGCACTACCCACACTGTGGTCATAATTATACACGTCGCCTGTCGTCGGCGTCGTTGTTTTTGTTTGTAGTGAAAGACGTTGCCGGGGCTCTCATAAAGCCGTCAAACATGGCAGGACACGGGGACCTCTCTGCACGGAAACGAAAAATCCAATAAACTAAATGTATGTGTGAATACTTTTTGAGGCTTGCGTGCCGTCGTCGCCGTCTTGGCTTAGTTTAGTTTAGATTCGACCCTTGCGCCTGGCAGTAGCCTTTAAACAATGTCCAATTTCAGTACGAAGCAGCACCAGCAGCTGAGTCCCCGTGCCAATGTCTTTATTTTGGTCAACCTTGGCTGCGAGATGCTCTATGTGATTGATCAGCGGCTGAAGGCGCAACAAATCGCCAAGGACAAGTCGGTACAAGGTGAGTGGGTGGCCATCCTTCAATGCGTTTGATCCCAAGCCTAAGTAACCGCTTCTGGCAGTTATCCACGATGTGACTTCAGTACTGCTGGATCCCAAGTTCATCGACTCCCTGCTGAACGGCTCCAAGCACAACAATGCCCAGCTCCTGACAGTCGAGCACTGCAAATTCATGCTGAACGATATAGCCACCTGCTCCGTGATGCGCATTGATGAACAGTCCATGGGCAAGCTCTGGAACCTGATGACCATGCTATACAAATGGCAGCTGTTCGTTTCCAGGCACCAGCACCATTTGCTCGAGATAACCTTCCGACACCTGGAGGCCATCAACAAGATGTATCCGGACTCCAAGCGCCACATGCTGATTGACTTTACCAAGAACACTCTGCTGGACTTTTGGAACGCCAGTGGGGAGGAGGCGCAGCTGTCCATTTACAATACCAACAAGGCCTGGTTGGAGTGCTTCAATACGAAAATATCGCTGCTGATTCGGCTAGGTTTCCAGGCCATGGACGGCAGCTTTTTCAAGGAGGTGGATCAGGAGTACTTCGGCGACTATGTCCAGACCATTGGTGACAACATGTACGTGAAGAGTGAGGAGGCGCATCAGCAGAGCGCGCGAGAGCCCAACAGCATGGACAAACTGGCTGCCCAGCTGAACATCAGTCCACTGCCTGCAGGCGAGGACCTGCAGCCCATAAATGCCCGCCAGTTCCAGGAGCAGTTTGAGCAGGCGTTTGGCAATGTTCTGTTCGATGAGGGCCATTCCTCCACCTCAACAGGTTGCGAGTTTGTGCAGCTCCAGACAGCTGCTCGGACAAACACGGAAGCCCCCCACAGCAGGAGGGACTCCATACTCAATCAGAATCTCATCGACTTGTACAGCAAGATGGCTTAGAAATTACGGAGATATTTACAATTAAAAAATATTGTATTTCTCATTTAGTGGGTGTTTTGTAAAATAATTATAAAAACATGTGTCGGTTTTATGGATTCTGTTTTGTATCTCTTTTAGCATGCTTCGAATAAATATTTTCTTCGAAGATATTCAAAGACGTGGACAAAATAAATCATCATTTGAAATTTTGAGCTTGCGACAACTGTGAAATGTTTGGTGTCTGGTCTGGTGTGCTGTTTGTTGTGTGCTGTGGTGCAAAGTAAAATAGAACCAAGGATATCGGTCGAAATGTACAATTACAAATTACAATAAAAGTTAAGTGTGCTCCTGGTGGTTGCTGGCGTTGCCTTTGCCCTAGAGTCTAGACTTATGGCAACAAAATGTATCGTAATTAATTACTTGTTTGCTTTTGTTTTTAATACGCTTCTTTCAATCAATCAGCTCCGAAAGAGTTCGTCCGTATGTGGGGGATGCGAAAGGAGGATGCAGGATGCAGGATACAGGATACAGGATACAGGATACAGGATGCAGGACACAGGATACAGGAGGAAGTGGGAGTTAAGTTAATGTCTAGTCAGATTACATTTTCGCCTTGAGCGGTACTGCATCCACCATGATATGCAGGGCCATTTTGAGGCACTCCTCGGCCGAGCTGATCTGCTCGCAGGGATAGGCGGCGCCGTATTGCGTAAGGAATTCACAGTACTTTGTGTAATTGCTCGTCGCAAAGTCATAGTTGTAGGCACCTAGCGACTTCATGTCCGTGTCGTCGGTGACCGAAGGAACTGTCGCCTTGTGCGGCATTCGACCGAAGGTCGGGTAGTCCAGTTCGCAGCCCTCGCACTTGCAATCGAATCTGTACTGCATGGAGAGAGTGTCTAGCCGCTGCTGCTTACTGAAGACCGCAAAGTGGGCGCTGCATTTGAGAAGACGAGTTAAAGCTTAGTCGTGCCAATGTAAGGTTTTATGGTTAATCACTCACCCATAGTTGTCGTAGAGAACATTCCCCGCCTTGATAGGCCTAAGGACGAACAGGTATGCCTTGGTTCCTTCGTAAATTCGGAGGGTGTTGGGCGCACAAGAGTGATTCAGCAGCGAAAGGAAGGCGTAGGCACCCGACGAGTGCGTTTGATCGTCCTTGGTCTCGTTCACCTGTTCCACAAGATCGATGCCATGCATATTCGAGGGTGATGTTTGCAGATGCCTGAAGAGTAGGTCCGTAAAGAAGTTCCTCCCATCCTCGCCGCCCAGAAAGTCCTTGAGCGGCGTATACTCGATGATGAAGTGCTTCAGCACGGCACAGACAACCGAGCGCTGGAAGAGATCAGAGACGGATCGCAGATGCTGGTTAGTGACAAGTCCGTGGATAGCCCGGTAATGCTCCTGGGCAGACAGTTGGCTGTAATCCAAGTCGAAGGCGCACTTGTGCTGGTTCTGCGGCTGCTCACAGAAAGCCATCAGCTCCTCGATACTGGGATACAGGTCCAAGGCAGCCATGGTGGTCCGCAGGGCGATGCCGTGGATCTTGTTGAACATGCGGTGCAAGAAATCGATGATTGGACACTCGAAGCGATGAAAACTGGATGTGGCCCGAAGCTTGCACTCCTCGGAGCAAAACATGACGGAGCAACAGCTATCGCAGGGAATGAGGGTCAGGTAGTTCTCCCGCTTGCAGGTGGCACACCGAATATACCGCATCGGGGGCAACAGAGTCGAGCAGAACGGCTGCTCGACAGCAACCAGATCGCCAACCACCAGATCCCGGTTGGTCACAACGAAGCGCCCTTCGTCGGGCGATTCCCTCAGCTCCAGGCAGTCGGCAATGTACGGGACTTGGGCATGGGAATCGAAGCTCAGCTTGAACTCGTGAGGAACCACATCGGGGGGCTGCTGCTCTAAAAGCTGCTGGCAGTCACGTTCTCGCTTGTCCAACTTGTGGCTTAGTCTCGCCGGGTAATTCGCCTTCCGGGCCAGCTCAATATTGGCCAGGCAGTCCCTATAGCGCTTCCATTCGAAAAGAACAGCCGACCGATTGGCATAGCCTATGGAGAGATGCTCTGAGTTGGGTTCGGCAAAGCAAATGCTTTTGTTGTACAACTCCAAGGCCTGAAATGTAAGAGGCAGGAGGTTAGTTCAACTCGATTTGGGATGAGGATTGACTCACCTGAAAGTATTTCCTGTTCTTTAGGGAGAACTGCTCGTTTCCAAGCATGCGGAATTCGACACTCCTCTTGTTGCACTTGTCCTCTCGCAGGGTCACGTTCAGGAAGATCTTCTCCATGTACTTGAAGTCGATCAGAGCGTGCTCGACAAAGTTCACTTTTGAGTAGTTCTCCTTCAACTCGTTAAACTTTCCCGAAATTATGCCAATCAGCTTCCAGTCGTTGAGCTTCTTGACCAGGTCGTCGCTCACGTCGTACACGTCCATTGCTCTTTATTATTTATCCCCAGACGTTATGCACATATACCAGCTCCCGGCTCCTTCCTTCCTTCCGCGTGTTGACGCCGCCGCCTGTTTTTTCAGCCACAAAATCGGTTTATTCTCCCCTCTCCAGATGCCACGCAATTCTTGTGGCGCACGTGTGGACAGTTAATTTGCAATTTCACAGATGATTTAGATTTTCAAATATTGCAAATGGATGCAATTCGCATTTTTATTTTATGTATTTTTTTTATTTATTTTTTTTTGGCCAATCTTCGCTAGCAGTGACCGTCCGACACTACGAATATACCGAAATATACCATCTCATTCTCAAAATATACCGAAGAATAAAACGAGCTTAACCCACCCAACCCCCCTTTTAATTAAACAGATACGCAACTCACATTTCTCTTTACGTGTAAAAAACGCTTCGCTACAATATCTTTCACTTCAACTGCGCTAAAATTCCTTCAGTTTCATTATTTTTGCGGAAATATATAAACACCCCCCTGCACGACATTGGATTAATCGATCGAAATCTACTCATCTCTGCGCCTGAAATGTCTGGAACACTATCGATAGCAACAACAACATTGCCATACTTTTTTATAAGCGGTAAATTATTTAATTATCAACAATAAACATTACGTTACCATATTTGCTCACTTGGGCATGCCAATGGCTCCGGATTGCGTTGGCTTCACTTATCCTCGCACCACTCGTTCTCTTTACGCACCTGCTCCTCCTCAGATGGCGAGAAGTCGTTAGTTATACCAAATGTGTCCCGGATGTCTTGGGGAGACTTTCCCCCCTTGATCATATTGGCGACTGTTTTGCACGTCACATCCAGCAATCCCTGAATGTTCAGATAATTGGCAGCCAAAATCAACTCGAACAAGGTACCCTGGTCCACTTTCAAAAAGTCCGCATCCCATGACGAAATGTCATCGGTGCGCTTCTCCTTGTTCTCGTCTTCTTCGGCCAATTCGGCGTCGTCCTTGTGGTAGGTGGCCCAATGGAGCACCTTCTTCAAAATTAGCGAGTTGACATTCGGCAAGGGCAGCACGCTATTGTCGCTCTCATCGCCCAGATCTTCGAGAGCAGTCTTGATGGTCTCCGAGCATTTGGCGATCTCCTGGTCCGTGTCGAAAATTTCTTTATCAGATGATTCCAGTCGAATGATGGGCATTGTGATAGCTGCAATATTAACAATGTTATTCGAATTTTAATCTCAAAGGGCCTTTTTCTCCCATTTTCTTACATATAAGTGTACTTTTTAGCCGCCAAAAATATATGAAAGAGCACCAGACACTGCCGACACCTTAGCTATGGCCTACTGGCTAAAAATAAGATTCCGTCGCCTTCAACTTGAACCAAAGAGGTGCTGCAAGGTTTGCAGACGGTGCTAGACGGTGAAACTAGAAAATTTTACAATATATTTGTCACAATAATTTAGAAATTGCTGAAACTTCAGGCGACACGGAACTTGTGTTGTGTTGGAAAAAAAGTGGAAGTAACCTGTACACACTCACACCTTAGACACTGATTTAAAATGAAGCGGCATTAAAAAGGGCTGCAGCTCGCTAACTGTTCCCTTGTTTTTGTTCTTAACACACTCAACCCCCTAGATAATTGTGACCGTATGCCAAGACAACGATCAGAGAGAATCGAACTCTTTAATTATATTACATTATTATATATTACAATGTAAAATTTACATATTAGTACACATTAACTGTTAAACCTTTAATTTAAAAAACTTAAACCAAATTCTAAGGTTCTACCCAAGATTGCCAATACCATATCTGCAACCACTACTACGGCCTGGAAAAACACGTCTATAAAGTCTGAGCCTTCAAATGTGGCAATGAAGCGGAATGTGAGCACGACTAGGACCACAATAACAACAGGCCAGACCAGCGAAAACAAGAATCGCGCGGCCCAGATAATCAAATACCAAGTGATCACGAAGAACAGTATGTAGCCGATGAGCGTTCCCAGGTCCGGCGAAAGCGACGTGTTCTTTACGAAGTACTCATAGATAACCATGTGGAATGAAAGGTCTCGCCAGTCGCTAGTGTCCTGAGAACTGCGAGCGTTGCTGTACTCCATTTCAAACAAATTTTCTTTTTCCAGTTTATTTTCCTGAGATCTATGAAGACGCACACTGGCCGGGAGGCTTACTTTTTGTACCGGCTTTTAATGTGATTCACAAAGTTTAAAATGAAAAAATGACAACAAAAACTTTGCAAAAATCAGCTGTTCTGCGATAGTGTGATCGGAGAGAATCTAGCCCTGCAGAGTCACAGCACAGTCAAGGTGGTGAATCTCTGAATGCTGGAAAACTGGCTGCTATGAAACTCTTGCTAATTTAATTAAGAACGGTTGGTTTTTTGATTTGATATATTAGATTCGAATACATAAAAACTAGACGCTACGAACTAGAGGCGACTGTCTAGCATGGGGCCAGGATTTGCCAAGGCGTTGCGTCGCTCCTGGATGGCAAAGGTGAGCTTCCTGAACGGTCCCAGCGGCAGGCCAAGCGACTTGATGTCCCCCTCTGTGAGCAGCATTAGTGTTTCCAGGTCAATCTCTTGCTTTTGAAATCTGAAAAACACCGCTCGATAGGTTAAATGAGAGCAGAAAGAGATGGAGAATATATTACTCACACTGGGAGGTACTCCTCCAAGGCCCAGACAGCCAGGAACCGCTGCAGGGCACTGCACATGGCCTCCTGATCGTCGTCCTCATCTTCGCTGTATATGTCGTTGCCACCGCCCTCGGAGTCCGTGTCGTCGGATAGATTCAGGTACATGCGCCCCTTGTTGCCGCCAGAGCGTTCCTTGGCGTGATTGCCGTTGCCGTTGCTACCGCCAGCGTTGCGCATTGTCGAGGTTGAGCTTGTGTCTGTGTGCAGCTGCAGTTGGCTGAGAGCCGCCGTCACCGAGCGCCTGAATGCAATGCTGCCCAGCATTGTGGGTCTGTCGAAGAGGCCGACGGGTCTCTGGCGACCCAAATCCTCGCTCAGCTCCTGCGTCAAGGGGCTATCGCCAAGAATGTCGGGCTGGGAAAAGGAGCGCGATAGCGCCGAACTGTAGCCTATTCGGTTCTCGTTGTGGTCTGGCTCGTCGATGCTTGACTCCACCTCAAACACGTCCGTGATTTTGCCGCGCTTGCCAACGCTCTCCTCGGTGGAGCTGAAGGTTCCCACGTACAGCACCTCGGAGTCGCGCTGCAGGCCCGTCAGCGAGGTTATGGTCCGCTTACCATCCGGCTCCAACTCACGCACTTTAAAGCCGCCGTCTCCGTCGCCAGCCACCTTCGAGTGGGGACAGGCGCTGGTGTGTTGCCTCTGCAAGTGCGAGGGCCTCTTTTGTACTGTTCCCACTCGACTGGCTATGGTGGAGCCACCACTGCTGCTGCTCCCGCTGCCCACCAGATCACTGAACTTTGTCGGCGCTGGAGCTGGGGCTGGGTCGCGTGGTGTCTTATTCAGGTTGCCCTGGCTGGACCAGATCTTCTGCTTGAGCGTGGACAGCATGTTACTGGGCTTGCTGGTGCCGTAGCTCGTTGCGTTTGGAGGACTGGCATCACAGTAGTCGGTGTCCTGCCGCTGCTGCTGACGCTTCATGTACTCACGGACACGTTTCTCGCAGTTCTTCTCGGCCAGCTCCCTCAAAGCCCGGGACTTCTTTCTAAAGAGGAAACACATGGATACACTGATGATTTTTGTATGATTTTATATGAGCATACTTTTCATTGGCCTCGAATTGGGCTGTGGCCGCGTCCAGGTATCGCAGGATCTCGTCCCGTCCGTTAATAGCCGCCAGGTCCTTCGCACTGTGCTTATCGATGTCCAAGGCGTAAATGTTTACCCCAAATTTGACCAAAAAGTCGACGCAATGCAGATGCCCCTTGGCCGAGGACAAGTGAAGGGCTGTGTTGCCAAATTGGTCACATTTATCGGGGTCACCGCTATAAAGTCGAATGGGAAACCCGTTAAAACGAATTTTGTGATGGGACGGTGCCGATGCTTACCCTCTCCCACAGAGCAGGCGAAGTGCATCCAGACGTCCCTCGAAGGCCGCCCACATTACCGGCGTCATGGAGTCACTGTCCTTGGCATTCGTGTCCTTGCGAGTGGCCACCGACAGCACGTCCAGCAGCCCATCTTTGGCGGCTCTACGGCCCAGGGGAGAGCAGATTTGAAAAGTTAATGAGTCTTGTGCATGCCAAGGCGATAAGATAGAACGAAATTAATTGCATGTATGCTACGAACTACACTCACTTATGAAACCGGTCTGAAGACATTCCCGGCTGCCTTATCAATCAGTTGTTCCGCTGATGGGACTTCTATAATCGAACTGGAAGGAAATACCTACATGTTAGTGGGTACTTTAATATATTTTCCATCCTTGATGCCCCACTTAAAAAAGAACTGGATCAGACATCATTCGAAGCATCGTCCGCGCTGCAGAAACTGAGTTTCCTCAGAGAAACAAGATGCTAAATACCAGGCACATGAGTGTACCAACTTTCACATTCAAGGGGATGCATTTAGACAGTGGCACAGGCTCTGGAGCTGATGCTGACTGAGGTGGGACAAAATGCGAACGATGTGAACGTCAACTAACAACGAACTTTCCTACACATTCCAACGAAATGTACGGCATTGGCCTATGGGATTTACACATGAATATGTTCCTTTTTATTATTAAACGTGAGCATGTATGGAAACTCTCTCTCGTTACAGGGCTAATTAAAACCAGTTAAAACAAAGATCATCCAAGCAGTCCGCAGAGCAGATTTCGTTTTACCTTTTCACAAATATACTAACATGGACTCATACGCGGACAAATGTTCACACGTTGTTGGCCAAAGAACAGACACACACATAACACATATACCAAGTCTTGGCTTACATACCCGAACAACCGACCCAACTACCAAGTTCAGTCAACCTTGCTGGCTGGTTTTGGAACTGCCCAAAAACCATCTATTGTGCAGTTCCGTCGAAGCAGTCAACCATTTACAACGAATACACACAGTAAGTACATATGTATGTACATACATATGTGCTGTTTCTTGGCAGAGTTCAAGACCGCTTTTCCCATGCACTGCACCGAAACAAGTGGGATTTTCCCGCTGAGCAACTAACACTTTTCTTTTCTTTTTATACTTGGCTAAAAGTTTTCTTTTACAATCGCTAGAATACACGATCACGACGAACACGTACTACCGGAAGCACTGCTGAAATGGTAACTGAAGATGGTAAGTGAAATTGGTAACTAGTTGGCTTAAACTTGAGAGCAAACAAACGCCTTTTGATTTTTGAGAGCGCGGCAGTGGCGTTGCCACTCTGGGCGACGAATTATTTTCAAATGTATATTAATGAAGAGATGGTATAGAAACTTATTTACGCGGGTTTGCAGTTTCGCACTCTCAAATCGTACTTATGTGTATAATTTATTCCAATAGATTGCATTTAAATTCTTTTCGCTCATTCACTTTTAAACAATTTCTAGTTGGCGCGCACCTCTCGGCCAAGAATATGTATCGCGATCGGGATATTTCTTTTTTGTTGGACTTTTTCGTTTAAATCTTTTTTTACAATAAATACAATAAAATCAAGGATTAAAAACCATCCAATCTTGTAGAAAATTTATTCATCAATGGGATAAAACTATGTGGGCATAGATAAAGGCCCGGTTGACAACATTTAAATACTTGTCGCTCACATTCAAAAAAGTTAGATTTGGCGCGCACCACTCGGTATATTTAGAAAATGAGACCGTATATTTCGGTGCTGTTCTGAGGGTCATACTGTAAAAACTGGTTTTCGCCGCGCTCCCATATGATATTTTTGTCAATTATTAATTTAATTTTCAATGTTATATAGACATCCAATAAAAGCAAGTATTTCGAATAGGCCAATCATGTATAGAATTGATTCATCAATCGCACAAAATTAAGTGGGCATGGCTAAATGTTCCATATAGATAGTATTATTCAACGGAACAAAGAATATGAGGAATTGGTCGTTTTTTGAATCGAATTTAAATTCGCCGCAGTTCGCTTTAGCAACAATGAGTCCCATTCCATACACAATGTTGCGGCAACATACACTTGAAAACCGTTTTTTGGTCAAAATAAAATACTTACAAGCAATTTAAAGAAGCAATCTTGTACAAAATGTATTTATCTATGGGATAAAGCTAAGTGGGCAAATCTATATAGCGATTCGCCGCAGTTTCGCTTTTGCAACAATGAGTCTCATTCCATACACAAATGTTGCTAATTTACCAGCAACACTGCAACTGTTTTTTTGTTGAACTATATTGCTTAAACCTTGTTTAGTCAATATACAATAAAAGCAAGGACTAAAAATCGGCCAACCAAGTAGAAAATTTATTCATTAATCGTATCAAATTATGTGGGCATAGATAAAGGCCCGGTTGACAACATTTAAATCCTTGTCGCTCACATTCAAAAAAGTTAGATTTGGCGCGCACCACTCGGTATATTTTTCAAATGAGACCGTATATTTCGGTGCCGTTCTGAGGGTCATACTGTAAAAACTGGTTTTCGCCGCGCTCCCATGTGATGTTTTTTAGTGCTAAATGGTATTTTTGTCAATTATTAATTTAATTTTCAATGTTATATGGAAATCCAATAAAAGCAAGTAAATGGATGTTATAGAATTGTGAATACGTTTGTCTTCCAAGGCTCAGTAGGTATCAGGATCTACATAAATTTATACAAGATACTAATAATGTACTTGAATATGTCTAAAGAATATCAATTTGAGAAAAGGTCTTTATAAATCACGTTTCATCTTCATATAAAATTAACGAAATAGGGTATAAAAATGCCTATACACGCATTATGTCTTCAAATACCAGCAACATTGCGACTCTTTTTTTGTTGAACTATTTTGTTTAAACCTTGTTTTAGTCAAAATACAATAAAAGCAAGGATTAAAAACTATCCAATCTTGTAGAAAATTGATTCATTAATCGTATAAAATTATGATGGCATGGCTAAATATTCTATATAGTTGGTAATAATCCACGGAAGATAAAAAACGAGGAATATGTAAAAAGAATTTCAATTCATCAGTATATTTACGGTATATTTTTGAAATGATACGGTATGTTTCGGTATATTATTGAGGGCCGTACATTTGATCGATATAGGTCACACTGAATCGCACTGTCGACCAGCAGTGCCGCCATTTTAGCCTATTTAAGGCTAGATCTAGCTTATTTGAAAACGAAAAAGCTTGAAAAATTATGAAAATGCTTATAGCCTTAAATATAGCCTTTTTTAATTTCACTCTGTTTATGTTTGCCTTTTTATATCCTACATATATTTTTAGGCAAATCGAACAAAAAGTATATTTGTTGTACACATTTTGGTGTATCATGGTATTTTAGAATTCATTTATATTGTATATTTTCGTTGAAAAGTTTCGGTCACTACTACACAGAAACTTGGCGATCGTGAAATGGGTAATTGTGTAAAATTGAGGTGCAAGGATTTTATAAAGGAGCTTATTATCCAACTCAGAGAAAGGTAAGCTTCAATGGGATTTGATATTAAAAATAAATAATAATCTGCTGTTTAATTTCAGACTTCCAGATAATTTTGAGACATTGGAAAAACTGCAAGTTTTTGCAGCAGAAAATGTACTCGAACCTAATAAAAATCCTAATGATCTCATTTCCATATTGGAACACTTCAACTATATCAATATAGATGGAATTCTTGCCCAATATGGCAAAATTAACGTAGTCCCTTGGCAAAGTACAGATGACACTATAAAGCTTTGGTCAGAAGTACTGACTTATAAAGATGCTGGCAAAAACAAACCTCTTGAAGAAATCGCTTTATCTGCCATTGAAATTTTAAGTCTACCGTGGTCACATGCTGTGTTAAGACCAAGCTTAGGAACAAAATGACTGTTAAATACTTAAACTCAATATTAAATATAAGGTTTGTTTTAGTAATATTTAATTGTCTGATGAATACGACTATAATTCTTTTGAATTTTACAGATATGGATTGCGCCGTCATGACAAATGTTGCCCCAACTACCAATTACCGGAGAAATATTTAAATTTAATACGTTCCAGCGATAAATATACCGATTCGAGTAATAGCGAGTTGGATAAAATTATAACACAATTAGAAATGTGTGTATCTATGTGTTTTTTTTATTTTTAGCCTATTTTTGGCCTGTTCTTTTACAATTTTTAGCTTGTTTTAGCTTGTGTTTTTGGGAAATCTAGCTTATTTTGACGCTCAAAATCTGACAACACTGCTGTCGACAAATAAAAAATTCATATCATTCGTTGAAAATTTTTTGAACCATGAAGTTCGTGCTGTCCGTGTTTTTGGTGGCCCTAGTGGCCGGCATTGTGGTTGCTGATGATAGCAAAGGTCCCAAAGTGACCGAAAAGGTAAGAATTGTGCTGCACACATAAACATAAGAGAACTTGAAAACCGCGTCACTAGCATCGCTTGCACCCCCCATTCATACATACACGCGTCAGGCAATAAATCAAACGCGATTTTGTTGCTTTTTAATAATGTATATATTGTGTTTGCGTAGGTTTTCTTTGACATCACCATTGGCGGTGAGCCCGCTGGTCGTATTGAGATTGGCTTGTTCGGCAAAACTGTGGAGAAGACCGTGAAGAACTTCAAGGAGCTGGCGGAGAAGCCACAGGGCGAGGGGTGAGTTCTTGAGATGTGCTTGATTAACGGTACACGCACACTAGCACACACATTTATAGGTTAGCCGTAGGAAAGTCAGTTTAGCAATTACGTGGCGTTCCAGACGTCAATCAGTTGACAAAGAAAATCTCTACGAACTAAATTGTTTATCTGCCTTAATGAGACAACAATGTCTGTGTTTTGCACCCACCCAGCTACAAGGGAAGCAAGTTCCACCGCATCATCAAGGACTTTATGATCCAGGGCGGCGACTTCACCAAGGGTGACGGCACCGGCGGACGCTCCATCTACGGCGAGCGTTTCGAAGATGAGAACTTCAAGCTGAAGCACTATGGCGCCGGCTGGTTGAGCATGGCCAACGCTGGCAAGGACACCAACGGCTCCCAGTTCTTCATCACCACCAAGCAGACCAGCTGGCTGGACGGACGTCATGTTGTCTTCGGCAAGATCCTGTCCGGCATGAATGTAGTGCGCAAGATTGAGAACGGTGCCACCGATGCCCGCGACCGTCCCGTCAAGGATGTGGTCATTGCCAACAGCGGCAGCATCCCCGTGGCCGAGGCTTTCTCCGTTGCCAAGACTGATGCCACCGACTAAGAAATGGCAGATTTTAATCATCCCATAATAAATTTAATCAACTTGAACTACATAAGTAAATATCATAATTGTGCAACCATCAATTTTTCTCACTCAAACTCTTCAATGTCCAGGAAGTTGAAGCTGCATTTACCATTTACGAGTTTTTTCCAAAATTGTAGTGTAGTTTTTTCTTGTTCCGTAAGCAAAAACGCTCAACAACTATTCAACAGTTCTACGTAAAGAAATGGCATTCATATAATAAAGAAAATTTTTTGTGATAAAAGAGGAAGCATCAGCAATCATTTTCAACTCTTTTGTGTGTGTATCCATCCATCTACATACACTCATGGCTGTGTTCAGGTTCATTGAACCGGTTTGGCACTTGTTCCATCACCCGCCCCAGAATCGGTGGGTCGCCTCTTTCTTTTGGTAACTTCTGCTTCCCTTAACTGGAACAAAAACCAGTTTTCCATTGCTTGCTAAATTTGTTTGACTTCTGGTTTGCGCTGTGCCTATTTTGCTGGTAAACAAACTTCTGTCACATTTTTGTGATTTGCACATATGCGACAATTAAAAGAGCAAACTGCTGTATGTAAAAATGTTTCAATTTAAATTGATTGAAACAGGTGCAAGGCCACATTTTAGGGGAGTTGCCGGCCAATAATTATAATGAAATGGGGACTCATGAGATGAGACTATGATTAGTTAGTATTTTTAGTAAATAAGATTTCTGTAATGCACATTTTTTGATTAAGTTGCATTTTGCAATCGAGTTCCCAGACAACTCAAATGTACATAGCACATGCTCATATGTATGTATGTTTGTTCGGGGTCTTCATTTTAACGAGAAACAAACGACTCGAGAGTCGATCTCATATCGCTCAACTTGAAGGAATCGTATGCCTCTTCTATATGAGTATCTGCCTCTGTTATTGCAATTGTATTCCACCCCATTCGTTCCCATATTCACTTTGTATATATTAATGAAAGCAATATAGGAATCTACATATGTGTTCCTGCACGTACACATGTGTTGGTGTCTGGTGGCAGTCGTCTCATGTGCCACATATGTATGTTTCCTCTATAGCCACATAAATTCTAGACGCACTTCTAAGATTATTTGTCTGAGCACAATCAGTTTTTGTTTGTGTGGAGTCAAGGCGCATAGAGATAATTTCAGTTTGCGTAGGAACTGGGTATCAATCTGGATAGAACCGGAAGAACTTGACAGGGAAATTGCAGTTGGGATTCGGCTGGATTTAGCTATAGTTTCAATAGAGGTTGAAACATCTTAAAATGGTGGGTAATGCGAGAAATAAAGTTCATTGAGGGATCAATCAATCCGCTCAACTGATAACCAATGTTTGATCATCATCATCATCATGTTCAGTGATGATGTGTACCAATAGGAGGTTAAGTCAGAAAATGTATGTGTATCAAAAATGTACCCACAGGAAATGCAAACTAAGGTGATCGTGCTCTCCCTGATCTGTCTGTGCTCCGGCTAAGCAGCCAAGATTCTTGTGCTCTTCCCACATGCCAGCGAGAGTCATTTTGGTACTACTCAATATCCTCCATATTATAACAATATTTTATTATAACAATAATATAACAGACTAAGTTTTTTCTTCTTTTTGAAGACTGAATTAATACGATTCATAGTTATCGAGCCCCTGGCTAGTATGGATTTTATGTAATTATAGTGGTGCGTCATTATGTGGCTTGCTAAAGAGCTTGCCTTTGCAATGACTTTGTTGCAGAATTTGCACTTATGGACATTTTTTTAAGTCTCCGGGGACGGCGGTATTATCGGATTGTCTGCATTTGGAGTGTCAGGACTGGCAGGGTCCACGATTTGTTCCATAATCGAGGCTTGAGAATTGAGTTAAAATAAAGTTATTATATGGAAGTTTTTTAATTTTACTTCTTTACTCACAAATGAGCGAATCCTTCTCATCCTCCTGCTCCGTCTCGTTCATATAATCCTCGTGCTGCAGCTCAACACCAATATTCTCCAGGTGCACCGACTCAGCCGTATCATCGTGGTGCACCGAACATGTGTGGAATGTCTGGAATGTACTTAACATAAAATAACGATGTGTTGCTGTCCAAAATTTATATGAGGAAATTTAGAAAAGAAAATTTTAAAGATATATTCCAGGCAACGAAGAACACTACGCAACATTACGCTCCGTGGATAAACATTTCCAATTCACAGAAGAATCTACATATATGCTTTGAAAACATGAATATACATTGTACATTCCGCCTGTAGAATATTTTCAGCCTGTATAATGCCAGGGAATAATGTCAGCAACCCCCGCTTTCATACGCCGCCGAATCAATCGCTGGGAACTTGCATATGTACGCTACCGAGTGGTATCCGATTTCCCCCCGCCAGACGGAGTCCTCTCCAAGCATTACCGAGGCGTCTTCGAGACAGACCGAGTCCTATTCCACCCACACAGAATCGTATCCCCATACGAATACTATTTGAGATTAACGTGTATTTTTCGATGAGAAGCTATTTCGATTGTCGTGATATCGCTATAGTGGTAGTTGCAGAGACAGACAAAAGCTGCTTGTTATGGAGGTAGAGCAGAGGCACGGGAAAGCATTAAAATTATAAAAACAATTCGAATTTAATAAGTGAAATGTTCATTTAAATATTTATAAAAAAAGAACAAGGCTAGTTTACTGAAATCACGCTTATAGTTTTTGGGGCTACGCTAACAATCGCAGATCGGTTCTAGGATTTTAAACAAGTGAGCAACAGTTCACTTAAAGTAGATCACCACACTGCCTGTGTCAGTAATGCAAGTCATACTTCTCGCGCACGGCGATCAGTTCTTCAAAGAATAGTAGGACTAAAGTAGAGTACGGTGCCATGCGCAGATAAATGGGCCAGAATCCTTTATATACGCCGTAGACACCCTCCGATCGCAGAATCTTGGCAACACAGTCCAACCAGCCCTTGTAGTAGAGACCCCGACCATGGGAATCGACCCCCTGGTTGTAGAGGCGGGTGGTAATCACGTCAAACGGTGTGACCGCCACCGAAACAAACGATCCGGCAGCCAGACCAGAGAAGAAGGAGAGGCACGTGGGCTGTGTGATAATGTCGTTGTCCTTGAGCAGGGACTTGGCCTTGCCAAATGTGCTGATCTGAACACTGGAGGCGACTGTGGTCCTGATCACGGAGGCCATGGAGCCGCGCCACAGCCCAAAAAATCCGCTCTTCCGGTATATCTGTCTTATCGCATTGGTCATTGAAGTGTGTGAATGCTGATAACCAACTGCGATTTGCTTGGCCGCCTGCGCCTGAAGCTGTGTCTTGATCTAAAACAGCATGTGAAATTTCTTATCAGCAGCTAATCTTATCTTGCTAATCGTCTGCCAAAGCAGACATCTCAGATGTCTGTCCGAAAGCGATTTGATTTACATAATTGCTTACCAGGAAGAACGGGCTGGCGCAGTAAGAGCCCACAACGCCGCCCAGTGCGCCCCAGAACATGCCCCGTAGAAACGAGATCTCGCCTTTCTTGTTATGGACCCAACCCTTCTCCACGGCGCGAGTGTAAGTGCTCAATCTGTCAATGAAGAAGAAGATAGGCTATATTATGGAGTGCGATATTTAATGGCGTCTGTTTACCTGATGGAATTTATGATGAACTGGAAGCATAGCGCCGGTGCCAGTCCCTTCTGTAAGCCGAGAATTCCGTCATTCTTGGCCACCGCGACGAATGCCTGCAGGACATTCTTGTAGGGCTGGGCGTGAGAGCCGCGCGCCGCCAATTCTCCCTGGAGCTGCATGCGAATTTTGATCACCTCCACGGGGTTGGTGACTAATCCAGCTCCCATGGCGGCCACTCCCCCCAACACGAAATCCGATGTAAATGTAGCCATCATAAAACGTTAGATTGATCGGGACCGTGCTCTTTCCCGCACGGGGGAATACTATTTGAGAGTAACGTGTATTTTTCGATGAGAGAGCTATTTTGATGGGCGTGATATCGTTATCGTGGTATTTGCAGAGACAGATAAAAGCTGCTTGGTATGGAGATAGGGCAGATGGGTTGTACGGAAATTTAAAAAAAAAAAACATTTCAAATATAACAAATGAACCGGTTTATTAACCAAAAGTATTGCACAATTAATAAATAAAGGTACAGGTTTAGCTTACTGAAGGCACATTTAAAGTTCTTTGGGCTACGCTAAGCATAGGAGATTGGAACTGGGAGCTCTGGTCGCTACGAACTAAGGCAAACAAAAAATCTCAAACAATTGAACAAATTTGTACTTAAAGTAGACAATCAGGACAACCCTACTGATTGAGTCAGTAGTGCAGGTCATACTTCTCGCGCATGGCGATCAGTTCGTCAAAGAAGAGTAGCACGAGAGTGGAGTGCGGGGCGATCCGCAGATAGTTGGCCCAGAAGCCCTTGTACATACCGTGTACGCCCTCGGTGCGCAAGATCTTCACGACGCAGTCCAGCCAGCCCTTGTACAGCAGCCCACGGCCCTGGACATCTACGCCCTGGTTGTACAGACGCGTTGTGATCACATCCGGCGGCGTGATGGCCACCGACATGATCGAGCCGGCTATCAACCCCGCGCAGAAGGAGTTGATCGTGGGCTGGGTGACAAGGTCGTACTCGATGAGCAATGCTTTGGTCTTGCCGAAGGTAGCTATCTGGGCCCCGGATCCCATGGCGGCCCTGGGCAGGGCGGCAACTGATCCGCGCCACAGTCCGGGGATCCCATTCTTGGCGTAGATCTGCCTTAAGGCATTGGTCATGGAGGTGTGTGTATGCTGATAGCCGACGGCAATTTGTTTGGCAGCCTGCGATTGTTGCTGAGTCTTGACCTTTAATGGAAGATGATCGCTATCAGTTGGCGTTCTCTCTTATCTTATCTTTCTTATTATTATGGGCACGAGGCTCCGCAACAATAAGCTGTTTGTGTATCATGATTTATGTAACAGTCTGCCAGGGTCTTACCAAGAAGAACGGACTGGAGCAGTATGAGCCCACAACTCCTCCGATTGCTCCCCACATCAGGCCGAGCCCGAAGGATACCTCTCCATTCTTTTTGTGCATCCAGCGCTTCTCTACCGCCGATGAGTAAATGCTTAACCTGTTGCGGAAAATGGCACAGACGAAATCAGCTTATGCTTGAATGAAAGCTATTCCCATCTTACCGGAAAGAATTTATGATGAACTGGAAGAACAGAGCCGGAGCCAAGCCCTTCTGCAAGCCGGTCATGCCATCGTTCTTTGCCACCGTCACGAATGCCTGGACAATGCCCTTGTAGGGCTCCACATAGGAGCCTCGGGCCGCCAGCTCTCCTTGCAGCTGGATACGGGTCTTAATCACCTCAATGGGGTTGGTGAAGAACGTGGCACCCACCGAGGCCAGGCCTCCCAACACGAAGTCTGATGTAGCCATTGGTCCACTATAATATCACAAGTTTATTTCAGAAAACTCGTTGCTGACTAGAAAAAGGTTGCGACACATGGAAGTTTTTCGGCTCTGCCGATCATTCATATCACGATGCTATGCCTCGCGATGTTTCCGGGTATCTCATAATTTCACGGGGAGATTACAAAGCACGATCCGGTCTATTTGGAGCGGAATTAAAATAATTGAATAGACGTAATCATCTGGCCCAAATCGATTGGTAAACAGAAATTTTAATCGGGTGCCATAGCAGTCAGGAATCAGTGGGCTAAGTTATTAAATGAGGGTCGAATTTTATACTTTTCAAAGTATTTTCTAGTAATTTTCAGTATATTTTATCACGCGTTATGGACTCACCCAAGAGGGTGTCCAATGCACCAATGTGGAAATCGTGTAGAAATGCCATTTAGATCAATGTCCCAGGCCACATCGAATACTAATTCTTGATCAACATAAAATTTCTAATCTCATCTATTTGGCATCAACATTTCAATTTTTTCAAAGATGTCGGAAAAAAGGCATGACAAAAAGTGGATAACGAAGGCTGGCAAAGGCACACTGGCGCTTCCATGGGGCTTATATGAAAAAAATACGGGCAAACATTTTTGAAACGTTCACATGTCCCTCTTAGGTGTCGCCTTTGGTAATTACATAAAAATGTAGTTAATATATTACACATGTGTAGTTACTATATATGGAAAATACATATTTTGTGAATTATTGTTAACCTTTTTGGCTTAAACCTTATTTGATGAGAAATCCAATAAAGATGAGAATTCATCATTTGGATAAAATTAAGTGCTCAGGATTTAGCCAAGGTAGTAATATTTTACCGTATATCAAAATGGAGAAATATGATTTCTGATCATGGACCAACAACGATTAACCCATTGTCGACCAGGGGGTTTTTAATTACACTCAATGAAAATAATAAATCTTTAATATTTTTTGCACAGTTTTGGTGAAAGATATCGGGCGATTTTTTGTAAGAAAAACGAAGAATTGGATGTAATCTACAAGAAAAATGTATTACCACTATTTGTCACCTATTCCCATAAGGTGTTCAGCTAATTAAATAAAGGGGCTTAAGTGGGCTAAGTTGGTTTTTTTTATTTACAAATTCTTTTAAAAAAAGAAAACATAAGCGCGTACAACACTAATAATTGATGTAAATCTATAACCATTACTCCAACATCTTCTATTCTTTGACTTGGCAATTTCCACCTTCACATAGACGCGGCAAAATAATCTCACGCAACTCAAGGGTAGCATGGTAACAAAAAAAATTTAGTTGTTTATTTGTTGTGCGCGCTTGGCGACGTTCTAGCTGGGTACAGGGGGAAAGAAAATAAAGAGCAACACAGCACGCAGGACGTGCCAACATGTTGGGCAAAGACTCTATTGCGACGCTTTGCCAACAGTCTCTGGCACAGGCACTGGTGCTGGTGATATTCCTCTCAGCTCCTGGCCTATGCTACAAAAACGGTAAGTTATCATAGCCTAATGGCTCAGTAGCATGACTAAGAAGTTGGGATTCCTTTCAGTGCGCCTCCAGGACAACCTGTGCTCGGACAAACTGATTTACACACTCGCCAAACCCTTTCGCGGCGACCCCACGGTGAGGCTCGATTTTGAGGACGATTCGGCAGCCATTGTTGCACAGACTTGGAATCTCACACTGCCCCATGGCCACTCGGCCAACAAGATCAAATACGATTGCCAGTTCCGCGTGGTGACCAGCGACCGTCCGCCGCGCGGCATCTACACAATCATCACCAGGCTCAAATTCCGGCGGGATCCAGTCTCAAAAGAGTGCATCGACTACATACAGTTTACTAGTGGCAATCGCTCTCCCAGCGAGCGTATATGCCATGATATCTCCATCAACGGGCCGGCCGGGCGTCTAATCTTCGATCAGCGTGATCGTGAAGTGAACGTGCACATCTTCATCGACAGATCGCGGCACATTCTAGGCGATCAGTTGGAGCTGAGCATGGTGCTGACGGCCCACTCCGAGTGCCAGTTTAACGGCGACTTCCTGTGCAATCCCAACGACCAGTACTCATGCATATCTCGGCACTTTGTGCGTGACAACGTCACCAACTGCTTGTATCCGTGCCGCGATGAGGGTACGTGTTTCCACGACGCCATCGTGCCGGAGGAGATAGACACAGCTAATGTGGCCATCTCGGCCATAACGTCGCTCATTTTCACCATGCTCGGCGTGGGCTTCTGCGTGTGGATTTGCTGGAAGTACTGGAACTGCATCACGGTGCAGCAACGGGCACACGAGGCCTCAGCCGCTCGCTTCAACCAGCGACGCGTCCGGGTGAGTAGAGTGTTTTCCAAACATATCATGGAGCCGCAGTTAAATGATTTTCTCGTTTAAAGTCTGATGTGCCCACCATTGAGCTACCAACGGCTCCGGAATACGATGATGTTGGACCACGTGAGCTGGATCCCCAGCAGCAACCACCGCCAATGACGCCCAAGGATATGCCACCCAGCTATGAGTCGTTGTTCCCCGACAGATAAAGCACCGTGGCACGTTGTTCCGATTGCTCCGTTTTGTGCCAGATCAGCAGCAACTTTGGAATCACGCACTTGTTGTACTCGTAATAGTCCAATTAGGTAAATGTCTCTCCTTATGAACAAATGTGTATTCCATGTAAATATGTTAGGACTGATTTTACGTTTTCTGATTAGCGTTAGCGTTTGCGCCCAGCAGTTTAGCGGTAATGAATATCAATCGACATAACTCTCCCGAGAATACTTCATTGAGAATACTTACTATTGTACATATTTAAGTTTTATGTTTTTTGTTCTATTGTGAAACCGTTAAAGCTGCCTTTTAGTGAAGCCAATCGATCAATGTCTCAATGTATTAGCCTGCACGTTGAGAACCCCAAACTCACTGATGAAATCTCACAGAAATTACGATGTTAAACGAAATTATATCAATTATTTACCTAAGAAACCATTATTCTTAAGCAAAACCAACATGTACTCGTCTCTGCATTAGTTGGTGTAAATCTTGTAAACGCCAGCCATCAGCAGCACGCATCCTGTCTGCGGGATGGGCTCTGCGAGAAGATGGTGGCGTCGGCATTGCATTCCAAATAGTTGTACCTGTTTCTGTATTGCATAGATGTTATATATATGTATGAATGCTACGCGCTTTTGTAGAGGTCTTTGTTATGTGTCTGTGTACTGTGCCGGCGACACAATTGTCAATTGTTAATCAGAGTATCCCCTATAAGTGCCGCGCCCAGCACACACCGACTCACAGAAGTATATGTACGTGTACTCAAAATATGCAGCAGAAGAGAGTTCGTGGTCAGTAGCTCCTAAGCCAATACTCATATGTGTACACAAGAGAATCGAGCACAGAAACTCACTCGAATCCGTATTACCGATAAATAAACCAACTAAATCTCAACCAAGCCAAAATGGGTGCGAAAGCACGCCCGGGATCTACCTCACCCTCCATGGGGGTTTCATCACATGGTGACACACATCGTGAATCAGCACGTGCCTTATCCAAAAACCAGTCGCTCTGCCCTGGCGGCTGTTGCCGTTGGCAATCAACTATGAACATCCACAAAATCGAGAGTCGGTCACGATTATTGGAGGAAAGTTGTTGCCGCAGCGACTGCGTCATCGATTGATGGTCTAATCTCCCCATAGATATGTGGCTCCCCTTGCCTTATTTCGAGGGAGTTTTTCATCATGGCAGAGATCAGATGAGGCACGTGTTGGGGTCGCTTGTTCGTTGACTCCCCGCAATTGACCAAGCGAAACTGGTTATGGCCACACAATCACCACCTAATGGACAATCTGTGCCCTCGTTCAATGTCAATGCCGCCGGCAATTGTCCAATTGTCGCCTTGGAGGAGCCGAAGTGAGCGAATCAATTAGCGACTGTGCTGCTCCCTAGGCAACTCAACTGGTAACCGGTAGCTGGTCTACACCGATCCATAAAGCCATTCCTATCTGTATATAACGCTCTAGTGCCAATTTTAACACACACACGTACAATGGGAGACGACGATCTATCAAGTTCAGGGTTACTAGCGGATCCCAATCAAAGTTTTGGACACAATCAGCAATTGGCCTTAACGAGCGTCCACCAACTATGGTCTGATAAGTCCCATTCATCAGCCAGAGTCAACCACCTCTCTTAAACCTAGAACCTACGATCTTTCTGATGATTTGGAGATGTGAAATCGCGAAATTCGACTGGGAATTAGCGCTTTTGTTTAACGATCACGCCCAGAAACAAACAAGAAATAATGTGTGGATTCTTTGAGACACTTTGCAGAGGAGCTTCCTCTTAAGAGTTATTTTTATAACCAACTACAAAGACGGGAGAGTCGGGTTGAATACATATAATAAAACAGTTATTTATATCTATATAAATGCTGAAGACACCAAGAGGCGGGAGAATCGTAACAAAAGCGCTTCGTTTTCCCAACAGAACCAGGTCCAGCCTGTCACCTGTGGTGTCGACAATTACTCCATATACCCTTGCAGAGAGTACTATGATTTGTTAATATTTCTGAACATATAAGATATAAATCCCAACTATGTATAAGTAGGAAGATTGGATAGATATAAACTAAACATCTTCTTTATTTTTAAAGGAGAGCTCCACCAAACTTTTCACAATTTTACACAGTGTTACATAAAGCAGTTAAAGTAAATCAAAATCAGACCACGATATCATAGAAAAATCATCGAAATAAGAGTATCTATAGTTCAGACATATTTATTGACAATATCCTGGCTTTAACCAACTGGGCGGAAATTAGACACGATGCGCTAACTACTCTTATGTGGAGGCACAGATTGTAGAAATTACTTTAGCGCCGAGCCGAGAGCGAGAAGACTACCGGGCCGTCGAGAGCGCGTGATTCATGCGCCAGGGGGGCCAGACAAAGACCCAGAGTAGCGGCTCCAGCTCCAGCTAAAAGTTGTGGGCAAAGCGAGCACTCGCTCAGTCTGCGATACAAACTTGAACCTGAAAGATCGATTCGACGGGCAACCGGAACCCAGAGAGTGAGCCCGCGCACGCGTTCAGTCTCCAGTCCCCATTCTACGCCGGTGCATTCTCAGTGAAGTGAACGATTTATGGAAATATATTGTTTGCAACTCAACGCAATTGAATTAAATAAAACTCAACAAGTGTGTGAATCGAAAATAAACAGCGCAGCGTCCATTCAGAAATATACGTACATACATATATACGAGTGTGTACCTGAACATCATCGCCATGGAATATCACCGACCAGCAGATGCCCAGACAATGCTGCTAATTATGATAGGTGAGGCTCAGACGGTGTGTCTGATCGTCTGTCAGGCCCTCTGCTCTGGCAGGCCTTCCTTGAGTGAGATATGCAAACAATACACAACATGCAAACACGACAAGCCACATGCTAATTATGGGATCATGAACTTCCATGTGTCCTCCCTTTGATTGGAAGTAATTATATGTATACTTTGAATATACATCACTCAATTTAACCATTAATGAGGTTTGCTGGAAAGGTAGGCTTAAATTGGATTTAATGAGCATGCATGCAGAATTCTCTTCTATATCCAGTTCAATTGTGATGAAAATACGGGATATAGGAAAATAGGAAATACGTCTAGTCTTATCTATGTGAAATATGACTCCATTTCCTTCATGACATTTAGTTTTTGGACATTTAGGTACTGGTATGCACTCTAACTAGAGCCACATGTACATATGTACTCTGCTTAAAGCGATTCTGAATAGTTATATTAGTCGTATACAACTGTTTGAGCAACTGCCAGCGTCATCGTGGATGTCTATACAGACATCATAAACCAGTTAACGATGTCTTTACGGGGCCCGTTAGGCGCTTATCCCGGCAGATAAGATCTCCCAGTCAGTGACATGTGATCAGATCATATACATATATCATTTAAACGAAACAAAGTCAAAGTCAAAGTCTCTCTGATGACATTTTAGTTGCAATTTCCCGCAAATTAATGATAGAAACCGGTTTAATTCAAGTCCCAAAATGCTAATGCATCAATGACGTTATCATGCCGTTCAGGGAACTGTTGTTTATCCCAAAGAGTCTGTACACCGAAAATTCGGCTTGGGATCAAGGGTGATTGGAGTACGATTGGTGTGATATCAACTCTGATCTGAAACAATAAAAGCACTCGTACGCAGTCACCTGTGGAGTTTGCACAGGTGCCAGGTGCCGCAACACTCAAAGAGCTGACGTTGACTCCATCACGTTTTCCATCATTAGAAGCTAATTAGAATTAAATTGCCAATACTCATTATTTGTTTTTGCTTTTGCTACTTTTTGTTTTTCTACAACTAAGAAAGTGGTTTTTTCTATGGCATACGTGGGAATGTGTATGTTTAGCAGTCGCCTTATCAGTATACTCTCTAAAAATAAGCAAACACAACCCACACAATTCCAGATGACAAGCATCAACTGACGATCTGTAAGGCATCTGCAGTGCGTTGTGGTTGCCCGCGAATATACATACATATATATAGATCCATGACGCGAAAAGCTCAAGATCTAGTTAGAGGTTGGAACTGGATCAGGGTTGAGTGGAACTACAGCCGCCTCTCTGTGGTAAACAGTTGGGTAAATCTTCAGATAAATCTCCATACATTATAACTATGGAGAATATCATCATAAATATAGCTGGTAGTTTCTAATAACCTTGTCATTGTAGTCTGTAAATGATAGCCTTTCACTCAATTTGGCGACTGGTACAGCACGTGGCAACGGGGAACAATGTATCCGCCAACCCACTAATCAGTTGCGTAAGCCTCGGTGAGAATAAATACGTATATTTAAGGTATATTACGAGAATTCTCATCTGCACGTGGCTGTGATCTCCATATCTCAGCCTAGGTCAACAAATTTGTATGTATGCTCGGAATTACATCAGATTCGTTGTGAAATTGATAAGAGAACCAAATCAGAGAGAAAGATATCAATTTATTGGGACTTAATGATGATTGTGTGCCGTGTGCTGCAATGGCTCCGCTCCGCTCCCCATGCGCTGGCGAAGTGTGCAAAAAGTTGTCGAGCCTTTGATAGGGAACGCAACTTTTTATGGGGATTGGGGGCTTAACTTGTTTTGTGGTTTATGGCGTTTGTGTTTTTCCTGCGTTTGTGAATCAAAATATTTTGCAAAAAACTATTAGAGTGTCTAAGCACCTACCCCACTAGGCGCTGGAACTACAGTTAGAGACAGAGATATATTATATAGATGGGGAGATAGAGAAAGCCCAGACAATGGGTCGGCACTGGGGCTCACTCTTATCGTCAAGTGGCTAAGACCGTAAACGTAGCCGGTAATTGGGCCTGCTTAATAAACGATCCATTTACGGGGTAACGCCCTGCTGTATAGGTTTATATTTAGACCAGAGGAGTGCTTATCAGCCGCGGATGACAAAGAAGATGATGGAGGTTTGTCTGAAGGAAGCAACTCTATTTCTGCGTAGGCGGGAATAGAAAAGATAGCTTATCTATGATCGCTACCTGTGAGCTCATTTCTTGATTTCCGATACAATTTTGCTAACATTTCGATTCATTTGGGTTCCGTTTCAGTTATCATCGGCTGCTCGACCACAGCGCACGGCCAGTCCTATCTGATCGCCCTGGAGAACGTTCTCAACGAGTCCCCCCAGCCCCAGCACCAGCCGCCATACAACCTGACAACTGCGAACAGCACAACAGATGTGGATCCGTTTGCCAACAGCACTCGCATAATTGTCTACAAGAACAGTGAGTATTTCGAAAAATTTACCGATCCAATCCATTCCTCAGGAAAATTCGAGAAAGCTTCTTGGTTGTTTACTATGTATATCGCGAGTTAATAGATTAACGCCGACACACAGTTTCACAACAGAGTATCTCGATGCCAACCTGGAGCCCTTGGAACGTATAATCATCGGTAGAATTTCCGCCTAATTACGGTGTTCGTATAACCCGTATAGAGCACCCATTAAAGTGGTTCAATGGCGAGTAATTTCGTCGGTTTATGACGCAAAAACCATATTCGATAGCTGCTCAGACAGTATGATAACCAAATGTGAGATAAATAGTTTACTTTTGGGTATAGCCCTGTCTGGTCTGTAATTAAGCCCGTAAAATGTCATTGACGGTTCGATAAAACATTAGATATACATAGATCATTTATATTGTTAAATTCTAATTTTGAACCTCTTTCTCGCTTTCCTTACAGCTGTCGTAGAGCCATCAAACGAATTGTCCCAGACGGCCATGGATGTGATTACGATCGTGTGGTACGTGGCAACCTTTCTGGCTCTCGCGGCCTTCTTCATGCTGATGGCCTGCTCGGATCGCAGGTGTCGCGACATGAGGCGCCACCATTCTGGAGCTGGAGCTCAAAGCGAGGGCGTAAGAGCGCCACCCACTCCCTCACCGTCGTACAGCGAGTTTGCCCCACCCAGCTACGACACGGTTATCAAGATGCAGCATGCGGCCAAGACCAGTGTCTTTGTGATACCCTTCAACAAGGCCAGCGACCCAGGAGGCAATCCCGCACCCACCTCTCAACCTCCACCAGTCACGTGCAATATTTACACAGTCCATGAGTTGCAGAAATCGGGGAATTAAAAGATAAGACCGACTCCGAGCGACTGTGGACTGTACTGTGAGAACTTGGAGCTAACCCTTACTCCGCCTCTGTGATATTTGCTGTGGCCCCAGACGAGTGTGGTGCAGCGGTAGACGTGTATATTGTAGTGGCATAGACTAGTGTACCTAAGGATAGAACAAGTATTAGATGTAAGAGCCTGCAGAAGACTGACAACGAAAAATATCCACATATGCAAATGTATTTTCCATAAGATATGCCAGTTCAACTGAACCTAGATGACTAAGCAATCAAATATAGTAAAACAACAAAAAATGAAGTAACACAGAACTAATGACTAATCTAAATGAAAGATGACTATTCCAAGAACTCGCATCGATGCGGTTGCCACGCTTGCCTCCGGCTCCGCCACCACCGTTCAGGTAGAGCCGATGCGTTGTACGGAAAAATTATAAAACAATTCGAATATAACAAATGAACCGGTTTAAAGTAGTGCACAATAACTAAAGGTACAGGTTTAGCTTACTGAACGTACACTTAAAGTTCTTTGGGCTACGCTACGCCAAACAAAAAATCGCACACAATTGAACAAATTTGTACTTAAAGTAGACAATCAGGATAACCCTACTGATTGAGTCAGTAGTGCAGGTCATACTTCTCGCGCAGGGCGATCAGTTCGTCAAAGAAGATTAGCACGAGAGTGGAGTGCGGGGCGATCCGCAGATAGATCAATCCAGATAGATTTCCAGATAGATCCTATATGGACGGCTTGTATGAGCAGTGACGCCCTTGACATTTTGTGTGGCACGTCCAAGGACTCCTCGTCTGCATTGGCGCTCGTCCGGATGATGCTCTGCAGCAGAACGCTCGACATTTCCCTAGAGCTTCTCCCAGTAGCTATCATTCTCGCGCGCTAGTTTGAAAACTTTCACGCTTTCCATCACTCCCACAGTTTTCAGCTTAAACACCAACTTGACCGTCAGGTGTCTCTGCTGATAATTACATCTACACGTAGTTGCCATGTAGTAAAATTTTACTGCTGCTGGTGTTGTGGTCCATCCGCTTCAGAAAATTACAATTAATTATGCATATAAACAATCCAATAAATGGCACTACTTAAAATTAGTCAATCTTCTAGAAAACTGATTAATCTATCGGATAAAAGTCTACGTTCAGTGCTGAGGGTCCTAGCTAGCTAGTATGTAATACCAATAAAAAATCATGAAATATCACTTCCCATTAAAGTAAACGCTACAGTCTAATGACCAAAATTAGCCAGACGTCATCGCTGATGTCCGGAACTGCTGCATCGAGCAACACATGAGTACATATACGCTAGGCCAGGAGTTAGAGATTCAGAACAGCTCAAAACCACGCAAAGGCGATGCATCCAATGCGCTCCACTAGCAGCGGTCCACAAATGAGCGGGGCAAGTTAAGGGCTCCTCCATCAAGCATTAGATTAGGATCTGGAGGCCTCTTCCGAATACCATCATCAGAGCTGCGGGATTCAACGCCGAGCTGGGCAGCCAAACCAGCTGATAAGCTTCTAGACAATTAAAAAAAAAACAAATATTATTTGGAACTTTCGAGAATGTTTATCATCACGCGATGAACACTTGTTGTTGTAGTAAATGATGTTCCAGGTATTCTGAATAAGCAGATATGTAAATAGATTTTTCGTAGTCCCATAAAGTAAAGGAGGGGAAGGGAATGGTTGAATGGGAATGAAAACATGAACTCCTTTGGCCTTCGTCGTACTTACACCTGGCTTATCGTTTGGCATTGAGGCATGTTCTTTCTTCTGGCTTCTCTAGGATTTCGCCGTGCACCTCTCATTTCATTCTAGATCGGGTGGTACTACTTCGTTCATTCATAGATATTCCCGTCGAGTGCTGTCGATCTTTCGGTGATTGTTTAGATCGTATGAAGGTAACATCTGGTTTCACAAAATTTTTCTGGGGCATAACACACACAGACACACATTCGGCGTATGCGTAATATTTCGTTTTTGTTTGTTTACATATTTTGCATACAAAGTGTATCTCTCCCTCAAAATTGTTTTCGAAAATGTTATACAAACAAAGCAGATAGGCGCCCCATATGCGGGAGGTATGGAAGAGAGGGACGAGAGTATGCCAAACCAGATTAAATTGCAGTAAAATCATGTTCCGCCCCGTTCGATGCGGTTCAGCTGATGTTGTTCCCGCTGATCGTCTTTGATTGCAGCCTGCTGCCGATCGAGTTGAACGATTCTTTGCGGGATCTGGAAGCTAGAATCTGGAGTCCCATTCATTAAGTCGTATCTGGATAGCTGGAGAGCGACGACCACCCAAATGGAGCGGTTGGAGCCCATCGGAGTCTCTCAAGCTCTGTGCTCTGTATTGCTGTCACTCCTCTGCTGCTGGTGCTGCTAATGCTGCTGCTATGGGGATCGTGCGTCGCGTCTGATGATTGTGCAAAAAGCTTCGGAGTCGCTCGCCCTCTTTCTCTCTCACTGTATGTGCTTTTCACTCTCTCTCTCTCTCTCAGAGCAAGTGCTTTTCATTGAAAAGACTCTGCAGCGTAAGTAGCTTCGATTAGTGCGACGTGAGCAGTGCCAACGAGTGGAAGTAGAGATAGATTATCCGCGATACCGATACGTTCCAATTCGATCCGCAGAGTGTTACCCACAGAATTGAGCAGAACAGAATAGAATCGAACAAAACATATCATGTCGATAAGAAAGAGCTTGTTTAGCTGCCTGATGGTGGCTCTAGTGATGGCGACGATGCTCCGCTCCGTACGGGCGGACATCGAGACAAACGAAGTGAACGATCAAGATGTGTACAGTAAGTGTGAGACCCGGGAACACCCTCTGTCCAAATATCCAGAGCTAATTCTCCTACTCCTCTAGTGCTTCAGGGAGTACGGGTGTATCCGAATGACCGCCAGTGCGTGCTGGTTGGAGGACTGTGCGTGAAGACCAGCGACTGTACGGAGCCAACCAACAACAAGGGACTGTGCCCCACCAGCGTCCACCATGGTGTGGAATGCTGCTACGAACGTGAGTACAAAATGCCCAACCACCCCGCTGTGATGCACCTGCTTAACTCCCCTCCCGCACCCATAAAAACGCCCTGCCATCAGTTCGACCCAAACCCGAGTCTACTCCAAATTTAAACAAATAAAGATACCCGATTCTACCACTAATTCGATCCGTAATTGGTATTACTTGCTGTGTCCATACCTCGCCACTAATCCACTCATTCTGTACTACAACCACCCTCAACCATCCTCAAACCATCCCGTTGCCCGTTGCAGTGCCGGTCCGACCAGCGCCCTGTGCGGAACACCTGGGAATGTGCATGGATCGATGCCACCAGAGGCTCTTGAGACCTGGTACCGATTGCGTCAATGGACAAGTCTGCTGTGTTTTGATTTAGTTATAATCCTCTAACACACACACACACACACAACACACATACACTTCTACACACCAACACACACACTTACATATAAAATGTATTTATTTAACTATATATTAATTATATTGTACGATCCATCACCCCGACAAGAGTGAAATATTTGACTGCTTCCAATAAATGCATTGTAAATATTTTCAAAACAATTCTCGTCTCAATCACGCACAAACACGCACTGACAGGCACGCACATGAAGCGAGAATTATGTAAGTATGTATGGGTCTTCGTCTTCGTTCTCCGAACTCCGGGCTGGGGTCGGGGCTCAGCTGACAGCTCCTCCTTATCGGTGGCAGAGCTGAAAACCACAGAGCTGCAACGTCACGTGCCCCACAGTGTACAGTTGTGCGGGCAGAGGAAGAACAGCACGAAAAGCAGTGAAAACGGAAAGATGATGCCATCTGCGGATCTGCGGATCGAAGAGCTCAAAGCAGAGCTTATCTTATCTCTTAGCGGGAGGAGAGATCACCCTCTGGGTTCTCCCTCCCGGCTGTTTCAATGTCAAGTTCAGAGCTGACAAGAATTTCAGATCTTTGGTACTGAACGCTTCGATTATAAATATATTTAATGATATTTTCGGTTTCCATTTAGTCGATCGCACAGTTCCAAAAAGTTATAAACAAAAATAAACGACCTTGCGCCGCTCACCGAACAGATACTATATCTTCCATTGGAACGAATGGACACGGACACGAGGTCCATTTAGTTGGATGTATTTATTATTGTTTTCCTCAGCTATTCTATACATGATTTCGTTGCTAATGTTTGAATGCCTATTCCATAGAGTTATTTATAGTCGGGGCCCGCTCCGATCCGCACGCGGCCATTACGGTTGGGCCAGTGTTCTTGAGTTGAATGAATTCGTATGCAAGGCGGCATTGAGACATGTGGATACACACGCTATATGGTTTCTGCTACATGGGATTGGGGGTAAGATTTTCTATTTACATATAAAGATGAAGTGTAATGGTAGGCCCTGACTGAGAGACCAAAGAGGTTCGATTCGATAAGAGTTTAAGTGAATCAGTATCTAAGGATAATGCTTTGATCTTAGCTTAGAGTAGCTTAGGGCTAAGACCAACCCCCTATTGGGGTAGAAGATAAAATAATAAGAGAATATTTTGATCACTGTAATATAATACTCATTCTCAACCATTCTCAGAGTGCATTGCTCATCGTCGCCACTTGTTTTCATTGTCATTGCCACATCGCAATTCCCTAATTCCATCAATGCCAATTCCAGTGAAAACTTGTGGCCTTGTGAACACTATGAATGTATATATATACATACATACATACTACGGGTATGTAGAAGTATGGTTGTATGCATTCTAGACGTACTATACTAGAGACATTTGGGTAGTGAGGTCCCGGATCCGAGCATTCTACTGCGACTTAGATTGCATAACATTTGCAGTGATTCGGGGAACTACTGCGAGGAACACAAATATAATGAACCCGAGATGAACTCGAACCCCAACAACCGAGCAGAGCTTGAGCGAAGTGCGAAATTTCCGTAATACTTTCCGTCCAGTATTGTTTTTAGGTAGCTGTGGCAGGCCTGCCTGCCTGTCATGTTCGGATTGGGACTGCGACTTATCAGGGCACCTGATCATCGTGTTTGTCATATAATAAATTATTATTGCGGGTTTTTTCTCTGTTTTTGTTTTCGATTTCGTTTTTGCTATGGCGGCGAGTAATCCCAATTTTACTTTTATTTGTTTCGTATTTGCATCAAAGCGAAAACTAATAAAAGTTTGGCTGTGTTTGGGCGCTGTGTTGTGCAAAAGATGCGCTCATATTTCATGTCATAGGTCGCATTCATTTTTCACTTGACATAAAACTGCGTCTGGAGGGCTCCGGGCAAATGCAACGCAATTTGCATCTCCATTCCGTCTTCCCCTCTCTGTCCTCTCTGTATTTTTTATATTTTTCAATGTTTTATACCCTTTCAAAGATTATGCCGACTTTGAGTGGAGGGCAGGGGAATTGAGCATTCTCCGAACCCATTTTCCATACTACCTTCTGGACTTCCTGATTGTACGCTTGGTCCCTTGCTATTAAGGACATCTCGCCCGACTGTTAGAGGTAAGGGTATCTTAAGCTGCGACCATAAACGCTAGCCTCTGTGTCTTTTTTAATTTTTATTTTCGCATGTGGCAGAGTCTGAGAGTGCGAGAGCTGAGAGCGGGTGTGTGGCGTATAAAAGAAAATGATTTTGTGGCATAAATTAACGCCAAGAGGCACACGAAACACTATTAAAAAATACGGATCCACCACATGCCGTACGAGAGCACACTTGCCTTCCTGGCTGACTGCCTTCCTGGCTTGTTCCTGGCCAAAGGATGCGGCAAGTCAATGGCTTATAGAAAAAGCCAGGATATGCACTTGGTGGCCGTGTGCACTGCTCGTTGTCATGGGGGCCGGAGTCGAGTGTGGCATGTGGAGAGCTGATGCCGCCAGCTCCGTGTACAGCTCCTCATGCAATTAATCCTTTTTTACGGTCTCTCTCTCCTCTCTCTACTTGGGGCCTCCTCTCCATCTACCTCTTCCGCTCATCCTTTTCCTGGAAAATGACTTTTTAAGTTAATTTCTTATATGCTCACCTTCTTATACAATGTATGAAAGAGCGGGTGATCTCCCAACCACTCAGATTAATAGACATTCCAAGCTTCCCTCAACTTCAACCTCTGCTTGCATCTCCATCCATCGGGCCATATTCGACCGGAAATTCAGCAAAGCTATCCACTGTCTGCCATTAAACATTGTATGGCTGAAATAATATCATTTATGCTTGTTGGCTTTGACCACCTGTGTTCACCCCAAGCCTCCCCTACCCCATCGTTAGCCATAAATTTCAATTATTTGAGTACCTTTTTTGCGAGGCTCTTCAGACCAGTTTTTTCGGCAGGATCAACAGGTTTCTTGAGCATGCTGTTTGTTGCCAAATATTTGGGTTAGTTAAACCCGATTTAATGGTGCGTACAATGTCAACAGACTACAAAAAGATTGGTATATTATGTTAGTATGTTCAGTTATGCGTTTCGAATGTGTAATCTATAGATTCTGTTGAGAGTATTTCATATATTTTCCATAATTGTTTCAGATATACCTATTAAGAAAGTCTTTCGAGTACATCTTTATGCTACAAAGAGCACTGTAGGTACTTGAGTTTGGCCTCCCGACAAACTTCAGAATTTGAAATTTGGATGCAAATTGATGTGCAAATGGCATAAAATTTAATTACTCAAAATCCTTTGACAAATACGAGTATGGGGGGAGGCAGCACACACCTCAGCCCCATTGTTGGAGCCCTTTCCCTTGGATAATGCCATTAGAAGCCAGAAAATGAAAGTTAAAATGAAAACGTTACCATGAGAGGTGCCCGACCCCCTCAAGGTGTTGTAAATGTGGTTCCCCCTTTTGATGTGCACGTTGCTATGTCGAACCGGAACAATAACATCAAATTCATGCGTAGCATAGCCTCTCCTGTTCATCCTGGCTTTGGATTCTCCCCACAACCGGCAACCACTTTTGGTTATGATGTAGCCACACCAAAGTGCTGACCCGCGGGGCGCATCTTTGACGAGAGGCATTTCATTTTTTTCCCTGTGCATATAGCTCTGTCTTCTAAGGGAATTACCGCAATTTCTTTAATTAAAAGCTCCATTTAAGCTGGCTGTTGCCAGGCTAGCAAAAGAAAAAGGATTGTGAAGTGCGGCGTCAGTCAGTTACGAGTCGCAGATCCCGAGTCAGTCAGCCGTCTGTCAACAACAATTAAAACGGAAAGCAACAGCAACAAATTAAAAATTCATCTTCCGTATATCCCATCATTTCTTTGCCACACTTGCAACCCTTTTGCTTCCAGGGCTCTTGCTGTTTCTGGCATCCTTTTCTAGGTATTCCTGATGTGGTCCTTTTTTTCTAATTTGATTGGCGTTTCCTGGTACGTCGTTTCCGGTTTTTCTTTATCTACCACCTTCCGCTCGGCTCCTTGATTAGCTGCCACCAGGGGATGGGGTGGGGTGGTGTTCTCTTCGAGGTGGGAGTGGATAATTATTTTTTATTTCTCGCTGTTTGCTGAGGCTTCTTCCCATGTAACCCTTCCCGGCTTCCCTTCCCTTCTTATTTTGAAAGTGGCATCTTAATTGAAACCAAATTTTGTTTAGGGTTTCCTTCATTTTTACATCATTATATCCAGTACTTATATCTTACAAGGTATACTCTGTTTGTGCAAATTGATATGAAATCCACCTATGTTCAAAGATATTTGATTATAGTATATCTGCCAAAAATCATTGCAGCCGGTTAAATATTTCAATAGAATTGAGGAAAATTACTCTCTCTGAAGTTCTTTCGTCTATTTCTAACACAATATAGAGGTTGGCTTCCATAGTTTTCAATCCGAGGGTATATTTTAAAGTAGAAAGTATGGCCCTTGTTCCTGTTTTATTTCTCTTTTTTTGGAAAGGCATAGCCTCAGGTACGTGAAGTTTTCTTTTTCCCAAATCATCCGATGGCCAGAAACTGATAATATCATATAATATCGTATACATCCTCCTTCCACCCATCATATCCGCTAACCACACCCACCCAAAGAGCCACTTTCTTCCTTTGAAACATTTCCCACTGACATGGGGGTTACAGTTATGGGGCGGGAAGCGATGGGTCCTGCAACTTTTTGGCTTTTGTTGTGTGCAAATAATTTGCAGCTCGTTCCTTGGCGTCATTAACAATGTAGAGGGGGAGAGTGGTGAGGAAGAGAGGAAGGGGTAAGGAAGCAGAAGAAACTTTTATCTAATTAATGAAACTTCAACGCAACGTCAAGCAGTCAGATCTCCCCCGTTTTGAAGAACCCCCAAACCAGAGCACCAGAAACCATCCAATCTTTAGCCACCCCCTTGATGTCGT